CAATTTTTAATTTGTTGTCGGCTAAGATCATGCCGAAATTTAATTAATTTTTCTAAATTAATCAGTTGATGTACAAACAAAAATTTTATAGGTACAATCATGTACTAACGATGTACAATCGAGTACATAATTGCGTTTTTCGAATTACTGACTTTTGTCGGGTAAGTACCCGGGGGTATTCTATTGTTGCATACTCTTTCTTTTTCCTGAATTTCGATTCAGGTGGCGGGATCGTTGCCCGTGAAGCGCTGAAGTACTCGGCTCTATCAGAGCTGGAGATTTCAAAATAATTTAACGACACTGATTTTATATGACACCTAAAGTAATTACAATTAAATCCTAAAGATTTAGATTCTTCGGAGGGTAGTTCTTATTCGGCGCTCGGAATAGAAGTGAAGTTATATTTATTTCTAAAACATTCCTCAGCTCGTTCAGACATTCCCGAAGTGGGGATAATTCTCGATATAGAAGGGGATTAATAAATCATGAACGAAATATCCTTTTAATTTTCACGAAGGGCAATGGTCAGTGAGGGTAGTGGGAGAGGCTGGTGCTCGCCCATCGATGGGAGACTATTTTTTGGGTAAAAGGGGTCCCAGTGCCTCGATACACCGCATCGGCCGATCAGTTAAAAAGGACCATGTCATTAAGTACTAGTCATGCCAAAACGGGGAAAATAACGAGCAGATAAATCATGCATCAGGAAAAATGAATGACTTTATTAGAAATCCTAGATTGGACGATGGGGAAAATGTGAAGGAACAACTCTGGAATCGTGTTTCTCTCTCCTCCTATAAAATGAAAGTTTTTATAATGCGTGAGGGGTAAACTACAAAGAAAGCAAAAAAAATGCGGAAACGAGTGTTCAAATCTCTAAATGAGCTAAATAGAGTGAGGAATCGGTCACAGAATGCCAATTGGAGAATACGCCAAGGAATGGCCAAAAAAGCCAGAGCATCATATAAACTGCTTTTGGAGCAGTATCATTGATCAAAAATTTCGGGCACACTTGTTATTTATTAGGGGTAATCCCATTCATTTAAATTAAGGCAAAATTTATTAGAAGACGAGGAATTTCGGATTTTCTCAACAATTCCAAAAAAATTCACAAAAGTTTGAGAATTCATCATGAATGAAGTGGATGTTCGGAATTAGTAACGAGCATCAAAATCTGTCATGTAATGAAAAACAAAATAACTGATTTCTTTTGTGGAGCAATATAGGGGAATGAAGGATGTGGGGGAAGACTCAAAGACTATATAGTAATGATTGTGAAAGAAACGAATGAATAAATATGATATTTATAGTGAATAGTTTTTCGCTCAGCTCTATCGGTAATACAATTTTTGAATGACTGCGTTCTCTCCCTACCTGTCAATGACTATTAACGCTATTAACCGTGTGGCGATTCTAGTAGAGTTCTCTGATTCTAATTTGGAATTACATTAACCTTAAGGATAGTATATTCACCGCAAACTGCATTTAAGAAATCACAAGTATATTTCTAGGAAGAATTTCCCAGAAGATAAGTTACAGTAATTATATTTAGACTGCAACCAGATGTTACAAGTGTACAACAAGTTTGAATTACCTCTGCAATGTTGAACAAAGCTGTGCTCGTTGAAAATCAGCTGCCAGTCTCTTAACTTCTTTCCAATCTAGCGAACTCATGTTTCTCCAATTGTTACTTATTCTGAACACTAATAAATTTTTTTTTCAACGGATGACAACAGATTGAGGCAATGACCAGCTCACCATCCAAAGAGAGAATGGACGGATTGGGTACAGTCAGTTGCATAAACGCGGAGTAACTGGCCCCAGGTAGTTAATTCCACATAGGTAAAAATTGATCAGTTTCTCCATTCGAGCCCTTTGAAGGTCCATTGAAGACCATTGATATTCGAACGATTCGCTTTGATAGTCATTATTTATTTTTTTATTAATTAAAAACTTTTTCAAGCAAAAGTTAGCACCCCATTTTTCATTTTTCGATTGAAGGTCAAAAGAAACTTCGTCATTGGATTGAAAATTGTTTGTAGGTCATATATAGTCCATTGTCATTAGTCGATCAATCATCATTTATGGCATATTAATTAATTACAGAAAATTATTCTGACGGACGAGTGCGCATGCGCATGGGCACATACGCTGCGCGTGCCGCTTTATTCATACTACGTTAATTTTCATCTATTGCCAATCATTTTTCTTTTCAATCATTATTTGAATTCGTTTGCCAAAAGAAGTTCTATCCTACACGTAGATTTTTAATTTAAGGAGTTCAGTTAAAAAAGGTAATACCGAGTGAATAGCGGAGAAACAGGTCATTGATGGTTTATTGTATATTACTTCTAACTATGTCCTTTATTTTGTCCTTAAAAATAAAAAGTCTTCAACATTCTCTGTGATTCTATCATGATAGAGACATTCATAAATAATAGTCAGATTTCAACATTCTTCATGACTCATCACGAACTTTTTGGTGATTTATCATAACAGATCTCTTAAAGTTTAAAGCTTAAATATCCATCATTTGCATTCAACGAACGCACTGCACAACTTAATACTTAATCATACATTGAAGTTATTTTGCAGGCTGAGATTCCCTGATAACGTAGATAAAACCTTTTGGTTCAATCTTCGCAGGCCCGGATACAGTTTGAACCGCAGTAGAGTGGCCATCATATAATAGCCAATTTGCTAGTGTCCAACAATATCCAACGTATCTGTCCTCAGTGTAAGCAATTATTACCGCTAATCTGTTGACATTTTATTTATAAAAAAAAGTTAATTAATCGTTCAATAAACACCACGAATTATTATTAGTATTATTGTATATTGAGGGTGATCAGCATACGCTGAAATAAATGACTAAAGTTTTCGTAATTAATCATTTCGATCAGCAACTAACATTATTCGACAATTTTTTTTTAATTAATTATTTCTCACTTCGTCCACAATAGGAGTATTGCAACTTACCGATAATCGAATTCTCGTTGAAGAGATTTGGAGACGGCATCAATAGAAGATTGTGGAGATCATTGGGGAAGATCAATGAACAGATGAAAATTGTGGGTTGTTATCACCACACATGAACCCCAATACAATCTCCTTTGATAGAAAGCTTTTCTGAGGCTCATGCAGAAGGGAAGGGCTTTTTGCAACTTATAGCTTCGTGGTGGTCTCTTATAATCATGGGACAAAGCTGGAATTTTTATGATATATTTACCACAGGCATCACATTCGTAAAATCTCTTTTCAGTAGACTCAGCATCAAGACACGTTTTCCAGATATCAACTGGTGTACCACATACTGTGAAATGGATTGATTGTACACCGAAATCTACTTCGGTCTTACTCCGACAGACTTCTACTGCACTGAGGGACCGCAGAATCAGTGCTCTGTTCTCATAAACAGATTCAAGATTCTCACCATTAATTAATTTTACAATCAAGTCCAACGTTCGGTTATCAGTAGTAGAGAATTTAATGAGTAATCCATAGCTATCATCATTGATTGCGATGCACCACAAAATATGCAGAATTGAATCGAAGCTAGATGTTTGGAAAACGTGGAGCAACTCCTCCTCAATTATGACACCAGGTAGTAACTCACCACTTTTAAGCAATTTCACCAACTCAATATTGGATTTCTCATCTTCAGAATTTTTGATAGTATAAAACTCTTTCACATCAGTATCCAGGGAAGGTCGTTTTTCTTTACATCTCCAATTATCATGAGGAATGGTGTCAGAGTCTTCAATCGGAATTGTACAAGTAAGTTCTCTTCTGGAAAATTCCGATGGATTATTCATTGGTGAGATATCAATACGCTTCTCGTAGGAATCATTGGATGTGTGTGTCATCTGAAGTTCGTTCTGCGGGAATTGGTGTTCTTTCACGTCATTTGGATGTCCAGAATGCTTTAGAGTATCTGAGGTGCCATGATATGCATTGATCTCGTTTTTGTTGAGACATTGCACATAAATCACTGCTTCAGGGACTACCACAGTTGATGAAATACAATAAATGATTTTTGGCTCCAGATCATCATGTAGCTGCCAATGGACCATATTCCTCAGACAGTAAGCTACAAAATCTCCAGGACGATGAGCAATAACTCCTGCATGTCTGTAGCAATTGTCATTTAATATTAATGTTGTAGGAAATTCTTTCAATTTCTCCGATTTTCCATAAGTGCAAGTGAGCTTTGGACGTGCATCCAATTCTACAAATATCTGATTTGCATATTGTGTAATGACTTTGCACCCCTTCCTACAGGACGAATTACGACATGCAAAACGTGAGCCTTCATTGAAAATTTGAAGATCCCCCAGAACTTCAAATCCACACGGGATTTTCAAATTTAGAATGGTTTACTTGCAGAGTGGGCACCAATACGGGGTAATTTCCACAGTCAGGACATTCATATTGTCGCACAGCCGATGGATACAAAAAAAAAGCTCGTTTCCATATTAGACTCAGAGTGCCATATAAGTTAATAGAATAAGATTGGAGAGCATTGGCTGTTGAATATAACTCCATTGACTCAAACCATTCTAGTAACAACTTCACCCTGGAATTCTCGACAGCAGTAGTTGGCCCGTGGAAGATAAATTCTTTCATGAATCGCAGGGCGTGGTTCTTAGAGTTTTCCATTGACTCCAAATAATGTTTATCATCCATTGCAGATTTAGACAAGACATGAACAATCGAATCGAAACCACAAGTATTAGTGGCAAAGTAATATTTGTTGCCAATCAATGTGGGTTTTTTCATTCTATTTCCATTGCGTAAAAGCCACGACTTCATCGAGTAACTTTCAAGATCGTTCTGATATCCTATGTCCGGCTGTGCTTGAGAGTAAATGCCAGTACGCTTCGCCATAAATTTCTGGTACCATGAGTTGTCACGGGATTCAATATTCTCAGAGTTAACATCAACAGGAACTGATGGATCGGCTTCTTTTGATTGACGATAATCGCATGCTATTGGGACTTCTGACGTTGGAGATATAGATGAGACACACTCAGTTTCCTCAAATACTTGATGCTGTGTGAGATCTCTTTTTGTGACTGTGGACTCTCCTTTGGGAGCGGACTTGGACAAGGACCTTCATTTGCGTGAAAAACCTTCAATTTGGAGTCTAGAAGAGTGACACTTGTTGATCCATTGTCTAACATAATCTTGACAAATTTATCAACTCGGATTAATCCAGAAAAATTTTTTAAAACTCGATTCTTGACATCAGAAAAGTATCCCTCTGAATAACTGGAAGTAGCACGACCACGTGTATATGGTAAAGAAATCTGATGATAAAATCATTGAAGTAAAAAGGATTAGGTTCCGACCCTTCATGAGAAATTTTTAATGAGTTCTCATAAATTATATTAATCCAGGCATCGGCCAAAACACTCGTGTGTACACCTTTTCGTAAAGTATTATACGTCCTCCCATCTTTATAAGTAACCTCACCCCCTTGTATACTGATCCACTCGTTTGCTGTGATATAAATTTTGAACTCATCAAGACCAGCACATTTTTCATCTAGCTCGAATGACTCATCAGCTGTTTGAGCGTCCGAGTCTGCGAGAGTCGATTTGTGGGTTGAGACATCCCGGTCTTCCTCGGGAAATACAATCCCCAGCTCCTCACAAGCAATAGATAAAATGTTTCTTGGGTTATTCTTTAACATTCACATACACGTTGTGGGGCGTCCGCTTGTTCGCCAAGTCCCGGCTGATTTCTTTCCATATGATAGACAAATAAATGGGAAATTTGTCTCTTTCTTTGAAATGTATGATGTATTTCTTTAATATTGCAACTGCATCTGCGACGGAAACTGGAGCCTTTGGTGCCATCGTCCCTTTGTCTCTTGACTGAAAAAATAATGTCCATTCAAATCAGCTGGCAAAAAAAGACAGGGTGCTTGCGAAATTAGAGTATTAATTACGCCCAGTTCAATGAGCCGAAAAAGTTTTTAATGATGTCAGTTTTAATAAGATAAGGAAAAACTAGTCCAATTGAAAAGAATTACAACCGAATCCAATCAACAATAACAGACATGCAATTTTTACCTCTGTGATAAAAATTGATATTTTTCCAAATCGATTCGACCGATGCCTACTTTATCGATCTACAACTGTGGGTATCGATTTCTGATAGAATTTGATTATTCAACTGCCAACCGCGGGTAATTGCAAGAAATATGAGATTTTCATGATTGAAAGTCATAACGAAATTAATGTAATTAAGAATTAGAGTATTATAAAATTAACTCAGTAGAAAAATGTAGCAGATTGACCGGTTTTTTAAATTTTCAAATTTCTATAACTAAAGAACAGATTCATCAATTAATTTCACTCCAAACTCATAAATACAACAGTTATGTTCACTCATCTGTGTACATCGTTTATTCTAGTTTAACTGGCTGAGATTTTAATTGCTTTTCCCCTCACACGGTCTCCATTTTATTCCACCTGCCCTCGTGCTGTGAAAAGGGTTCTATCAATTCACAGAAATATGAAAGATTTTGATCAGCAGCCGAAGTCCAACAATTTCGGAGCATAACTGATTATAGATGAAAACGCGAGAAATAATATTCCGCCTTAATTGTTGCAGAAGCCATTTTTATCCACTTTGGTATTATTTGCTCACAACACTCGATCGAACATTAAAAGCACAGCCAATGCTCCAAAAAACGGAGCAGAAGCTTACAGCTTTTTACCATTGCCAAAATATGACGCGGTGCAGTGGTCATGCGCATGTGCACTCGTCCATCAGAATAATAATCTTTAATTAATTAATATCCCATAAATGATGATTGATAGACTAATGACAATGGACTATATATTATGACCTACAAACAATTTTCAATCCAATGACGAGGTTTCTTTTGACCTTCAATCGAAAAATACAAAATGGGGTGCTAACTTTAGCCTGGAAAATTTTTTAATTCATAAAAAAATAAATATTGACTATCAAAGCAAATTAATCGGATATCAATGATCTTCAATGGATTTTCAAATCCCTCCACTTGGTCCTTAAACCCCGATATACATTTTTATAAATAATGTTACATTCTGATATATGAACATTCGCTTGTTCCTACATCTATTTTTTCCTAATTACATGGGAGTGTAACTAGTTACCTTCATCAATTAATCCAATGATGAATTCTAATTCATTTGAATTTTCTTAACGAATGTCGATAATGAAGAAAAGTACGGCCACGATGATCCATAGGAATCCACGCATGCGCAGATGGGCACATTGCCATTGATCTCACTAATTAATTAGTATTTAAAGAACAATTAGGTCTACGATGATAATTCAAGAATTATTTTTTACTTAGAAACGATTTGCTAACGATTGGCAAGGTCAATTTCGGTCTACAAATGAAAATTAGGAAAGTGGGATGGTAACTTTTGCGTATTATTTTAATATTGGTAAAAAATCAAAGAAGGGCCTGCAACCATTTTCATCACTATTACAATGTTATACAATGGTCGTACTCACAATTCCTCCCTGATAACCGAAAACACCATACTAGGTGTGACTAACGAGCATCTGCGCATGCGCCGATGTAAACACTATAGACCTTTTTTAAATTAATTAAAATCTAATGAATAATTACGTGTAAAAGAATGAGACCAAGGTATATATTATCTGCAAACGATTTTCTTTCCATTGCTTAATATTATTTCGGTCTGCAAATAAAAATTAGTGGGGTGGGGTGCTAACTTCCGAACATTGTTTTGTTTACTTAATTAAAAAATAATGAAGGGTCTACAAAATTTTTTAATCATATTACAATGATATACAAAAGTCCTACTATTGATCGTAATAAAAAAACCAATGAATTTATAATTATGCGGTGCCAACTACCTAATCACCCCTACGACGTGCCAGGTTTTTCAATGTTGGGTGAATTGTGTGGACTGTGAAGGGGTATGAACACAGCAACAGAGCAGCGAGTGAAAGCCATTGTTATCAATTATTATCAAAAAGTACAAGCGTTTTTCCGGACAACTGATCATTTTTCGAGAATAAGGTGTATATTCATTACCACCACTCACATAGTTTTCACTTATCATTGAGTACAAGGGGTAAATGATTGAACTGCAAGATGAGTTGAAGAACTCATCGTCATTTTTTATTTCCCTGTGTTGACTGTTCTTGACGTTTCCTTTGAGTGTTTAACGATAATTTCCCGGTAATTTCGTATTTATATTAATTTTTTTATGATTACCAGCAAATATCTCGGGGGAATATCTCATATTGAAATCCAGATAACCCCATCGAGGCCATCGAGTGGAAACTGTCATCATGACACCCGTGACTGAGGAAAAATCCACGAGTATATAAACAAAAAAAAATGGCCAAAGACCTGGACATCCATAATTGGAAGACCTTCTTTTCTGCCAGGTCGAGGTAAAGAGGAAGAGGATTATTGTATTCTGGAAAAATTACTATTGGAGTCGACCGACTTGTCCATCCCCTGAGGACTAATTCCTTTGGAATTCAGTGATTGCGCCCTTGAATCATTGGTCAGTGAGTAAAAATAATAATTTATGGCTGACGATAATTATTACCAGCGGCCCGTGTCGAACGATGGCATTATATTTCATGGTGATCTGATGAATCTGAGTGAGAGCCATCAGAGAATGGCGACGATGGATGCCAATGGTAATGGAAAACGTACTGTTCAACAAATACTGGATGACAATCGTCGAAAGCGGGCCTCCAACGATTGCATCGAATTCGCTGATCTTGATTTTGCATATGACGATACAGACACACATACCAATGAGATTGGTGAGTTGTACAGTTATACAGAGCAGTATGAGTTTGCACTTAATCTGAAGGCATTCGATGATTTGATGGAGAGTTACAAGCTCCGGCCATGCTGGCAAAATCTCCAGCAGCCCCAGCAAAAATCAGTGATTCTCAAACTTCTGGATCAACTTGAGGTCTCCAATAAGCACTCACGAATGAAAGCAGCCCGTTGTATCCTGTATCTCGTTCAGGGATGCTGGGCTGAGATGCAGTCAGACAAAGAGCAGCAAGACTGGACAAGAACCAACGTCATGATGCTCTACGAGGCTGGAATTTTTTCAGCTTTTGTCGAGCTTCTGAATATCGAGATTGAGAATAGTACAGCAGCGAGTTCAGCCATGCGAAAGCTAGCAGTGAGCCTCGCTGATTCAGTAGACCTCCGAATAATCCTCTCAGTCCTCTATATAATAACCGAAGTAATGAGAGAGGAATCCAAGAGTCTCGAGTCCACTCCTTACAAGGACAACGTTTCTAATTTCAAAGAGGAGCTCATTCAGGTGTACGGTGAGGACCTCTTGATTGTTAAACTCCTGGGGATGGTGACATCGTTCTGCAGTGGCTCAGCCCCACATTTTCCCATGAAGAAGGTCCTTCTGCTCCTCTGGAAACTCATCCTGGTATCACTGGGGGGAATTGACGAGTTGAAACGCTTGAAGGAACTCTATAGAGAAGAAGCAGGTCTGGAGCCACCACAAGAGGATACCATCGAGGTTGCGAGAACGATGAGGGCCAGCTCCCCACCAACGAGTGCTGCAGATCTTCTAGAGACTCAGGCAATAGACTCCCAAAAGAGGAACAGCAATAAACGTCCATTGAGAAGGAGCTTGATGAAGCAGAGCTCACTGGACGAGCCTGCCCTGGCTATGGAGAATGAATACGCAAAAGAGGGAGAGTCTGGGGGTAACGAGGGAGATGTAGAGGTAATCGAGTGTGTGAGGATGGTGCCGATGTCCCAGATTCCCATGTACTGTGAACGACCGATGGATCTGAGGCCCAGTACTCCAGAGCTTACAAAGTCCAGGGGCCTGCCTTGGACTCCCAAGGTTAGGCAGAAAGATGTAGCAGCTTTTCTCGACAGTTCACGACTCAAATTCGTGGGATATAAGCTCGAGGGAGATGTCGAGAGTCTCGTTGGACTACCACAGCCAATCCACGAGGGGGTTAATACGCTCAAACGACACATGTACACTTCTCTGGCTGAGGTGCAGATCCAAAAGGAAGAGGAGATTTCCAGGAATCCCATGAGCACACCTGAACCACCGCTCAGACAAACACCCACTGAGATACTCTATCAAGCTATTCTACCCAATCTCCCCCAGTATATGATTGCTCTTTTGAAAATTTTACTCGCTGCTGCACCAACCAGCAAAGCCAAAACTGATAGCATCAATATCATGGCTGATGTACTACCTGAGGAGATGCCCATGACTGTTCTCCAGTCCATGAAACTTGGAATTGATGTCAATCGACATAAGGAAATCATTGTTAAGGCTATATCAGCTATTTTGCTGCTACTACTCAAGCATTTCAAGCTTAATCATATTTATCAATTTGAGTTTATGTCACAGCATCTGGTTTTTGCTAATTGTATACCCCTCGTGCTCAAGTTTCTCAATCAGAATATTTTGGCGTATATCGAGGCCAAGAATATGATCCCTATCTTAGATTTTCCAATTTGTGTAATTGGTGATCAACCAGAATTGACTATTGAGAGCCTGGAATTCGGTGACAGTCAAACTTCCTCATGGAGAAATATCTTCTCTTGTATTAATCTTCTGCGTATTCTTAATAAATTAACAAAATGGAAACACAGCAGGATAATGATGCTAGTCGTCTTCAAATCCGCTCCCATTCTGAAACGAACGTTGAAAGTTAGAAATGCCATGACGCAGCTGTATGTGCTGAAGTTGCTGAAGATGCAGACGAAGTACCTTGGGAGGCAGTGGCGCAAGACGAATATGAAGACTATTAGTGTTATTTATGCTAAAGTTAGACATCGATTAAATGACGACTGGGCCTATGGAAATGGTAAGAAATTGAGAATTCATCAGGATCATTATTTAGCTGGATTATTGAAATTATTCATTTTATTTTTATGTGCAGATCTTGAGGCAAGACCCTGGGACTTCCAAGCCGAAGAGTGTGCCCTACGTGCCTGTGTCGATCAATTTAACAATCGACGATATTTGAACACAATCAAGGATGATCAATTAGATCCAGTGGACACTTCAGTCGTCTCGGTACTGGGTGCTAACATCGAGCTGACGGACGAATTCAAACAGCATTATGAATTATGGCTGCAACAGGAAGTATTCCAGACCCCAATCGACTGGGATAAATTATTGGAAATAGAGAATCATGATATCTAAATTTTTCTAGAAAAATCGTCACTTTCATTTCAATGATGAAATTATATTTTTTAATCGAAGAATTTCGCACTGGGGATCCTATTCTACAAAAAAATTTCACCACTTCAAAAATAAATAGTCATCATTTATGATAATTTCAAATTATCTTATACAACTATTGTATTTCATAGAATTCTTCAGCCATTCAAATCGAAAATTATCATTGCAATCTTATGCATCCCATTAGCAATAATTCGATATTTCTTCATTGTTTTTCGATTTATTTTTGATTTTTGAAGACGATTTATAAAGAATAGGTGAATCTGTTGATAGCTTTATAGATTACAATGTGGGGTATGACTAGATGGCTGCATTCAGCCATATTTCTACTTCAGATAACCATTGCCCTATTTAATATGATCAAAATTATTGTCCAAGCCCATTCAAGTTGTAATTAAATCTGTAATTAAATCCGTAATGATCTCCTCCAAAATATCAAGAAGACGTTAATAACCTAAATGGAAACATGACAGAGTCTGGTGAGAAAAAAATGGGGTAAAATGGATATTTTTGAAAAAAAAAAATTTATTCCAAATTACGAAAAATCTTGATAACAGAAAATTTCGTTAAATTTTCCTACTAATCTAAATTTATAGAGTATAGAAAGAATTTCACTCTGCCTCAATTATTCATTATATTGACCATTTATTGATCAAATAATTTCACTTGTCCCGCAAGATATAAATTTTTTTTATTCGATCAATTCCCATAATCGAGCGGATTGTAAAAATTTAAATAGAGAACAATCGATGATTTTAATAAATACATGAAATTTGTATGTATAAAAATGGGACATGGAATGTAACCCTTCATAATTAAATACCAACAGAGGAGATCAATAAATTAAATACTCAAGGATGATCAGGCCACTTGTAAGAGCCATAGTACATAAAATTATTCTTCTTAGCCATTTCATCAGCTTCACTTGGTCCACGCGATTTGTACTTGTAGGGAATGGGGGATATTTTTTCTCCCTCGATTCGATGCAACAGGGGAGTGAATATTCTCCACGCCTCGGACAATTCATCACTTCTTACGAAGTGCATTTGAGAGCCGCAGAAGACGTCCAGAATTAATCTCTCGTAGGCATCAGGGAGTTTCAAGTCCTTGTAACGACGTCCATAGGTGAGATCCAGCTCAGTTTCTTCCATATCAAATGTAATACCAGGTGTTTTCGTCATCATTTTAATATAAAGTGCCTCTCCAGGCTGGACTCTGATTACCAACTCATTTCGTTTTGCTTTACCATTAAATATGTCACCAGGTACATCCAGATATTGAACTCTGACTTCAGCTTTCCGTTCGTTCAATGCTTTGCCACATTTGAGTATAAATGGCACTCCATCCCATCTTTCATTATTTATCTTCAAGGCAGCCATTGCAAATGTTGGAGTTGTAGAATTCGGGGGTACTGTTGGATCGTCCAGGTATCCCAATCGTGCCTCAGGATCTTCAGCCTCTGGATCGCCAACGTATTGTCCCAAGATAACGTCGTCGAGTTCCAGGGGTTTTATGCATTTAAGGACTTTCACCTTTTCATTTCTGATATCATTGGGACAACACGATGCTGGTTTCTCCATAGCCACCAACGACATTATCTGCAACAAATGATTCTGCATAACGTCTCGTATTATACCGAATTCATCGAAGTATCCACCTCGTCCCTGGGTGCCAAATGGTTCTTTAAATGTTATATGGACGGATGCAATATTATCTCGATTCCAAGTTGGATTGAAGATTCGATTTCCAAATCTCAGTGTCATGAGATTCTGGACCATCTCTTTACCGAGATAATGATCGATTCTGTACAGCTGCTCCTCGTGGAATAGACTTGCTAGATGATTTGAAAGACGCTCTGACGTTGGAGCATCACGACCAAATGGTTTTTCAATAATTATTCTCGTCCAACCTTTTTGGCCCATGCAAGTATTCCTAATGTGCACTGTCACTGTCTCGAAGACACTCGGTGGCAGTGCCAGATAGAATAAACGATTGGCTTTACTCTCGACCTCACAATTCTCCAGTTTCCCATTGAGAGCAGCAAAGTCCTCTTCAGAGTCATATGAACCTGCAGTGTAGTAATTCAATTGCCAGAATTTCTCGTATTTCTCTTCCTCTCCGGGTTTCACCTTCATGTACTGATGGCACTTCTCCCGTAATTCCTTCAGAGTCAATTTACTCCTGGCATACCCAAAGAATGTCGTAGTCTTCGGAAGAAGATTGTCCCTGAAGAGCCACCAGAGGGTCGGGTAAATCTTTTTTTTCGCTAGGTCACCCTAGAAAATGCGAGAAACACATTTTTTCACTCATTACGTCATTTTCTAGCGGGAAACGTCCGATAATTTGCGGCAGAGATTATTTAAACCCGAGTACTCCAGAAAATTCCATTTCATTTGGAATTCCATTCTTTTTTTTACTTTTGGTGCATAAATTAATTTATTCATTACTCACCGATGCTCCAAGTGTGATGAATGTGTGAGGCGTATGTCCGTAGAAATGGGTGCCCTCAAGTTTATCCATTTCATCTCGTTTGAGGGACTGTCTGATGATTTGAAGACTCTCCTCCGTGGAGGCCCCTATAAAAATTGAACATTTAAACGATAAATAACAATGATCTCAATGCAATCCTAATTGCATTAAATTATATTGCACTCAAATGACCAATTATAATGATTTGACATTTTTTCTGCAATTACTCCGGTTCCTGTTGAAATAAAAAAATGGAAAAAAAATCCACCGATTTCCAGTGGCCAACTTACGCCCTAATCTGGCGCTCATTGTTTGTAATTAAGAATTGCACTCGTTGGGTCGATATGTTACAATTATGATGCCGACGACATGAATTAAGACTCTCGATACTTTGGGTATCAATTCTACTTGTTCACACTTCGACGAAAGATTTTGTAGTGAGAACCAGTGGTGCAATGTTGAGGTACTGCTTGTATTGGGAAAAATTACGCGATAAGCTTACAAAATCATGCGTATTTACAGATTATAGGAAAAATAGAGATAATTCCTACAAAATCGTCGATTTTTCTTTTTAAATAGCATTATCGCTCGGCGATAATCCAGAAGAGTATGACGATGAATCGATTGAAAAATTTTTACGAATTCTTTAAACATTTCTCAATTTATAAATGAGCATTGTAATACACATTGATAATTGGTTCCATAATCTTCTTTAAAGAGAAATATCTCCGGAACTAGAAGAGATGGGGAATTTTTCATAATAACTTTTTTTATAGCTACCAACGAGCTTTGTAAAAAAGGTTTTGATGAAAATTTAATTATCTTCATTAATTTCAATGTTATTTCGAAAAAACTTCAGGGCAGGATTGAGGCAACTTCCTCTCGGTTTTCAAAAATAGAATAGAGTGATGAATTTATAAATCCACAAACCTAATGCGAGAGCCAAATATTTCTTGTCCTTGGAACTAGCCATTCCCACTATTATCAATGAATTATCGATTAAATTCCTGGGAAATGATTTAAAAATCGAAAAATTATTGAGAAATCCACAGGTTCAAGTCGAACTTTTTCGACGTGCACTAAACCCAGAAGATTGTGCTACTGAAACGAAAAGGAGGAATGATGTGATGATGTGACCCCCTCGATTTCTTAAAAAAAAATAATTCCCAGGTAACCAATGGGAGGAGCCAATGTATGAAACTCATGGGCAATTGCCTTCAGGTGGGGAGTAGATTCGTCAAGTCTTCACTATGTAATGGGACTTTTATATGTAGATATGGAGTAAGTTTCAATTAACAAAAGATTACATAAGTAGAGATGACAAGTCAAGTTGTAGAATCGGAGAATGACCATCTCGTCCCTTTCAGGGTCATAATAATATTTTTTTTCTCTTCACATACCCTGAAGACCACCTCCATGGAGTCCCCCAAGTAGTCCAGCCCTTTCCCATCTGAAATCCTCAACCCTCAATAATAAATTATAAAAAAAAATCCGCTTATTCTATTTTTATAGTCCTGTCTTAAAACTCTACTTGAACATTTGCGTATTCAGTCTGCATGTGGACATTTCGTCTGATTATTTTTATAAAATGATTTTAATGAAAAGAAAAATGTTTTTTTAATTATAAAAAAAAAATAATTAACGATCTTTTCATTGTGTGATGGGGAAATTTTAGGGAATGATTTGATTTGGTGAACTATTTTTGCGGCGAAAATGCGTAATGTGGAAAAAAATTGATTAATAATTAATGAATCGATGTGAATTTGTCGTGATTGGGAGAGGGGGAAGTATGGGAAGACGTAATGTGCGGTCTTGGGTAGATGATATATAAATTCATGAACCACGTGGATACGTCATACGATGGACATTTTCCTAGCAGAATGGCGTGATGCTCTTGTGACATAACTCATATTCATATGATCCAATGATAAACTATCATGAACATTATACTTTTTACGTATCACTTGGGGATCATCTGGGGATGATTGGATCAGAGGGGCCGGGGCCAGGGGGAAAATCCATTTCTATCTATAATCATCATTGTAATTATCAAACAATTGGGATTACTCATTTCTGCTGTCAATTCCTCAGGCTAAATTAAAGTATTAGAACTTCTTTATATTTCTCATTATTAATTTCAGTGGAGAATAAAGAATTAGTCTCGCATTATAAGGAATCGGTTTATTCAGATTAATTTTAAACTGAAGAATTTATCAAGATGTTTTTATCTCCGGATTTACCTCATCTTCGTCATGGCATAGAATTAAAATGAGGTTTTTTCTGAACTCTGGAACCCATCGTATTTAATAATTGTTTTTTTTTTCGTTGCAATGAATATTAAAAAATTTCATTGAGAGGTAGATTTTTGTTTCTCTGAATGCCAGAGAAACATCGCGAAATTCCAAAAGAATCACATTGTATAGAATATTGATAATATATTATTGCTGCGTAGTAAAAGAGTTGAAGAATGTGCAATTACGCGAGGTAAAAACGTTTAAAAAAAAAAAAGAAAAACGCCGTCAGCGATAATTTCAATTGCGCATGTTAGGAATTTCAAAAATGGAAAGAAGTTAAATTGTCGTGAATCCCTCATTGTCATTGGATACACGATTTTTATTGTGTTATTACATTAAATCCTATCCCCATGTGCAGTGATTTTTATATACTCCTTATTATCACATCGCATTTATTTTTCTAATTACAACAAATATTGAACTTACGGCGTTGCGGTTTTGTCTTCGTCATGTCATCTGAGTCATGCATTTTCAGCAGAAAAGGAATTCCAATCAATTCTTCGAAATATTTCCTCATCAATTAATTGCTTCAGTGAAGATTCACGTCGTCCAACGACCGAGTGGTATTCACCAGAATTTTGTATTGTTAATTGTTAATGTATTATTGAACTAGAATCTGTTGAAATTACAGAAGAATTCACATGCTATACTTTGATATATATATGAACATATATATGTATACTGTAGAGAAAGGCGTCGCCGTGTATTATGCACTATATAGTGGGGAAAAAGTACAAGGAGAATTTTTTTTAAATTAAAGAATGAAATAAGAATTTTTGGGATGATTAAGAATGAAAATTTCGCTTTTCTTAAGACTCGCGATTTAAATTTGCAATAATTCAAATTGATAAATTGAGAATTTCATTTTTTTTATCTTCCGAAAATAAATATCTATAAATATATAACAATCTTTGTTTTGAACTGGTATTGCTATTATCGTTTTTGTAGTCTTTTTCCACCAGAGGGCTACACGATTTAAAATCTTCGCACTATATATATATATATATATATATATATATATATATATATCTCGGAAATTCTTGTGATTAGAAGAGTAGAGGATAAACTTAACCTCAAATTCAGGATCTAGTGTAAATAATACAGAGAACAGAACTGAAATAACAGTACATACAGCGAAATTGAATTCTTCTGGTGAGTTTCAAATATTTAAGAACAACTTCAGACATTAATCTCAAGAAAAAAAATCCAATTCGAAATTCTGTGGAATGCAATGGCGATCGGCGGCACAATAAAATTCATGTTGCAAGGAGAATAATTCATGTTATCACCGGATTTACAGAGAAAAATGCGATCCAGCATTATATTCATGAAATGGGCGAGATCTCCCCAGAATGAGAATAAAGTGCCATTTCAGGAAATTCTTCCTCTGAGATTGAGGAATCGTGTCACTGGAAAAGGCACCAGAACACTTGGTAATTGATTCTCATCAATTTCAAAGATTCACCAATTTCATTGATTCAAAAAATAATTTTTAAGAGCATCCCTCAATTTTTTTTCATTCATTCAAATCCTGTCTGCATTATTAATTTGTTATATAGAGGCTGGATGTCTTCAGGAAATCACTCTGGTTCTCTCTTGTCTCGTTAAGAATAACTACGAAGACAGAATGTGCACGAAAGAGACGGAAAATTTTCAGAATTGTTACAAGACATACCTGAAGAACAGAAATTTCTCAAAAGAGCAGGCCCTGACGGGTGTCCTCACGCCTGGATCTAAAAATCTCAAGTTTGGACAAATAAACAAATTGCTAGCCATGTTTCCCCATAAATAAATAGTGCATTTTGTCCAATTATATTATACTGTACAGAACCTCTTGTAGAGCAATTTTAAATATACCGTGAAGATTAATAATGTATTTTCATTTTTTATCTGCGATGCGATTCTCCTGAGATTCTCGGAGTTTCTTTACAGCTAGTCTGGTTGTATATCCTGTAATACAAATGATTATGGTTCCAATGAATTGATAATTAGAAATAAAATTGCTATTGAAAAGTCGAATGAAAAACAATTAAGAAGCTGCTTCAAGTTAGGAGCAATGAAAACTTACGGAATGTCACAGGATTATCCTGTAACGTATGCAATTGTTTCTCAATTCTCTTCAAAACAGTAAACTGTTCGTGGGACTCATCTCTGTACGTGTAATAGGAGTGTAATAAAACACCGAAGCACAGGAGTAGTGCTCCTTTCCGGAGACACCAAGTCAAAAAAACAACTTGAATCTATAAAAAAAATTACAGAATAAACTACACTGAGAGTGAAAATGAAATAAATTTAATGCGCAAAACATTTATAATTTTCAATAGACATTCTGATGACTAGAAATTTCCTATGAAAATATGTCCATATTACCCTGCACTGATTGTTATTAGAGTTAGGGACAATTACCGCATCATCGGGAGTTATTCCTTTGGTATTGTACTCGTACTGCACGACAATTCTCTCCAGGACGACATTTATACTCAGAATAGTGAAGAGAGTCACTCGAGCGTCAGCTGTGCGTTTTGATGAGCTGAACAATGCACAGATGATACATGTCACAGTGAAGTACAAGATTGACTGGAACCAAGAAACTTCTCCGATAATCCAGTCTTGGAAAGTTCGCATGTACGAAAATATTTCGTAAAGAAGGGCTTGTTGATCTCGTGAAGTTTCTCTATTTCGAAGGGGAAAAAAGTGAACAGTTTATTTTTCAATATTTAGGGGAATCACAGATGACAGAATGTTTAAATGCATTCCATCAATTGATCTTGTTGTTGGATGAAGGATTACTTGCCTGAAATCAGTTACCATAGTATTCACAGTCTCCGCTGATGACTCAATGATGCCTTCCAGGGTCTTTCCATGATCCAACAATTTATTTTGCAATGTCAATCCCTCCTTTTGACTCTCGAGCATCGATCCTTGGATTTCTGAAGCTTCATGAAGCTGTTCTCTCATTTTCGAGGAAGCGTCGTACAAACTACACAGAAAATCTCGTGTTAAATTTTACAACACAGTGGAGAACAAATTTAAGAATCCAAAAACTCCTACACTTGTATGATATTGTTGGTTTCGATCTGCCAGAGCTCGTGATTTAGAAAGAAACATATGTGTGTCGTGTGAGTATAGAATTCATTGTAAACTCCGAAGGCACGATCTGACATACTATTGATGCATTTCCTGTAGAGAAAAAATTCCTCGATTATCAATCAATCAATCAATTAATTGAACTTTATTCATCCTGCAACATTCATATACTCTACCTCCTGACATCCTGCGATTCACTTAAATAGCAATCGTACGTTCCATGCCCAGAGTCCTCGAGAAAACAATTAGCCAGTCTTAAAGCGAGTAATGAATGCTCGTGATCACTCAATTTATCACAATTATTTTTCAACACTTTCAGTGCATTGTGCCAGCAAGTTCCATGTGTTGGTAAATGTGACTTTTCTGAAAAAATAGTTTTTTAATTATATTGTGAGGAAATAATAATATCTCGAGATTAGCAGAGTCTAATTCAGCAAATCCAATCAAATTCATCGAAGTCTGGAGCTCTGACCGAGTGGATTCAACTAAATTATTTTGAAGCGCTTCTATTGAACCTCGAAATACAATCATAATTAAAACTCCATTTTCACCAGTACTTGAATTACCTATTAATTACCTATTAAAGAATTGTATTTTCTCTCTCCTAAATCCCTCAGTAAAAGACCCCCTTCGAATCCCAAACTCACACTCCAAACGGACAATAAAATAAACAATCGTGCCATCATCATTCAAAATTGTTTACAAACAAAAAATAGGTTACAGAAACGGCCTGGCCAATCCTGAATCATCTAACTTGTCGTTATTATTATCGTCATTATTATCATTATTCATGGCGCGTTTTCAGTTGAACGAATGGCGGCAGGCGGAAGTCAATTTCGAAAACCCCGCGTGACAACATGGCGGATTCACGTTTTCACTTTTCAGAGCATACGACTCGCGAATAATTGATTTTTTCAATTAATACGTGACGGATCGAAACCAGGTAATTTTATTTTAAAAAAAAACGAAATTCGCCTGATTCCTCCTGGAAATGACTATCCCATTGAAATTATTCACAAGTCTGTTCTTCCATCTCTGGTCATAATTCCCGTTCCCGAGTAGAATTGAAATTGCAATATGGCATAAACGCAGAGCGACATCCCCCGGACAGCCCTTTATTTGAAAAGTGGTCATGTCGAGGTTAAATGACGGTTTGCAAAAATCCTGTTATTCAATCCATTCTTTCCATCGGGACGAGATTTAAATCTCGTAATATAGTTTTAAAAATTTGTGGGTCAATTAAACCCGTATGGTGGGTCAGCAATCGATATATCGATATAACGATGACACGTTATAAACAGAGATTTTGAGAAATTATAATAAAGATTATAAATCAGATCGGCAATTGAGTATTTTGTATTTGGACACGGTAATATGGTCATGTCCGGTAATATTAGGTAATATTGACGTGAAGAAGTAAATAAAGTCGGTAAATCGGCGGTAATTATTGCCGGCGATAATTACCCCAAAAAATCTACCCTCTAGATTGTTTGGAGTCAATGGTTCACCGCGCTGTGAATTAAAATGGCTACTATGTATCGGCCATGATGGCGTTGAAGCACAGGGATAGTCTAACGCAAACATGTACTCGCAGTGAAATAAAACAATTATACTTAGTGCATGAGTGTTAAGGGTGTTTTAATAATGATAATCATTGTACAACGATGAGACCTTGATAAATACCATCGTGGTGGGTGTTGCGGGGCCTTTTGTAGGACCCCGATACGAGCCCCACGTTGAATAAGAAAAAATAAAAAGAAACACAAGACGGAGGATTGAGTGAATCTGATAGAGAGGGCAACAATCTAGTGAGAGAGAAAACGAGATTAAAAGTGAGTGCGAGAGTGACAAAATATATTCACTACTCATACATACGCCCCGAGTCTCTTGCAAGTCGTGCATACACAATACATATTATACATAATACATACCCATGTACATATGTACAATGGTACTGTATAAATGTACACACCGTTGACACATGCCGTTTTGATCGTTAATATGTACATGCACCTTGTACATGCGTATGTGAAATATATATTTATGTGTACATGAATCAAAAATATATGAAAAATATTTACCACTGTTGTAGATGTGCTGATGTATGTAACTGCAGACAACCATTCCCAGAGAACTCGCAATTATTCTTTTTCTTCGTAAATACGAGTGTTTTTTTTTCTTCTTCAAATCCAGTGGTGGTTGGACACATGGAGAGTTTATGAGTAAATAGCAGTGATTTTTATACAGGAGTTGTGTGGTGGAGATATTCGAGTGTTTCACCTGGTGATATCTTCTTGACTGATGAGACAGTGGTTTTAAGGTTAAGTGACACATTTCTTTTTTTATGTAGGTTGTAAAATGTGTTTATTCAGTGAGATATTGATTCTTGGGGACTGAAAGTTTAGTTTGTGGAACATCTGTGATTTTGGGGGGTTGGGAGGGTTTTTTTTTGGCATTTTTCGTGACAGGAAGAAGTGACAATGAGCAAACTGTCATTCAGGGCAAGGGCCCTGGACGCCTCCAAGCCCATGCCGATTTATATGGCTGAGGAACTTCCAGATTTACCAGATTATTCGGCTATTAATCGGGCTGTACCTCAAATGCCTAGTGGTATGACTAAGGAGGAAGAATGCGTAAGTTGATGATTTTTTTTCTTTTGCGAATTCATGAGGGCAGCATGCGAGCATGTTTTTCCAATGATCCGCCATTTTGCAATTGTCCAGGATCTGGGGGGATTTGTAAACATCACGGGGTGGTCTGTTTTTGGGGGGTTTTCAATGATTTTTAACGGGTCATCGAGGTGTCAGTGAGGTTATTGATTGTTGAGGGAAAGAGGGGAGTTCTTTATTGCAGAGCGTTTTATTTTTGTTCTTTTTTTTTTAATGCAAATGGATCTGTATGAGAGCAGAATTTTGGGATTTTTGGTCCTGCAATCATCGAAATTTGGGGATTTCAGATGTGCAAATTTTGGGACGATTTGAGAATTGTTTGTTAATAAAATTACATCAATATTTATCGAGAGCAACAATTATATTTTACTGATTGCAAAAATCCTTCATGAAGAAATAATTTACTGATTCAGTTACAATCAATTTTTTAATGACAATACCTTTTACTCATTTTGATTCAATTAAAATGAAATAAAAATCAGAAATTAAATGGTAATTTTTCATCAATTAGGAATTTCAATGTTACGATAACAATGAGATGTGTTTATCCTCTAAGAGAAAAAATTCATTTTATCGTGGCATATCACAAGTTTTTTAATTGACAAAATAATATTTTCGCGTATCGACTTTTATAATCCCGCTCATTCCAAAACAATATCACTGAATTAATCAAATACCTGGGAACAGGAGCATCATCTCCAACGGGCAATATGCGCGGGACTGATAATCCCTACTCCAGAGGTCACCGACTTGACGGATGTGGAGGCATACGACAAGATATACCCGGCTGATTATAAATTACCTCGACAATTGATTCACATGCAGCGTGAGTTTATTTGAATTAATGAATACCTGAAACTATACTTCCCGCTGTCTTTAAAAATTATGGACTTGAGTGATTTCTCAATAATTATCACCATTACGAAGTTAATCCAAATTCTCTTACACATTATTCATTCCTGGAGAACTCCAGGGGAATTCGTAAAAAAATCATCAAAATTCTATTTCTCAAATTTTGAAAATTAATTACGAATTATGGCTTACGAATATATCTAGTTGAATATAAATTATTATAAGCAAAGATGGATGATACATAGAAATTCCTTTGAAGATTGTGTAATAAATTATTAAATTTGAATTGTTTGTAGCATTTGCAATGGAACAAGACATCCCAGACTACGACATGGACTCAGAGGATGAGAAATGGGTGGGAGTTCAAAGTAGAAAAATGGATCTCACCCCATTGCAATTCGAGGAGATGATGGACAGACTGGAGAAGAGTTCAGGACAGAATGTTGTTACTCTAAACGAGGCTAAGGCGTTATTAAAGGAGGACGATGATCTGATAATAGCTGTGTTCGATTATTGGCTGAACAAACGCCTGAAAACAGTAAATTCATTCCCCACCATAATGAAAGAACGATTTGCTCCTGTCATTTACTCCCTGATAATCAATTTTTCAATCAATTTCTAGCAACATCCCCTACTGCTAACTGTGAAAACTGATCATCGTTTGGGTTCAGCCGCCAATAATCCCTACTTAGCGTTCAGGCGGATAACCGAGAAAATGCAAACGAGAAAAAATCGTAAAAACGATGAGACAAGTTATGAAAAAATGCTCAAACTACGAAGGGATCTCAGTAGAGCAGTTACTCTTCTCGAATTGGTCAAGAGAAGAGAAAAAACGAAACGTGAACATTTACATTTGACTATTGAAGTCTATGAGAAGAGGTAATTGAAATTTCCATTTTTACAATCAATTAGAAACTCAAATAGACAAAATAAAAAAAATCCTTTTGTGACATCGAGGGAAAAATGAACTTAGTGAAGGTGTAAAAGGAATCCAGTAGACTTGATTCTTACTCAACTTTTCATAGAATATTTTTGAATTTAAATGAAATTTCAATGAAATGAAATCAAAAAAATTCGTCGAAAAGTCATTTATGAATACAATTAGCTAATAGCCCTTTACCATTTATCGAGATAAAAAAAAAACAAAATCTAATATTCCTGAAACATTTTCTCAGGTATCAAGCGGAAGACTTCAATGGGCAAATACTGTCTGACGTGTCGGCATTGAAAACGACGAGGCCAGCATTCGCACCCCTATTTACCAATCAATTCGGTGTTCACCAGAACTGGGCAAATAAACTGTCGAACAAAGAGGATGGCTTACCACGAAAGGAGAAACGACAGTATAAAAAGAGAAAACACAAAGTGGATGGTAGAGGAGGTGGACACGATGAGAGTAATGTACGAATTGGTTCAGGTACTGGTAGCAGTAGGAGTACGAGGACCAGTGTGATTGGTAGTGGGCTGGACCCGCTCGCTAGCTCGGACGAGGACAGCCCTTTTCCCCACACACAAATGTCCATGTCATCGGATCGCGATGAAGATGATAACACGGAAGAGGGTCCCTTTGCCTTTCGTCGAAATCGATATTCCACTTACCTTCCACCTGTATCAAATGGTTTTGGCAACTGGCCGTGGTGTGAGAAAAGCGAGGGCGGGGGAGCCAATAAAAAATACAGATTTGCACTGACCAGCATTAGTAAACCTAGTCCAAGGTGTATAGGCCTTGCCAGGCGGAGGCTAGGTCGCGGAGGAAGAGTTATCCTAGATCGCTATTCTAGCAGTATGGATGACATATGGTCATCGTTAGATTTTACAATTCACGAGTCCCAACAGGCTTCACCAGTGGATCCTTTAGTAACAGCAGTTGGTACAACAACCACTATAAAAAAGGAGCTATTACACTTTCGACCGAAAAGCCCAGAGTGTGATTATCAACATGGTGGCGGTGTGGTGAACTCATTAATAATGACAAGTAGCAGTACCGAAGAATCAGAGGGTGAGTTGGAGCCAGATCCACGCACAACACCTCAAGTATATCAAATACCCCAAGAAGCCACCTCCATATGCGTTGACTTTGAGCCAGAGAGACCTGGTGAGGAGTCACCATTCACTACCGAATTCAATGTATCCGATTATTTCAACGTCGATCCATTATCAGAATTCGATCTCGGTGTTTCATCATCGATAAACGACGATCAGTATCAATTCGGCAGTTCGCGCTTCCACGTGAGCCAATTGACAGACAATGTTATATCATGTCGTGGTAATCAGTGCAGTGTTAGTGAAACTGTAAATACTAATGTCCCAATAGTGACTACAACATGTTCACCATCATTATCGATATTATCATCGTCAGTATCCTCAGCAATATCGCCATCCATCACTACCTCAATTGCCAATCCTTCCACATCAACGATTATATCATCAGTCATAAATAGTACACATCAGTTTGTCGACAATGGTAATTATCAGCAATATAAAAATCAACAGAGACAATCGTTATCACGCAGTGGTAATTCATCTGTATTGAATAAATCAGTGGTTACCGGAGGGGGTAGGAATAGTAATGTGGACATCACTGGGATGACGAACTTTGGTAATGGACATCAGAATGGTCCGTCCAGTCATTTACATGGGACTAGTGTTGTTCTCCAGAATAGTAGTGGTTATAGTGGACATAGTCAATCGGCGTTATTGTTACCACAGAAACATCCACCCACTGGGTTGATACCTGGATTCATCGCGCCCAGCAAATTGGCCAGTCTTGCTAGACAACAGCAGCATCAGGTACAGCAATCTGGACCCATTCAAGGACAACAGTTGACCACGTCTAAGGACATTACGCTTAATAGTAATAATAGGTAAATTGTTTTTTTTTTCTCTTCTCATTTTTCCTTCTTTAATGTTTTTTTATTTTTGTATTTTCAATTTTTTTTACTTTCGTTTGGTGGGAAAAATATGGATGTTTCAGCAGAAACATATCCGAGGGAAGATAAATAAATAATGATTACTCGTGTTTCAGTGAGGGAATGGATATGGAAGTAGATGGTGTTGAAGGATCATCCTGTGATACAAATTCACAGCAGCAGCAACTAGTGCGAACTAATAAGACAAATTCACTCGCAATGGAAGTGACATGATGCCTGTTGTTAAAACCCCCATCAAATATTTCACGTTATAACTGGGGGCTTCGCTTATCAATTTCACCACAATTGGAAATAAGGGGCAAGGAAAATTATTTTCCAATGACTCTCCAACAATCTCTCATTCGTCATTTTTTTAATCTGTGAATAAGGAAACAGAATGATCATCGAGTTGACAAAGTGCGGGCTACGCTTATTTTCTATTGATTATGTGAAATATATACTGAATGAACAAAAATTATTCCCTTGGGTAAACAACAATTGGATCCAACTACATTCTTCTATGAAACTAAAGGATAATCTCTTTATTTCAAATTAAATTTCATTGTAAAAATAACCATTACCTGTTCACGACGATGTGTGATAGTCAAATGTAGTTAAAAATTTTCAGAGAGAATTACCAATGGTTTGAATCCCTCGAACATTCTTTCAAGTAAATTTAACATTGAGTAAAAACCATTGCTCAATCTATTGAGAAATTGTGCGACGTACAGAGATGCAGGGAATTTTCATGATAAAAAATAAATAAAAATGTACCTTCATGTCCATCGCAATGCACTAATTTATAAATTTGAGATAAAACCCCAAAAGGAATGAGATTTTTTATTTATTTTTTTTACAATATACCAAATTTAATTTTTGTTCAGCTTAAAGTACTCGCTCTTGGAAGTATTAACTGATTTAGTCAACACTTTTTTTTTCAGTCTTATGTTTACGAATGGTAAAATAGTGAAACGAAATATAAAAATTGGAGGAGAACCCGTAACTTTCATTGAAACAGTTGATTAAAAAAAATGAATAGACAATTTCTATGATGACCATATAACACTGAATGATTCTGCAGTGAGGAAAATGTAAAAATGAATGGATAGGAACGTCGATGAAGGTAGGGATGGATGAATAGATATATTCATTTGAACGATTTCAACTAAACATATAAATGAGAGAAAACCTACAAATATAAATGATAATAAGAGAAATTTTGTAAATACAAAAATAATTACGCTTACTGTATCTTTTAATTTAAGGCGATTAATTAAATCAATGTAATTAAATGTTGTTGTGGTAGGTGCGCAGTGATGTGTAAAAAAAAATATGACTAATTGAAAGATAGAAAAAGAATAACACGGAAGAAATTAATTGAAACAAGAATCACAGGAAGAATAATAAATAAATTTGATCCTGAAATTGAGAGAGATCCCGCTTTCCCTCATTATCTTTATTGTCCCAAGATTGTTTATATTTTTATTAATTTCAAAATTGCATCGGCAATTCGATTTTGGCGGCATCCACATGTCGCTGGAGTTGTGGATCAATGAAGATTCACCTGTAGGTGGAAAAAAATTCTTGTGACTCCATGGCTGGACTTCTCATTGGTTGACCCCCTGCGCCCTTCGAGTCATTTGACGACAGTTAACTGACTTGGACCAATGGAAAATTGCCAAATACCCAGAATGTCGTGAAAAAAATCGTCCAAGTACTCCCTCACCATCAGTTCACATTAGTTCACTTCCGCGGTTTGTTGTCTTCTTATAATCAGTGTTTATTCGGCCTGATAACGTTTTCATCATCGATAATAACACTGATAACACACCAGTATGATATCTGCTGATCGAATTATGTGGCCATAGTTTCTGAATAAATAAAATATCTCTGTATGTATGAAAAATCTAGCTGACAATGTACTCCTATTGTTTTCCCTTGAAAAAAGTAATCGTAAAATTACAAAGGGCATTATTATTCAGTAAAAATATCCCACAATTCATTGGAATGCTCGAGTAACTAATGGTAATGATCTGATGATGTTTTATGCATTATCAAGTCATCGGTTATTTCAATCAGTTGTAGAATATTGCGTTGTGTGTTATCTCGTCAATCCAATTAACGACGCTAATACGATTAAATGACAATTGAAGAGGTAACTTATTTGTTCTTGTTCTAGTGGACAGCAAAATAAATTCTGCGCATTGAGGAAGAAGTGTTGTTGATAAGTACACCTAATGGGGGAAAATAGTGACGTCGAGATGATTAATCTACTTGTTAAGGCACCGGATCAACAGATTAGTGATCAAATTGTCAAGTGTCAGCTGCATTGGACTGTTGGGAGGTTAAAGGAGCATCTCGAAACGGTATATCCTACAAAACCAAAACGATGTGAGCAGAAGGTCATATTCTCTGGTCAACTGCTGAGTGATTCCATGATTCTGCAAGATGTCCTTCCACAAAATTATAATCAGAATGAGCCATTGGATAACACGTACATTATCCACCTGGTGTGCACACTGAAATCCACGAATTACCAGTCATTGCCAAGTTATCAGGCACCATCTAGTACAGTTCATACTTCAGATATTATGACACCACCACCAACGGTACAACAATACTATAGTCAACTCAATAGTCAACAAATGGCGTGGATGCAGCAAGCGTATGCCCATTATTTAACGCAATATATGCATCTAATGTCAGCCCAGGGAATTCAGGTGGAAAATACTATACCCTACGTCCAGTCGACGAATGTCCGCAGGCCAGACGTTGCGAGTAATACGAATAATCAGACCCATAATAATGCCAATCAGGACGAAGGTAATGATGATAATCATGGGGCTGAGCAAGAGGGGGCAGATGCAGGCGTCAACCCTGCGAATAATAATGTTAGAGAGAATCGAGAAGCTGGTGTTGTTTACGATTGGCTCGATGTCTTCGATTTCATCACTCGTTTTTTCGTCCTGTCCAGTATTGTTTATTTTTACTCATCACCCTCGAGGTTCCTCGTGGTAACCTTTCTGGGATTCGCCATTTATCTACTTCAGGGTGGGTTCTTCAGGGGTCAGCCAATATTTCCAAATGATAACGGTCGTGCAGAGAATGATAACAACGCTGATAACGAGGGAGCCCAGCCTGCTGAATCGAATCATCAGAGAAATCCAGCCCCTGCTGCAGAACCTCCACCCCAGGATTTGAGGGGTACGAATCCCAACGAAGATAATGGAAGACCTGGGGCATGGGCATTCACGTGGACCTTCTTTAGCTCGTTCTTCACATCTCTCATTCCTGAACAGCCACCACCTGTCCTCTAAATTAATCCCTAATACTTTATTTTACAATTTCTACTGCAGAGTGGCGATAGTTCATTTTTTTTCAAGGCGAGTTTTTTTTATGATATTTCCAGATTAAACGAATATAGCGATTTTTCTTAAGATACATTTTTTTTTTTTGAAAAATGAGAGCGGCAAAAACGGTATTTATGGAAATATCGCTATCTTTCATCGATTCCAAGATATTTGCAAAAAGTGTTCTTGAAAAAAAATGCACTCATCGTAGTTTCAAAGTTCGCAGCAGAATTGATCTTTTCACGATCAGAAGTTTCACATTATTGAATTTATGAAAAATCCTGGGTAACTCCTCGTGAATTTATGGGAATTTATAGAAATATTCATTACATTTTTCTTTAACGTGAAATTATCCTCGCAGAATTTTTGAATTTACATCTATTCGAGTTGTTTCTCAGTTAAATTGTTAAGTAAGTGTTCTAATTTTGTTTTTAATCGATAAATATTAAAGGAAGAAGATATTCAGAAGAAAATGTTTTCTCTCATGTGATATAAGCGAATCATGCATTAATATTGCTTAGTTTTTATTGCATTGAAAATAAATTGTATTCCAAAGATTAATAGGTTTACAAGTAATTTGTTTAGTAAACTCATAATTAAGAAAAAATGTTCACTTTTATTTCCAAAGGTCTACAACACATCAGTTAGTTCCCAATGATACCCTGGACGAATGCTTCCTGGAATTACGAATCCCCAGAAATCCCTTATATCCCCTTACGGATATAAAAAATCAATTTCACACAATTGAATTTCATTTGTTGAGCGACATTTGTTTGATAAAATCGATTAACCCATGGGAAATAAAAGTCATCGAGGTAATGATGGTCACACGGTGATGAAGCAGATCTGGTCGGGTATTGAAAAAAATCCTCAATACCACGCGAATCTATTTTTCATAGGGTAATTACCAAAAATTCAAAGAATTCTCTTAATGCCTCGTAATCATTTGGATTGAAATCAATAAAAGTTCTCCGAATATTTAGTTTTTGCAAGACAAATCCTCAATACTCCAGGTACTTCACCACCGATCCGGATATTCCGCTGTCAATCGATGCTCGAACGAGTGCTAAATTTCGATTGATCATGGAAGCCCTGGGATATTTATTACTGGATACATACAATAAACCAAATCAATTGGAGTACATCACTGGCTACATTGCAATGATCCACAAGGACATGGAATTAATCTCCGCCGATATGTTTGTAATTTCTTTATTCATTTTCACGTCACATTTTTTTTATTGAAAATAGAGTGGAAAATAGTTCGTTTGAATCTCGATAACTCTCTCGATTCTCTAGAATTTTGGAGCAAGTCTTGTTCATTATTTGACAATAACTTTCCCTCAGTCAATGTCTCCCAATTGTCAATCCATAGTTTCTGGGTACATTCACAATATCTTGGACGGAATATCCAGAAAATTGGAGGATTTCAGGGAGACTGATATCAGGACTAATATTACCGGAAATAGTGACGATATTCCCCTAAAGTGGAAAATATGCTTGGTATTTATTTTCTTGTTGAATTTGAAAATCGGATGAAATATCATCAGTGATCCCTCAGAAATCTAGAGGAAGATTGCGTTGGAGATCGAAATCGGCTTCGATCTACGGCCACACGGTAGATTATTGGATGGAGAGGAAGCGCAAATGGGACGAGCGACTGGAGTCCTGGAGGTGTCATGATCACGGGACAACAACGAAAATTGAAGTTTCTCCCTCTGAAGACATCCCAAGAGTGAAGATTGGAGAAGCCACTGTGGAGGACATTGGATCTCATGCAGATCAGTTCCTCAAGTCTTACGGAGTCATAGAGGAAATAAAACGAACGGTATTCATCAGTCCCCAAATAGTTTTATCCATTCCTAGATCAGTCATGGACACATTAAGACTTCCTAAATTTGAAGTACATCAGCCAACACAGAGAAAACTATAAAAAAATAGTTTTATAAATTTTTTGAATGAATTTCAATTATTGGAATTAAAATAAGACAGAATTAAAAAATTGATTTTTTCTCTGTGAGGGTAATTAATTTTTTACTCGGGATTTCGAGTGGTGGTCTTAGTGCCCATGACTGTTCTGGATAATTGTGACTCTCTGTACAATTATGTACTCCTGGAAAGTCGTGTGAATCCAGACGTCGACGACCAACTCTGATGACCAAGAAATCCGGCGAAATGCAATACAAAGTCGTAGAGACGATGATAAATGCCGTGAAGTCCGATAGAGAGAGAGATTCCATCATCACTAACTCCACAGCTAGACAAAGACGTCGTGAGAGGCAGTTAGGCTCTCCCTAAATTCTCATCTGCTCGTCTTCAGGTACACGTAGCTAATCAGTAAATTCCTCGTTTTACTCCTCATCCGGATCATTTTCGTAGATCTAGCTTTCCAACATCTCGGGGTCTACCTCCGCGTAATGGTTTTATCAGACTCACGTTGTTGTCACTGGCAACTCTTCGTAATTTATTATCCCTACAATATAAAAAGAGTGCGATAATTACACTAGCTAATTTATTGTAATTATTTGTCAAAAAATAGAGAAGTTAGAGTTTTATTCAATAAATCAAATTAAATTGTACTATCCTTCGATGATTATTCCCGAATAAATTATTTTTCACGACTTCCTGGTGCAATCATTCATCAAATAAGATGAATTACTGGAATTACCTGATCCTCGAAGCAGCTGAAGAAATCGGTGGAAAGGTGCAAACAGCTGGTGAATGAAGTGGTCTAACAATCGGTCCCATGACGCTCTCGATTTCCCTAGGTTCAGGAATTGGAGGCAGCGGTGACTCCCAGTCTGAATCAGTGGAACTACTGGGTATTCTGCTGTCATCCAAGACCTCGACGTTTCTCGAGATTGGGGGCAATCGATTGTTGAAGAGCATCGACGAGACAGATAGATCAACAAGATTGCTGTCATTGTAAGCAGCTGCATGAATCTCCTGCTGATACATAACGTACAACCCCTGGAGATCATTCGGAAGCTCGAGCTTTCCATCCTCCATGATCCTCCTCTGACGTGTAATTATTTCATCCGATATCTGCCTCTGTCTGTCATACCTCAGCAGCAATAATTCTCTCCTCCTCAATTCGTGTTGCTTCACAAGTCTCTCACTCTGTAGCATCATCTTGTCTGCCTCAAGCTCGTGAACTCGTAGCATCAGTGCTAATAATTCTCGTTCCTGATCCGAATTTATTTGGGATGGCAATTCGTCTTCTAGATCTGCACTCTGCTGTCTGCAACTCTCTAATTCTCGCTCTGTCAATGCTCTCATCTCTGAATAACGCTCTTGCTCTCTGCTTATCTCTGATAACTCGTTCCACGCTTGTTGAACGGTCAGATCATCTATCTCCCCTTCTTCTGTAGAGTCTGAGGAACAGGAAACAAAATATTTGGGTGAAGTTGCGAAATTTATGGTGTTTTCGGAAATTGTACCTTCATTATCCACTTCCTCAACTTGACTGTCTGCACTGCATCGTCTTCTAGTTGAGTCTTTACTCGCTTTGTACAGTTTATTGTTCCGGGATTCCCAGTGGGCTATGATTGCGTGCTGTTGTTCGCCCGCGATATTCAAACCGAGTAAATGGCTATCGAGTTCCATCAGCTTACGTCTGCGCGAAAATTCATTACATCAGGGTGAAACAAATTTTCCATTGAACAACAAAAAAAATGGGGGGACAAATAGTATAATTTAATTCTCGATTTGAATTGCAAATTTACCTCAACCTCATCTGCTCTTTGAAGACCGAAACAATTTTCTCCCTCAATGTTCTCAAGTCATTGGACTTCATTTCCGTGATCGGTTCATCGACATTCGATAGCGGTCGCTCCGAGTCGTGCATTTTCCTTCTGAGTCTCGAAATCTCGTTCTTCAAATCGCTGATAATGTCGCGGTACTGGGACACGTGATAATTAACATCGACGATATTTCTCTCGACTTTATTTGTGATTCTGTTGGCTCGATCCGCATACATGAGAGTATTTTTACTCTCGTCCCGGTGAACCGACACTGGAGATACATGAGCGATCATGACAGTTCGACTGTTCCCCCCGAGGGCATCTTTCAGAAGCCGAGTTAATTTTGAATCTCGATAATTTACATATCTTGCACCTGCAGAGAGGGCTGTGATGCAGTTACCGAGGGCCAGAAGTGATCTGTTAATGTGGCCACCTTCCTGGAGTCGTTTCCCTTGATTCTATATTGAATGGATTGAATAAAATTAATTATCAATTCAATTCCATTATTAATTCGTTCGAATAAATGACATTATTCAATTAATTACCTCCATTTTCTTTTCATTTTCAATAAATACCGAATTTTTTCTTTCAGATGAAAAAATATTTCTATAAAAATACATATTTGGGAGAAATCATTTATTTCTCATGTGCAACACGTACTTTTGTTTGCTTGGCACGTTCTGACCCAGCAAGATCGATCATAAAAAGTTTTCCCTGCTTGACCCTTGTCCGCTGACCGATATCCTTTCCTGATTTGGGTTTTGTCGTTTGTTTCACCAGGACACTGAGTAATGCATGACTCCTTGATGACGTCTCGTTCGCTGCTGTTGGCTCGACAGTTCTCGCTGTGTTCCCTCTGTGCAACAGCTTCATCACCTTCAATCAACAAATTACACCTGTTATTATCCAGGGTGATGTTTTGGATCCCTGAGTGAATCCAGAGAGAATCAACTTATTACTTCCTCCGTAGAATTCGTTGATATCTCTGTGAGACCTGCGACATGAACACTTCGACCCCTAGACTCGTCACGCAACTCCAAGTAACCGGTACTGGGATTCAACAGGTCGCGGATATTTTCGTTGTATATTTCCAGGTATGACATCGTCACCTGGAAAGTGGAAGCGGAATGAGAAAAAATGGATTTCTACCAGCACTTGAAGGCAATGCAAATTAATCTTAGGAATAAATTGAATGGTAAATTAATTACTTCGAAATCAACGTTTTCCGGTATTTGACGACTCGCCAGGAAAATATCATTGAGCGCTCGAACCATAACTCCGGGTTCTGCTGGACTCCCCACCATTGTATGGGTTTTTCCAGCTCCAGTTGCCCCATATGCGAAGACGGTGGCATTGAATCCATCGATTATGTCTTGCACCAGAGGCTTTGTTGTGCCTTCGTACACCTCCGCCTGGGTTGAACCCTCTCCGAGGACTAGATCGTATAAGTACTGGCGTGGAGATGTTCGCTTCAACTTGTCGATCTCCAAGTCATCCAACATCACCATCTGAAGTTTTATTTTTTATAACAATTCTCTCATGTAAAACTAAATTGACAAAATGATCAATCAATCTGAAGGTCACGGAACGAAAAATACAATTGCTTCATATTTTTCATGATTCCAAGAAAATACAAATGTTAATCGAATGAAAATTGAAGCAATTGAATCATTTTAAAGGAATAAAAAGAAAAAACTCTCCGCTACTTTCCAACACGTGTTTTTTTTTAATTGACACTTTCAGTAAGAAATGTTAGGGTAGAAATCTAGGGTAAAGATTTTGTCTCATCGTGGAAATTATGTTCAAATTGTTTACGTAGAAATTCCTTCTTGCTGTCGGAAATCCGTAGTGATTCGTCTAATAGCAATAATCCAACTGATTTTTTTTTGTTAAATTGGCAATTTTTTTTTTTGAATTTCGGCTTTCGGGGAAGTTCAACTCCAGCATCATCACCTTATTATTGACAGCATGAATAACTCGCGATCCAGATTCGTCTTCACCGAGTGGTCGAATCCTCACCGCCACCTGAACATGCAAAAGAAAAAAGACACTTAGTGAAAATCGATAAGTCCCCCAGTGACCTGCAAACCAGCAAAAGTCATTTGTGCGCAAACTGAGCGGTCACACGTCCGTTCTGGGTTTTCCACAATTCATTGTCGGCACAACGACCCAATATCGATCGATTCTTTGCAGTCATCCCCATTCTCTCGTACATCTCAATGGACTTCATGCACGCGAGTCAATTCATTTGTTGTTATTTCATAAATTATTTACATTGGCAAATTCCACTTTTTTTAAATTATGTTGGGCAGACTGTTGAATTCTGAATTGCTATGGAAAGGATGTGAATTCAATCGGAGCGATATTAACGATGTTCTATATCCATATATATCCAAAATTCACATTTTTCAAATCCTTTGACAAATTATCGATGAGATTGATGTGAAGAAATATAAGGTTTTTTTATTTCCTCATTATTTAATGTATTTTCCACAATTTTGTAATTCTTCGTAAATGATTTGACAAAACGCAAAAACATTACATTTTTTTTTCACGTCAATCTCCTAGTAAGTTTTCCAGAAAAATTGCGAAAATGCTAATTTTGGTGCTATATAGGCTATAGGTGTAGAAAACCCCTAAGAATTTTATCGAGCTTTTTCACTTTTCAGGAATTCCCCAGAAGCTTATAAATATCTATAGCCTTTGGAAATGAACTTTTTGGAAATATTTTCTATGATTATCCAGAATATTTCTGAAATTTGTTGTCTTAAAGATTTTTTTGCCTCCGAAAATTCAATATCGCTATCAAATTGCGTAGAAAATTATAATATGACGTCTCCTAAAAAACCTTTCATGCAGAATTTTACCATAAGTTTTTCTTCAATGGCCCGACTACACCGATCCTTAGAGTCTCTTCTGCAGCTGCCATTGGAGCTAGTTGTGCTTCCACTTCCACTGCTACACTGCGTCATACTCACAATATTAAAAAAAAAACATTAAACCTCACTTGATCAATTAAAAAATAAATCCAAAGCTGTGCAGAACCCCGAAGAGTCCGGATCGAAAGAAAAACAAATCCACCACAATCCAAAGTTTTTACAATCAAATCAATTCCACTTCGACATCAATCTCCATCAAATTTTAATTTTCAAAATCCAGAAAGGATGAACTCAAGCGATAGATTTCGAATTGCGTTCCACGTGAAATCGATTTTTTTCAGCGGCTTATCCTCGATCAATTGTCAAATTTCTCTTGACAAATGATTTTTTATTACACAAATATAATAATCATGTCCCCGACAACTGAATCATCGCAAAGAGCTGGAGATATTGAACTCGATGGAAAGCAAAAGCATGACTGACCTGATGAGATCTCCATCACCTCCAGAAGTCCTCCAGAACTTCCAGCTGTTCACCTGCGCAGACGGAAGAGCGCACGTCAACATTCAAATTCTTTTTCGATTTTACCCCTATACCCGCGCTTCTTCAACATAAACAATAATTATCAATATCATAATGAGCCAAACCCACTCATTACCAATTATCATATCCAAATTGCCGTTACCTTGATTTATTTTTAATGTCAAGTACTGCAACTCACAAAGTGCTATTTATCTTCGTGAACAGCAACTTCCTGCGTACAAAGTGGTATTTACTTATTTATTTCTAGTTGAAAGGTTCCGGGTATTTTATTCGTTTATTTTTCAGCAGTGCCAGCTAGTTGATGGCAACTTGCTGAGTTTATTGGAGGATTCATGAATAAATTAGGGGAGAAAGGAAGAATCTATCTATCAAAGTCGTGGGATCGATATGGCAATATGGGGAAACCTTTCAGGGACGAATGGTCTAATTATATTTTTCCTTCTCTTTCGCAAATTAATATCATAACAGAAAGTCTTCTATACCAGAAAAATTATTCTAATTTAATACCAGAACACAATTTTTCCTCAATATCTCCATAGTAATAATTAATATTAATTATTCATTATTCACCATATCCTTCACAAGTGAATAATTAAATATTATTATAAATCTGGATATTAATGATTAATATTAATTATTTTGTTTTGGTTTAACAGGTTTGCGGAGAGTAAATGAATTTTTGGTAAATATATTTTTACAATGAATAATTTTTTAATGAATTTCACTGAATCTCTACAGAAAAACCTTTTTTTTTAATTGACAAGTCGTTTAATGAGTGAATTCACGTAAATTTTCTAGGTCAGTCAATTAAATTTTCAACCGATTTTCCAATAAAAAAAAATGCATAATGCATTCTCTCGGGAATTTCCATGCAGCACCGGGCAATTATAAAAAAAAGCAATAAAGAAAGCACTTCTCTCCATTTGTTCAACTTAACAACTGGATTTTACCCGGACGCACATTTTAGAAAAGCTCGGCTAATCTACCCACGTGTAATAATGCCTTGGAATAAAAGGATTGCGTGAGTCACGAAAATTTCTCCAAGGGGACGACCTTCGTTGCTTCCTGGTAAAAGGGCTGGGGATATTTTTGGGATATTCCCTCTGAAAGTCGCGGTAAAATATACACCCCCTGTTTAAATGTAGCCGGAAGATTACAGAAATACTGATTAAAATCTCCATTGCACACGCACCTCGGAGTTGCACTGGCCTAAACCCAATTACAAATTCGTGTCAACGAAATGGAGAGCAAGGATGACTAGAGAAGAGAAGGTGAACATTCAGTGGGTGCATTATTATAGTTGCCCTCAATCCATCATTTAACAGTATTGACAGAGAAAATTGTTCATTATCTCAGGGTAAATGTCTCTTCAATGTCAATGATTATCCTAATTAATTATCACCGTTCAGGGCATGAGGATTTCAATATGAAAAATTAAAAGTTGAAAAATCAATTTGAAAAAATGTAGATGAGGACTGAATAATTGAATGAAATGGGGGATGACTAATTGTATCGTAAATATTATGAACGCATGCATAAAAAGACATATTACATGCTTCATAAAAGGAGTAATTAAAGTTAACTTGATGAGAAACACGAGATGCAGTTGGACAAAAGTAATTCAACCACTTTCACTTTCTAGGCTTCAACTCGATAACGATGCACAACAATTATAATTATTTCTCCAGGTTTTACGATTTTTTTTTATTAAGTGGTACTGTTACTGCTTCTATAATTATTTTTGCGTAATTAATGCTACTTCATTATGGGATGGGAATAGAGGAGAGAGTGAAAGAATGTCCTCCAGCCCAATAAATAGACAAATAATGCATCATAAATATTTATATCCATATAAAAGACCAGTAGAGAATATTAAATAACAAGAAAGCAGCTGGGAAGACAATTCTGCTTCTCTTGTCAATCCACTGGGCTATTTCTTGCGGTGTCATTGTCGTGAAATTATGTAATTTAGCTAGAGTTGGTCGTCTCGCTGAAGATTTAGCCGGAGGGGTAGTAACACTGTCAATTGTCATGACACTGCTTGACAGCTCCTGCGTCTTCTCGTCATCCTCTATTCTCACTGACGGAATGTTTATCGTACTTGGAAAACTCTGTAAATATTATTGTATAATAATTAATCATTGAATCTTCATGATTTTTTTTCTCTTTTCAAGACCTTTTGGATAAAGATATTTAATAAAAAATTGAATTGTTCATCTTTCGTGTTTTGATAAATTCTCACGAATACGATTTCATTGACTCACGTGTACTGTTAGGTAATTTTGACTGCTGTAATCTGGTTCACTGGGTGTTTTATCCAGAGAAGACCAGGAACGTGATCTTTCCAAATTTGTTGCATTCTTCTGGAACTGCTTACGAGCCAAATGAGGGGTCAATGTCGATTTTAATATGTATTTACTGTTGACTTTTTTTAGTGGCACGTTTTTCCTGAAAATAATCAATAAAAAGTATGACAATATTAACGAGCCGACAAACACTGAGGAAAGGGAAAATTCAGGGGAGATTACGGGGGATAACGAAAGGGAGATAAAATCTTACTATTCACAGTCACTATTTATTGTTGTGGTTTATTTGTAGGTCATTAAAATGGGGCAGAGAGTGTCAATTGCATGAATTATGGAGGGTAATGACATAGATGTCGTTTCGAAATTATATGGAATTGGGGCATTGATTGATCGTGAAATTTATCACCATTTCTTGAGATTGAAGATATTGGTTGTTTTGTCGTTATTGATCTATATTATTTTATAATGAGGGTGAAATTTTGGGTAAACGTACTTCCTCCTGTAGATGGTGTTGACAAATGCGAACTCGACCATCGCAGCGAATAGGAATATCGTGCATCCTAGGAACCATATTTCACTGGCTTTTATGTACGAGACTTTTGGCAATGAATTTTCCACCTTGGATGCCAGTGTCATGAATGCCAAAATGGTATTTGTACCGAGAACAATTCGAGGAGGGCTGGCGTCCATGTGCAGCCAGAATGACACCCATGAAATGACGACAATCAATATCGAGGGAATGTAGTAATCCATAACAAAAAAGCCCATTTCACGAGCGAGCTTGAAGGTAATGCTTATGGAACTGAAATTTCCAGCTGAAAACAGAAATTCAATGATGATCATATAATTTTTATGTCACTGGTGGAGTTTTTCTGCGGTCGTTAACTGAAAATTAATAGTGGGTAAATATTTATTTTACATACGTAGGGGAGATCCTGGCAAAATGGGACACACGATGAAATGGGATGAATCTGAAGGTTCGATGGGAGACGAGAAAAAATCGATCGTAAGAATCTATTATGTAACATTTCACGCCTGACACTTTTACTGTCTCCAAAATGACTGAGAGTTAAAAACGCTTTTTCGCACGTATCTCGGTTTGTCTGGCTCTCCTTTATTTTTTATTTCAGATTTTTAATTACTGGTAATTACCGAAATGACCGTAATGTTGTTGCGCCGCTGTATATGAGACTTCAGTCCCATTGACCCATTTTTCTACCAGTCGATATTCAGTTAAATGCAGTTCATCTGCAACAACCATTGGCGATTCGTCCCAGTCCAGTTTGATTTCTTGGACACTGTTGGGCCCTGGAAAATAGATCAGCCATTTATTCTCCACATCTACCCCATGGAAAAATTAATAAAACTTTATTTATTCTGTAGGTTCTGTAGATTCACAAAGAAATTCTTGGACAATCAATTTTTTTTGTTAGAGTGTCAGTGATTGGATAATTATTTACTTACAAAAACTTTCGAAGACGAGTGGACATTCTTGAACGTCGAACGGAAACTTCTCGAGTCTCAACCCGCAATTCAAAGTGATTTCCAGCCTAAAAAATTATAATTTCGATCACCAAAACGACAGACGCTTATCGATTAATATCAATAGAAACTCGACGTCTCCTCGTTCGCAGCCATAATTTCTTTCAATTTCATGGAAAAATCGCTGAGTCGTTGTTGAAGAGTTGTAATTTTTCCTCAGTACACACAACGAAATATTCAGTAAAATATTTTTTATAAAATAAACACGAATTATCACTTAAAACAATAAGATAAAAATTATCACGAGAAAACTTTTTTTTGAGAATCACATCGTTTTTCTTTTTTAGACGTCATTGATCGGTGGCATATCCGGTGTTGAACTTTGGTGTACGATTAGTAAATAATATGAATAATTTTCTCAGTGTGAAAGTGTTACCTTGTATTTAAAATAACCATGCCAGTAGGATCGATGGAAACTAGCAAATCCTTAACACCGTTTCCCATAATCGCAGAGCTTCTTTCATTAGCAACATAAACAGTAGGTGTCCAAATCAGATTATGAGTCGATCTTTCGCCATAAATTTGGGTGAAATGAGGTGCAATATCCGCGAATTTTAACCGTGAATCTCGATAACGAAATTGAAGCATCATGTGAACGTCAAATTGCTGTTGAAAAAATTTTACATTAATCGTTATAATTATTTACATATAATCATTTAATTCCCTCCATTAACTTCAACTTCAACTTCAGCTTTTGTCATCACGATGAATATGTCAAGCAGATTAATTAACTTTTTAACATTCCATTTCAAATCGGATATTCAAATGGGAAATGATTCCGTGATACTTCTCAATTTTCTACTTAAAATGAAAAGCTATTCCCCGGGATATGAATGACATTATTTTTTAATCCGATAGCAAGTGATGAATTATTATTATTGCTTTTACACTTTAACATTTTCGTTTTTCGTGCGAGAATAATTTTAAAATCCATTGAAATCTGTACATAAAAATATTTTAGAAATTTCCCCTTAAGGCTCGGGTGGATTATCTAGAAAAGATAATTTACTCCGAAATTCGGATTCCTAATTCCTTTGGCAATTAATCCTCTTTTTCAATAATTGTTAGTTAGCTTTCTAGCGGTTGTCAATAACTAGGCCGCTAGCTAACAATTATCGGAAAAAACGATTAATTGACGGAGTAATTAGAAGTCCCAATTTTGGAGTAAATTATCTTTTCCAGACAGTCCATCCGGGCCTTAAACATTTTTTCAAGAAAAATAAATACAGAACATAAAATAAATACACTCCTCTACATTATTTAAAATTTAGTTATGTATTTTTATTATGTATTGAAGACCATACATGAAAATTATATTGAATGCATGATTATGAATTTCATTAAAAAAACCATTTCGTCTAGTCCCAAGAATTTTTTCACTTGTTAAAATAACCAGCACACGATTATTCGAAAGAAATTTTGTAATTACCCCATGAAAGGGAGGGTAATATATACTCACCAGTGTTTTAGCCATGTTGGATTTAATGGTATATACATTAGCCCTACATACGACATGAATCGGATCACTCGCATTGATTTCACCTGGTGGTCTGACCATTTTGTCGTATCGGCAATGATTGGTCAATTCCTGGAGCAATTCCGTTTGTGTCAATGTACTCACGGAGTTGAAAGTCGGGCACGTGCCATCTTCTGTCACTCTGTCATGACAGGACGAATGAATAAGGAAATTGAGATTATAAATTAGAAGCGAGAGAAATACGAAGATAATTCCCTAGAGAGAATTATAAACTTCATTTTAACATCAGAAATTGCATCAAATGGACTGACGATGCAAGTTCATTCATCTGGATATTCATTATGTCTCCATACGTTTTCAGTAATTACTTTTGTCTCAATAATTATCTAGTTCCTGCGTCTTCAGGTGTTGACTCTCCATTAATTATTGTTCCGTCGATTTTTCAATTAGTTACAGGTGCAGGGAAAGTTTTTATTAATTTAGATATTTTCCACGGTATCTTCAAGATAGAGACAATTCTTAGTTTTTTATTGTTAACTATTGTGGGTGGAATTAAAATGCGAAAGTATACGTTCATTATCACAATTTACATAATTTGATGATCTTTCTTTGATTTCTCATTTTATTGCAACTTGATAAATGCTTTGAAATTCTCCCAAAATTTAATCATCCTTTTATTTTTAGATGAAAACAGAGTAAATAAAGTATGAAAAGATTCAACTGAAATCTATATGACACTGACAGCTCTTGATTGCAGTTTTGAAATTTGTGCAAACAAGAATTTTCGTCACACACAGTAGAAGATAAAGCTCAAATAATCCCTTGATAAAATTATTTAGTCTCAAACATTATGACTCAAGTGAGACCACAGATGAATCAATTGTTCACCTGCAAGTGTTTAAATATCTTTGTTTTTCAACGATTTATTTATTCCCCGGAGGCGTACAAAAAATTCTACAGATGAAATTACCAAAAATCATTTCTTTCTCACCTTCTCCTCAAATTCTCTCAAAAGTATTAATGACCTTGCCGTTATTTAACCGTTATAAACATTTCCATAGAGACCTTGCGTGTTTTTTTTAAATTAAAACCTGAGAGAGAAGGACGGAATGTTATGCACTAGTAATTGTGGTGAGACCACACTAAATCTCAACGACTGAAACCCCCAAAATAATTTATTACCAGTTGTTAAAATCTGCGGTGTGCCAGACCCATTAACTGTGTCACTGTCACAAATTAATCCTTGAGACATAAAAAAAAAATTTTTCTCAATCGACAATGTACCCCACACCGGCGAAATCGAAATAAAAATTCTCATCATCTGAAAAACTTTCCTCTATCAATCAATTGAATACTTCATAACTACTTACATCCGAGCATTGATCACTGATTGATTAATCACACAAAGTATCCCGATGAGAAGTTTCACCGGTAATGATTTTATAATCATTTTTCCGAGTGCAATTGGAGAAAATCGAAGGATTGATGTGAACAATCGACAACAAATGAGATCAATTCGATTTGCAGAGATTGTCGTGCACCGCTGGATTGGCGGAGTGGAACTGCTAGTGCTCTCAGAATTAAATGAATATCACTTGTTTTGGTTTTAACAATTTGCTTGCGTAGTCAAGCGCCAAAGTCAAATGTTTAATTTTCCCTTACGGCGACCGACTGATTGCTTAACGCACACATTACCGGTTAAAAAGGCATCTCAGACGACAGTCGAGATGACACAAAGTCGATGCTATGTACACCTGGAGTGGGAAATTAATACTTTAATTGCTCTCACGTGTGCTCATCAAACAGTTGGTGAATTAAAATTTTTCGATTGTCTATGGAACACATGATCGTCTATTCACTCCACACTTGCTCATTCATTCGGCTTTTAAATCGTTCAGTTGAAAGTCTAGATTTATTTTATTTCGCATTTATCGTCATTCATGGAATTCAGAGGTATTGTGGGGCTTTATGTAATTAACGGTGTAATTCAAGAAATGGAGATCCTGTAGCAATCTTGTGACTCTTTTGAAATGTCTGTCGGTGTAAGGAATCAGTGCCTCCAGAGATGATGACAATTCACTCGTTTGCAAATTACTGCTTTCAGGGTCATTTAACAATGCATTGATCACGAGCTGAAAAAGAGAATTGTAATTATTGGTTTCTGTAGAAAAAAAAAGTTGCTCAGGTTGACACAGAAATGGACAGGAAATTACGAGAGAATCTATCAAATCATCGGTAATATTTCCCTGCTGTTCGAATCGATATTTTTTATGAGCCCGCTCATTTTAAAAATAAATCGATGAACTAACAAACAGATTACCTGAGCTGCCTGACAATTTTTGCTATTGGTATTCCACCCAACAGCGCACCTCAGGAGTTCCTCCTTCTGCTTCGTCTTGAGTTGCCCGATAGCATCCGCCAGCCCCTGCTCTCCCTTCCTCAAGATATCCTCCACAATTTTCAGTACCTTGTAAGGTTTTTCAAGCCTCAATGCTAGTTTCAAGGCATCCACGAGCTGCTCACCCTTCAGCAAATTCGCCAATTTTTGCTCCTCGAGGATCATCTCCTCCCTCTCAGCAATGGCCTTCTGCCTTTTCTCCTCAGTGACATCCTTCCACACTATCATAACAGAGTCCGATCCTCCAGATATCAATCTGCTCTCATCCTGACTGACAGCCAATGCCCAAACCCTGTTATCATGCTCTTCAAATGTGCCAGTACACTCAGAAGTCTTGACACTCCACAGCTTCAACAGCCCATCAGCACCGGAAGTGACCAATTGCATTCCACGAGATATAAATTCCGCTCGTAAAACCGATGACTCGTGACCCTCAAATGTCTTGAGACAATTCAATTCAGAGAGTGACCACATTTTCATTGTGCAATCAGCGGATGTTGTCAATAGGACCTGATCAATCGGTGAAAATCTGACGCACCAGACGCCCCTTCTGTGCCCCCTCAAAGTCCCCAGGACCTGAAGGCTCTCAGAGCCCCAGAGTTTCGCTGTTTTGTCCTGAGATCCCGTTGCAATCAACCTATCATTCGGCGAAACAACAGCGCAATTGATGTCCTTCTGGTGTGCCAGGACGGTGTGGGCAGCGTTCAGGGTATTTTTTTCTGGATCATCGAGAGTTAATTTCTCTGGCAGATGCCAGAGCTTTAGACATTGATCTTGACTGACAGAGACGAAGAACTTGGTAGAGGCTTGAGAAAGAGCAACGGAACCAACGGACGCAGTGTGACGTGTCCCAGTGGCAATGCATTTCATTGTGAATGTCTCTGGTGACATCAGCCAAACCCTGACACTGTTATCCTTCGCCGAAGAGATCATTAAATTTCTATTGGCTGGAGTAACGCAGAGGGATAATACGAGATCAGTATGACCTCTCAGTAATTGACAACTCATGGTGGAGATATCATACAGCTTTATGTCGCAGCTGTTTGTGGCAACTGCCAAGTGACTTCCTGCCTGACCCACGTGGACGATATCAAGGATTTCATCGGTGTAACCGACGAATTGCTTCTGGCAGGAGAAATCTCCCAATGAGTGAATGATGATGTTGTGGTCTGCTGAGACAACAGCAAAGGAGTTGAGAGTTTTGTTGAAGAGGATGTGGGTGATGGCGAGGCCTCCTTCTTCCTTCGAAGCCTGAACCAGGGGATTCTCTTGGGTGTAAACTTCACGACCTGATCTCATCTCCCAGATCTTTATGATACCCTTCTCCCCTCCACTTCCTACAAGAATCTCATCCTCTCGTTTTGGTGTTTTCTGTTTTGAGAAGTTTGATGTGGAGGGAATGATGAAGACCCCTTCCAGGGATTCGTAGACTGGGAGGGTCCGAAGGGAGAGGCCCTTCTCCAGGTCCCACAGAATGAGCACCTTGTCGCGACCTGATGACACCATGTGAATGCTATCCTTGTGGAAGGAGAGAGACGTGATTCTACTGAAGTGCCCTGAGAGGATTTTCTTTAGGGCTCCAGAGGTCGTGTCCCAGCAGTAGATCTTCGTGTCATCTCCGGAGGCTAGGATAAGATTTTTGGTGGAGTCTGGGTGGAACTTCAGCACACTCACAACACCCTGGAGACCCTTCAGGTTGTGGGTACACGAGTGATGGTGCAGGTTCCACAGACGAACGCTTGAGTCACTCCCTCCGGAGACCATCAGCTGATCCTCTGGGGAGAGGGCGATGTGGGGGACAGGACCCTTGTGGATGGACTTCCAGACTTTTTTGGGGGTTGGCTCTCTCCAGGTGAAGAGCTTGAAGAGACCGCTTTTGTGATGGGTTATTACTGTGTCCGAGGTGGGGCTAAGGGTGAAGGTGTTTATTGTATCCTCGTCGGGAGTCGACGCGGACCCAAGGGTCGATATCACCGAGCCATTCTCCAGGGAGAGGACTGATATCGACGGACCGTTCTGGCAGAACAGGTGATCGCCTTCTGGACTCCACTATTTTTTCATGAATTAAACAAATTAAATGAATCATGACAATTTAGTTGATTTATTGTTATATTGTTCGTACGTTAATTAATTTAATATTTACTACAAAATACCAAAACACACCTGAATATTTCCTCCAGTGTAAAAAGGCCCATATTTTGTTTCTGCTTCATACCTGAAAATTTTACCTTAAATATAACCTCAAAGACATATCCATCCCTAAAACTCAGGTCCAAAAATAAAATACTCACGTTTCCTTAATATTCGATGAATTACTCATGCTGACTTTATCAATTCCATCGATTGAATAGAATTATCAGAATTTGTCAATGACTTCTTTGGAGTGACCCACGTGTTTCCCAAGTCTCTCTTTCAAAAAGCAAAAAAAAAACGAAGCCACCGCCTCTAGTGGATTCCGTCCCACTTCGGTTCATCGAGGAAATATAAATAATAGAAAAATCCGGGGACTGTGAGAACTCGGTAAACAGAGGATTGTTCATTTATTGTTGCTAAAACCCGGAGATACAGTACAATACAATGGTATTATTTACGAATAATTGCTGGAGGATGACATTTACAAGCAGAAATTTTCTTCGATCATCAGCAGTTTCTTACCAGCTGATTCCTCATCAGAAAGCATCCAAGAAATACGAATCCAAGAAGTGGCCGGGTTATCACGTTATTTACAATTTGGAAAATGTCAAAACGATTAGTATATTGAACAGACTCAAGTTACATACGACAATTGTTTCTGGAGTTACAATTCCTATGATTATCACTTCCGAGGTTACCTTGGGATTAACATCAGCATTTGTTCATAATGCAACATTTTTATGTGAGTTTGTGAGAATAAACTGAATATTAATTTACTATTATTAAATATTAAATTGAAAAATTATCTTAAAATAACATCCCGGAGGAATTTATTTATTATCGTGAATTATTTGAAGAATTCTTCAATCTATAAAAAATGTATTTTTTCAGTTGGAGCGGTAGCTCTATTTCTCCACGGGGTTGGGTACTTCGCCAATAATGTAGTGGGAATAATATATGCGAAAAAAGACTCTGACGACTTAAAAATTGCCTACGTGAGTTACTTTGGCAAACGAATGGATATTGACACCAACTTCAACGATATATCTTCTCCAGAGCCCAAGACACGATTTCGAAGTCCAATCTTCACTCCATTATTCATTGCATCGAAGAAAAAGAATCTGAGACTATTTATCAAGGGTAAAATCATCGACGAGCAAAAATTCGACAAACTCTTGGGTGTCTCATTCTGATTGAATGTAATTGATAATTATAATTAAATAATAACGTTGTTCAAAAGATTTCATTTATTTACAGTTCATATCCACAATTTCCAGAGATTGTATTAACCAGACCATCTGAAATGGGCATAAGCACGATTTGCCTCGCATTGTTTATGAAGATCTTGTTTTTTCTTCACCACACGTCCCTGGGGAGTAACATTTGTTGAAATTGAGTGCTTGATAGATAATCTGTGATTATTATGGGGATAATATTTATTTATGACTACCTGATTGTGTGCTGCATCAATGAGTTCTTTAGCCAATTGTGTTGAGAAAGGAATGGAACCCTCTTTATCTTGGGCAGCTTGAATTATCCAATTCATTGATAAAAACCTTTGACGTCGTTCCAGAACTGGTATGGGCACCTGGGATCGCAATTGAAATTAGTAAATATTAATAAAATGGGAGTTAGTCTTAGATTTTCTGCAAATTTATTCTTTTTAAATTCAAAATAAAAAAAATTGAATGAATACATAATCGTTCTGAAATATTTAATTGCGATTATTCGATATCAAAAAATATATAAATTATTATTTCATGTGATTAATTACTATTTACGAATAGAAATAAGAGGAATTATGGGAAATGATATTAAAAACTCACTCGATACGTCGATCCTCCTTTCTTCATCGGCATGAGCTCCATAACAGGGGTGCAATTAATGACAGCAGTATGAAGAATTTCTTTGGGATTCAGAACAATATTTACTCGTTCTTCAGGTTTTGCTTTGTGATATCTCTCTAACTGAATTCGTTTTATTTTTTCGAATGTCTCCTCCACGAGACTTCTGGCGAGCTCTTTTTTCCCCCGTCGTAAAACATAATTAATGAATTTGCTATAAGAAATTATTGAATAGTCAGAATTGCAATTGATTGATAAAATTGAATTTTCCAGAGGAAATGAGCTTCCTTCTCTTTGCTTACTCCACGACAGGATCGAAAAATTCCGAACAAGTTTCTGCTTTCATGGGGGGCAAAATTGGCATGTGAGCAATTTTTGCGAGTTCTCCACTTTGTTCCAGTCGTTCTTGTTCATCTTTTCTAAATGTGGGTTTGATGTGATGGGGATGGAACACACTGTAGGTTCTAATCCCTCCAATCCCCAACATTCTAAACAAATCAGCATCAAACAAAAAACATTCATTATTATAATTTAAAAAAAAATGAAAAACCAGATGATTTTTTTTTTTCAATGTGAAAAATCTAAAAAAAATTGCAATCATTTCCAGAAATATTTCTCAAATTTATAATGAGGGGTTATGTCCCCTGAATTCTCTCGAATCCTCCGAAAACCTAATAATTTCCAAAAAATTTGAAAATCCTAGAAACCCCCAACTACCACTGAGCAAACAGAAAATTCAAATACCTGCAGGAGATGTGTTTGAAAAGCGATTGCAATCCAGCAAATTGAAGCCCCACAGAACCCATTTTCCAACCTCAAAAGCAAAATGCCAAAAAGGACGAAAAGAAATCACTCAATTTTTCGCGAGAATAACTACCCGAGGACGAGAAAATCTTCGCAATTGACTCCAACCCCTCGAAATCAAAGCAATAACTCCAATTTCCTTTAAAATCCTGTCCCCCAATAATCAAATTACTCCCTCATTTAATTATGTCTTTCAGCCAATGGGAGTCTTTGCTTTCCCTCAGGTCTATTCACGTAATTTACCTCTGGACCCTCGGTCTTTTTCCCCTCAAAACACCCACACAAACACTCAAATTTCCCCTTCCATCCTGAAATTCCAGTTTATTCCACAGTGGAAAACCGTACGGGCAGCACTTGTCACTCGAAAAATCGATTAAACGCAGGTGCTGGTGTTGGAAAACGGTTTTTCCGTGTAGTTCACGTTGTTCCTCAGTTGTTCCACAATCACAAGAGCAATAAGAAGTCTCAGGAAATCACCAATGACGATAATCACTCATCAGTGAATTTTTTATATTTCATATCAATCGAATATTGAGGAATCGAGACATTGACTGAAGAAAAAGTGAATTTTTCATGTAATTTGTTGGAGAACTTAGGGTGATTTTATCTTTCATGTGTCTGTGGATATAGCATCGGCTTTATGACATCCGGAAAGGAAACTATGGGGTGAGAGTGGCTTCTTTATTCCATCCAGTATTTTTTCTCTTTTTTCTTCTTCACTGAATTTTTGTCCTATTGGTGGATCTTCTCATCATGAGTTAGTGATCACATTTATGATGAGAGAATCGACTGTTTCAGGAACTTCACACGATCATTAAATTCCTAAGTGGTAAATGTGTCCCTCAGGACTCAATTACCACCAACTGCACGATTTCATGATGAAGTAATTAGAGCAGAAGTTTCAGTTCGATATAATTATCTGATTATTGATTGCATATTATGCACAGTCAAGGCTTTTATTGTTGAGCTGCTTTTTTTTTGTTTGGGGTTTAGAGGTGCATTGGGTGAGGGGACTTATTAATTGATGAATTTATTGTTCTTGATTGACTCCAGTGAACAGCCAATCTTCACATGCAAAGCGCATGTGTTTCACATCGACCCCAAGACCAAACGGTCATGGGTATCAGCATCAACTGCTGCTGTTTCTGTATCGTTTTTTTATGATTCGACGAGGAGTTTGTACAGGATTATTTCGGTGGAAGGAACAAAGGTGAGTTTTTGGAATAGTTGATGGGGTTGATAGGATATATTCCAGGTTTTCATTTGGATTTTCGGTGTTCCAGGCTGTTATTAATAGCACAATCACTCCCAATATGATGTTCACCAAGACATCCCAGAAGTTTGGACAGTGGTCTGATGTCAGGGCTAACACTGTTTATGGATTGGGATTTTCATCGGAGGCTGAACTGGGAAAGGTATGATAGAACTGGAATTATTTCGAATTGAACATCAAAAAAGGAAAAATTGATTTTTCTTCTGTAAAGTCATTTGAAGAGATAATATTATTGGGAATTTTCAGTTCATCGAAAAATTCCACGAGGTGAAAGAGGCAACAAAAATAGCTGGTGCAAAGCTCCAATCGAATAGTTCATCGGTGACTCCATCGACTAGCGCCAATGTCAGTCCAATAACTCAACGCTCTTGCATGCCATCGAACGAGCAAGATCTCATCGATCCCCCAAATTCGTCAATGATAAATTCCAACTTATCCGCCTCGAACAATCCAAATCCCAATGCCAACATGATATCCACGCAGAACAGTGTGTCATCGGTCAGTAGTAGTCCATTACCCGGCACTTGTCAGAATAAAGTTGACGAGGAGCTGAAGAATGCTGTGCATGCAAGGTCACAGCTTATAAATCAGCAGCAGAATACAGAGAGTCCACAGCATCAGGGAAAACAGGGACAAATGGGGGCCAATCAGGGACAGAGCATTGAGATGCAATTGAAGTATGAAAATGACAGGCTAAAGCTTGCATTGGCACAGAGTTCTGCTAATGCCAAAAAATGGGAGGTGAGAATTATCAATTGCTGTCGAAAATTAAATCATCGCTTGTTTTTCCCTTCATGAAGAAAAAGAGAGCTGTAAATGTCAATTTCAGTTGATGAAATACGTTTGTAGTGTTCGAGAATTATCAAGTGTGCGAATTTCCATTTTTTTTTTATCCCAGTAGCAACAGCACGCAACGAATTATTTCTGGTGTGTTCTTGCACGTGGCACCAGGAGGGAGATATAAATATACTGATTCTCAGTGTTTCGCAAGTTCAAGTTCTTTGATAGCTTCTCAGAATTTTCTCCAGATGAATTGTACACTTCAAATCAATTCTTGCTAAGAAATGTTTAATCATTTGATTTTGCAATTAATGTTTTAATAGTTCATCGATGCTGTCTAATTACATTTTTTTTCAATTTAATTAAAATGTTAATTAGTTTGGGTTAATTGAATTTTTATTGAAGATTCCAATTAATGAGGAACATAATAATAATTATAATGATGATGTATAATTGGGATTGCTATCATTATTATTATCACTTTTATCAGAAAAAGAAAAACATTTTTGTTATTGTTTATTGGTGGAGAGGTTTCCAAAATTTTTTACAGCTTGATTTGTTGAAAATGTATTATTTAGGTCGAGCTTTCAACTCTAAAAATGAACAACGCGAGATTGACTAGTGCCCTTCAAGAATCAACAGCGAATGTCGACGAGTGGAAACGACAATTGCAACTCTACAAAGAAGAAAATATGCGTATAAAAGCTAAATACGCAGATCTTGAGGCTGGAAAAGTGGCAGAAGGTAACAGTGAGGCACTCAAACTACGTGTGGAGGCACTGGAGAACGAGTTGAGAACAAGAAATGAAGAATTAAAAGCCATGACCATGGCCACCAAGAACAAAGACTTCGTGGTGAGTTAATATTTCGAAAGATTCACCCAATACTTCGATTAGCTTGATTTAATTAATCAATCCAATTGTTACAATTCGTCATTTTTAGGCCCTCCAGAAGGAGAACGACGAGCTACGTGAAATGGTAACTGTTGTCCACGAGCAGCTGGAGCTTGCAATGAGTGGAAACAGAGTGCAGAAACAAAATTTGGATACTTTGAACACACGATTAGCTGGTTATATTCAGGATTTGGCGACAGTGCATCGAGAAATAACCAATACACTCCAGACATAAGTAAACATTCTTTTTTTATTTGAAAAGAATTTAAGGTAATTACAATTGTGACGCAGGACGTGACGACCTGATCATGAAATAATGAAAATGCAGGATATGATTTTGAAAAATGAATGGGGAAAAAAAAATCGGAGAAACGAAAAAACGAAGGGCCATGTTCCAAAAAAATACATATCTTAGTGAACTCCTTCCAGAGAAATTTCCACTGTGCCACTTTACGAGGGTTACCGCTTAGTACAGAATGTGCCAGATATTTTTTTTCTTTAATTTATCAATTAATTAGGGAAGGGTGAAATGCAAGAGGAAAAATAGTTGTTGAATTCAAATTATTGTGGATTAGAAATGTTATTTTTTTTTTATTGAAAAAAAAATGTTTTTGGTCAAAGTAGTCGACGATATGTCATTTGGTTCGTGATTTTTTTAAAAGCCTTTGATGCTTTTGTGGAGAAACTAATAGCATTTCTTAGAGCAGACTTTAACAACGATCTTTTACACATCGTTGTCAAGCACAATCCGCCATAGATACATAAAAGTATTTAAAATTGAAGAGTGAATTAACGATTTTGTTTTTAAGGTGTAATCAGTTTCGTATCAGTGGGTTGATATTATTAAACATAATTATTAATATAATTTTTTTTACAAATGAGACTGATCCTTCTTTTAGGGTATTTTGTGTTTCTAATGACTCGATTTTTGTCGTTTAATTGATTAATAAGAGGTTCAACATGTGGAGGAGTTGAGGAAAACTGATCAAAGGAGGTAAACATATCAGAACTATTGATATGGAATGTCGACAAGATGCTGTATTTTTTTTTTGGAAACTGCCCCTTTGATATTTGTAGGAAAAACTATAATTTTAGAATTGACGAATTTCGCGTATAACAATTAGCGAATAATTAAATGGCTCATTTAAATCAAATGACAAATAATTCACCAGATTTGTTTGGGGTTTATTGTATCTTCGAAGGGAAGATTAAGATCGCCGACAGTATTTCCCTTTCATTCAATATTTTGAGTAATAGGGAATTTGTACTATGGGACAAATAATTCTCTCTTACTTTTTCAATTTTTCGAGAATTCGTTTTAAGAATGAGTAATTATGAACGAATTATGACGAATCATCGAGATGAAATTGTTCTTTTACTCTCTGGAAAGAACACATAAATGAATGAATAAAAAAATGCTTCATGCAAGTTCCCTATGACTCTCCAAAATTAATGAATCAAGAGATTGTTTGGCACAAGGGAGCCATTGATACTTATAATTTAAGGATGAATTTTCAAATCGCCTGCAGTACGTCCATTTTTTTAAACAGATTATTCAATACAATTTGCCAACAATGTTCGCACAATTCTAGCTGATCACCAACATTGTCAATTTTTTGAATGATTTATTGAAACTTTAGTTGCCACAATTACCAATATTTTGGTAAAATTTATTTACTATTTTCCCTCAACTAATAACATTGTCAGTGGGTATTGTTGGACGAATAACTGACGAATGTTAATTTAATAAAAATCAGGGAAAACTACAAATCTGAGCTTCGCTTCCTCAAAACTTAGCCAATGACACTCTCGTTTTACAATTATCACTGTTATCAAAAAAAAGAAAAAAAAATGAAAAAAACAAAAAAAAATATTAAAAGAGACTCAACGAAGTTGTTGATGAAGTTTATACAGTAGTCATCTAGTCCTCCTCGTATACGTGAGTCTATGAACAAAAAATAGTGAAAAATGAAAATCATGAGAGACAATGAAATATTATTCATAACAAAAAGCAGATGAGGATACGTGAGAGCGAACGCGCAAGTGCAGTTAATCTCCAGTAAACTACTATCAAATCATACTAGGACTTTGTTGTAAATTTTACTAATACATTTTTGGCATTTACAATAGTTGAGTGGAATAAAAATGGAGGGAATAATTATTAAAATTGCACGATCATTGTAAACACCGATCGGTCCTATTGGGATGCGCTGAGGGGTGAGAAGACTTGTTCAATGGAGCAAACGAATTAAATTGGGTAATTAAGTCATTTCAGGGAGAATAATCATTTTTTTTCCATTGATTTTTCCCATTTATTATTTCAATTGGAGATTTATTCTAAACATCACTGATCTACAGGGATATACCCTCCATCGCAAGTTTTTTTTCCCTCTCAGTGCGATAAACGAATGAGATAATTTATATTTTAATTAATTCAATTAACGTTAAATTAATACACCCGTCGATTTATTTAATGAAAAATATAAGTACGCTCACTGTAAGACAATATTTTTCAATTAATTTTTAAAAACTAATCTTCCAGGATTTTAACTTTGTACTCTTGTATGCTAATTAATGAGCAGCCAATAATCATCGTATTAATGATTCTAACGATAATCAGTGTTACGATTCTCAGTGGCATTTTACGTATATTAATTTAGGAATTAATTTAGAAATGATATTATTTTTATTGATGTTTTGGAAGTTGCTTTTTTCGGCTGTTTTTACGTTGTGAAATTGTGGTAATTGCCGTTGATTAATGACTCTTAATAATTTCGATTTAATGGGCAAACGCGAAAAGTGGAGAGGGAGAGGTAAAATTGAAATACCAAATATTTATTCCTTGATAAGAAGTAATTAGTCACATATTTAAACATTTTATATGAAAGAAAGAACAGAAATTATACTTTACACATGTTTTTAATCCTTGAGAATGAGTAGATGAGTTTTTAAAATACGTAAGTGATGGTGGCATTTTTGGGGAAAATGTGAAAAAAGAAAATAAATAAAATCATGTGATTGGGTAATTAGGATGCACATGAGGTATTACTGATTATTCCGTTTGAAATGCCAATTATTAGTCCAATGAGTTGCCACACAGTTTTTATTCACATATACAAATGAATCTCGTTAGATCGAATTAATCGTTTATTACTGTATCATTTTTAAGAATTCATGAAAATGTTCCTCAATTGGATGATCGGTACAAACTAATAACAATGTATATACAACACTTGTTTTATTTAATTGAATGGGGAAAGCAGCAGATGAAGAGGATTTTGGTAAAATCATCAGGAGGACACGATTTCCTTGAGGCGAATTAATAAATGAACTAATAACTATGCAATTGTTTGTGAAATTGTGGATGTTTTTAAGATGAAGCGAGAGAAAACAATGTGGATAAGTAGTGATTCAAATGGAAAATGGACACAATAAAATATTGATGAATAAATTAATTAAGTCGTTTGTTCTCCCATTTTCATTTCATGGATCGATTATTATTATTATTGATTTTTTTTGTTATGCAAAAATGATTCACGTCGAAACGATTATGGACGATTCCGAAGTTGGAAATCTCCCCCAAGAGGGCAACTCCTCCATTCAATAGTTTTTTGCAGCTTTCTCATTTTTGCATTACGTAATTTATTATAGTAATTATGAAGGATACGTTCGGTCATAAAAATGAGGACAGCGATGATAAATCCAACAGCCAAAACCCCCAGGACCGGAGCAATTCCTTGAGCTTCCACCGGCGAAAATGTCACATTACTTGATTTTCTTTTCGTTTTATACTGTTGCTTAAATCGACCAATTAATCCATTGTGTTTGAATCGATTAATGCTTGAAAAAAAAAATTCCATTACTTTCCTAGACTCCATCATTCGCAATAAATAAATAGACGAATAATTTCACTTACTGATAAGCAAAAAATTTGCTGTACTCGCTATGCAATGGTAATATAAATGAAGAGCTTTGTATTCGTTTCATCGGTATTGCAATAATTTCGCAAGAAAGGAGTTGAGACAGATAATCATCTCGATAGGAAGAAGTTATATGGAATGCCACTTTCTCATGACATACCTGTGACATTTTAATGTTTAATCTGGAATGTTAGAGCAATGTCAATAAATATAATAATAAAATAGTACCTGATGGAAACCTTGACGAAGATTGTGAGGCATGGAATGGTCGGGATTCATGAGGGGCCATATTTTTTGTATGACAGTTTCATTAGAGGCCTGCAACAAATAAAATTATTTATTTGGAAAAAATTGCATGAATAACATACTTGAAACATCAGATGATCTGCACTGTTAGCTACTGCTATTAAACGGTGAGTACCAGCTGCAATGAATTCATTTATTGTTCTAAATGGTAATTGTGATTCCGAAATGGCAAGGAGACTTGTCAATGACGCAGTGTATGATGCACTGACCACGACTGCTGATACAATTACCGAAAAAGATATTATTCTCCGAGAGTTATCCGCAGGAAATTCTGGCGATAAAAAATTCTGTCATGCAACTTTCATATTTTTATAAGAGTTTCTCTGTCACTACCTGATAATCCTTGCTGACAGTATATACCCCAAATAGACCAACAGTTCTCAGAAATTAACACAAAAAGCTTCATCTTCTTGTATTTTATCAGTGTTAAGACGAGCGACATTACCAAGATTAAAGCTATCATCACTAGCCAGACATCTGTGTGAAATGCCTGTGAAATAATTATATGAATTTTTAAATAAATCAATTACATTCAGAAAAATAAAATACCAGACCTCAACGTAGACTTCCCATTGTATCTCCACTGCATTAGGTTTTCTAATATAGAAAATGGAGAATTCATCGGACGTGAGGGTTGTAAAATCAATGACTTCCAGTCTTTCAGAGGTCATCATGAATGCTCCGACCCCCATATCAGCTTCTCCTCGAATAATTTTTCCAATGACACCTGTCCATTCCAACAATTCTGGATCCCAATGTCCATGACCTCTGTCAAGTTTTATAAATGATAGCGTAAAATTCATGGATTGGGAAAGTGCCTCCAAGAGTTTTCCAGAATATCCATGGATTTTACCATTTTCTAGCCAAATTTCTGACGAGCCCTGCAAACAATTGAATAAGAATTATAGAACAATAGTCTCAAAGAATTTTTTATGTTCTTTATTTAAGAGATAATTTTCGTGGTCAATACCTTCATAATATATACACGAAATGGAAGACCTTCGAGGGAAGATCTTCTCTGGAAAAGTGATTTTCTGGAAAACCACTGGATTTTACCATTTTCATCACTCTGTCTACCCAATGTTCCCACGTTTGTTTGGTCCTTTCTGATTGACCACCATTCATGAATAATCGTTGTTTCACAGCAGATAACCGTGGCTTCAGAGGTGAATCCCAAATTAAATAAATTTCCTTGTGGATGACGACAAAACTCGCAAATATTTTCATCGTTACTTCCGGAGAACACGAGCAACCATATGGCATCTTTGGCGTTGAAATTCCGAACAAGTTTTGCAAAATGATACAGATCATCCATGCTATTAATAAAAATTACAACTAAGGGAGAGATGCTGTTAGATATGTAAAATTCCAATCTGTCTACGAAATTTGAAGATGAAACAATTACAGCTGTTATTCCATGATTCGACATTTGTTTGGTGAAGGTGTGCCAATACAGCATGGTCTCAGAAGCTGAAAATGATTGATCAAATTAAAAACGAAATATTGGTGAAAATTTAAAAACTCGTGAAATTCTTCCGATTAATTTGTGAGAATTTCTTCAGAGACTTGTACTTACAAAAATATTCATCAGCCGACAGAATGATTAATCCAGAAATCCTGTATCTCTCATAAAAACTAACAATTAAAGACACATGACGATGCATTTTGCTATAATCTAAAATTGTACTGGTGGAGGGATTTACAATAAAATAAAATATTACTGCACCGAAAAGCTTCATGTTTTCTGCATTAACGATTAACAATTAAAGAGCAAAGGAAAGAGTTGTGTGAATATTTGTGGGGTTCACAAACTGATCTGAAATCAAGGGATTCGTTCCATTTTTTTTATATCTTTTATACCTGCAAATGTACCTTTTACTATTGGTAGGAAATAATAATATTATATGCATGTAATAGAATAGAGTAAAAAGATCAAACCAGAAGATACAACGAACAAAACCACTGATTTCCGTGAAACAGTTCATGGATTATTCCACTAAACCATTTCTTTGCAATCGACAAAAAGCTCGACATGTGTTTATCCACGTTTTTTAGGTCATCTTAAAAGCTTAAAAGTACATTTAGCCATCACTAAAATATTTCTAGTTTCACCTTTTTGCGTAACTATTATAAATATCTTTCCTAGTTGTGCATAATTTAGCGATAGAAAATGCAACGAAAGACGAAAGACCATTTGACTAGTTCCAGAAATCTGGATCGTCTCTTTTCCTGAAAAAAATTCATTCACAATTTAATCCTAATGCTAATCCTAATCCTTTCATTTATCGATCTTCTCTGTCTTATTTTCCTACAAAAATAGAGAATTTCGAAAGCAAAAATGATGGACGTAACGATAATTCCAACGAATAAGACAAAAACGACTGGTGTTATTTCTTGGAGATGCACTGGTGAATGGTGAGATATTTCTGGTTCTGATGAGCCCGTGTACTTCTTCTCCAATCTTCTGAGCATTCCATTGTACTTGAACCGCTGAATACTATAATATATTTTCAATTAGTAATTGACCAATGTGCTGATATTGAATGAATATCTTACTAGTAATTAACAATATTGATTAAATCACTGCCTTTTGGCAATATCAGTGCCATGGTTTCCTGTGGTCCAGCAGTTATCGATATTGTATTACAAGACAATGAATGTCTGTAGAATTTCATTGCAATTTCATTCGCGTAAAATCCCACTCTCTCGTTGCACACCTGCAAATTTTACCCCAAATTCAAATAAATTATTACTTTCATGGGGGTACAATAAAAATTATAATTAACCTGAAAACGTAACTCCTTTCTTCATAAATACCTGTTTGAAACCTTCTGGATAGGTGGTAGGAAGCAAATGTCTTGGTTTCATGAGAGACATCATCCCTTTGAAGAGTGTCTCATTGGAACGCTGCAAGGTCATAAAGGCAAAGTTGTTCCATTAATTGATCATTTTTAGCGATTAATTTTTGACTGATAAATATGATTTCCGGAGGAATTGCGAGTGGAATGCGTAGATCCCTCAAACAGACAGGATTTTCACAAGCAGCAGGATTTTTTTTCTGTCATATTAAATTATTATTCATGACCTTGTATCTGTTATAGAATATACTCTCGTTCAGGACGATGAATTTATAGGTGCCATCAGCGACGAAACCCTCCAAAGTAGTGAATGGTCTAAATGACGAGGATACGGCAATTACGCTCGTCATCAGGGTAGCATATACAATATAAATTAATAAGGCTGTCAGTGATATTGATAACTGAAGTATCTGCACAGGTGTTTCATTGGCAAAATCTGTGGGAAATCAATTAATCACATGAACAGGAACCGATGAAAATGGAACAAATGGCTTGATCTCAGATAATAAACAATTCAATAAATATTATTGATTAAATAAAATCAGTTCTACAAAATACTCGTGCATAAAATGTATTAAACAATTCCAAAAGAAAACGAAAAACCGCAGAATATCAATATCTTCTGATTAATTACTGCATAACAATTATAATATTCATATAGATTTTTTTTTGTCAATCGAATTGTTTATGACGTGAATTAATTATTTGATGTAGAGTACAATTTCGTGAAATTCATTACCTATCCAGCCTTGTTGACAAAAAATTCCCCAAATGCATAAGTATTCTTCGCAGAAACGAGAGAACAGATCATGTTTTTTGATATTGATTTGCATAACGGTTAATAAAATAGGCATTGTCAGGATTAAACCGATGATAGTCAACCAGACACCTACCGTGAACACCTATTAGTTCATAATTCATAATTAAAATTACGTGACTAACGGTAATTAACCAGTTATCACACTTGAAACGATTTGTGGGGGACAAAAAATGGATTTGCAGAATTTTCAGACTTTTTCCAAATCACTGCAATCATTGAATTGATTTATTTTCACGAGAGTAAAATCGTTAACAATATAATCTGATAGAAAATGAAATAAATACTTGTACCACTTGATAAAAATGTGAAAATCAAATTCCACAAAGCAATTTTTTCTCAGAAATAACAATTTCATGCAGCAAACCTTGAAATAGGCGTTCCAGGACACGTTGCTCTGTTCAAGTTTTTTAAAATAAACATGATAAGCACCAGTAATCATGGGAACACTAAAATAAACCGCTTTATGCCGCTCGGGAAGCATGAGGACATCAGCAACTCCAATATCAGCTTCATTTCGATAAACTCTTCCAATTAGACCAGTCCAGTTTGACGTTGCTGCATCAAAATGTCCATATTCACTGTGTTTTATCAAATTCACTGTAAAATTCATAGCTTGAGACATTGCCGTAAGGATGTCGCCTAAATATCCAAACAGTTTTCCATTTTTTTCACTGAAGTAAACCGATCCCTAAAATGACAAAATATATTTTCCATATATTTTCCCTATATTTTCCAATTTTTGGAAAACTGAAATGTACTCGATTGCAAAGCTTTCACTCGGAAGCAAAAATCGCGTCAATCTGATATTTTGTACTGATACGCTCTCTTCAATAGTCATATTTAATTGCATTCGAGAATTCTAGGAATTTTTACCTCGAATGTAGCAATTCGTAACGCTCGCCCGTGCATTGACATTCTGGGATTAGGAAGAGATTCGTCAGTAGCCCAAATTATTCCTCCACTGTGGTTAGTCAATCGACCAATTTGCTGAGTAGTAACACGATTTTCTTCAGAACACCGCCATTCATCAATTGTGTCAGAATTACAGCATGAAAGGAGAATCCTCGAATTCATTTTAAGATTCAATGAATTTCCACGTGGATAATTGCAAAAACTACAGACATCACCTCCAGTATCTCTCCTGAATAACATCATCCAAGTAGCTTTACCCATATTCAAATTTCTAATCATTGATTCCAAGTCATAAATTGCATCCGTGTTATCAATAACGAGGATAACGAGAAGACGATTCATTCTCGCAACGTGGGCATTTAATTTTTTTTTCACTTCCTCGTAATTCAGGAAAAGAACTGCCACTCCATTATCAAATAAAATCCTCGATGTCGCGTACCAGATCGATGTACGTTGGAAGGCTAGAATTATTTTTCAGTTTAATTAAAAAATCCTTAATTGCTCGATGAATATTCTTCACCATTTTTACGAGAGTAATTAGACATATATTTCTCTTTGGAAATATGTGGAAATATTCTTTTGAATCCTCTCGTTATTTTTCTCAGCGACTTACATTGATGCTCTGTTGTGAATCCTATGATTACTCCTCCACAAGAATATTTTTTGCAAACACTCTTAATGAAGGACCCATAATTATTGGAATCATCGAATCTGACGCAGGATACGACAGCAATTGCACCAAAAATACTCAACAGTAGAGATATTGTGTAGAATTTCATCTCTCCTTTACTGAATAATGTCTTCAATTATTTGCAAGAGTTATTTATATTGAATTATAATCACGTATAATTAAATTGGCGTTGCTGATTGAAAATCTGTAATTCCGCGGATCATTTTCAGACTACTTTCGTATATGTTTGAGAGAAAGTCTGCAACTATTCTGTACTACGTAGAATTGTATTCAAATAGTTTTAACTGATAACAGGTGGGGCCTATTTTCCTTCGATTATTTTGAGAATTCAGGGAAATACTCGGTTTATGTATCGTTTTCATATCTATTTGTTTTTATCTCAATTGGCTATTTGCGAGGGGTATATGGATAGGAGTAAATTCCTAAAAGCTAAAATGAAAGTTTAAACGCATAGTTTATATTTAAAAACACATGTTTATTGGGACTTACTGCATTATTATAAAGGACTCCTTAATGTGTGTGATATTATATATCATTCGAGCACGTACGAATACTCGATAATCACCCAAGAGCTTTTCCGAAGTGCTAATTGAATTGTAAATACTTTAATTATTCCACTATCATGTCTATTTACTACGTAAAAAAACGTAACATTTACAATATTTATCCGAATAAAAATTTCACACAATGTTATCTTCGAAAATGTCCTCCATTCAATCGATAATAAATTGCTTTCTACAAATTAATCCAACGATTGAATGATTTTTCCTCGTGAAAACAGTAAAATACCTCTCTCTTATTTTATAAAATTTCTGGAGTTCAGTTTGAAATCGAATGATTGTGTTTCAGTAATTGAACATTTTGGTCTAAACACATACAAATTTCTGAATCTTCAGAATTCATTTTCCGTCAGGTAATTGGTGTATCTCGCTCCGTTAATTGCATTAATTTATAGTTGGTTGAATAGACAAGAGATTATAGTTCACATAATTTTATCCATCCATTAAATCACAACTATCCTCGAAGTACCTTAGCAAATATTTTTGTCTCCATTCTTCAAACTCTAGGGATGAACAATGAGAGAACATTTATTTTTTTTCATACCCCCCAAACATTTCTATCCACAGACATCAGTATACCTTTCAAATTTCACACATATCTTGCATCGTTAGACGTTGAAAGCACCATTATTCCACCATTTTTTTTTTCAAATCTATTCATATCCTTTTCAATTGGTTGCAGAAATTGGCTTCCCACGTTGCGTGATTCATTCAAATTTCACATTTGCTTCACTATTTGACTTCTACCATTATTTCATTTATCCATAGTATCACGTAATATAATGTCATGATTATCTGAAAATCAATATCGATAATTATAAACGATATTTAAAGAAACTTCTATTGAATCAATATGAGGAATAAAATCAATGTTATTAATAATAATGGAAAATTTAATATCACATTTGGATTTATCGCTATTTTTGCTTACCTAATGAAAATCATTGCTTGGAATCAACGTAAGTTAACATCCAAATACTTCTTGACTGGCAAAAACCATGTACAAAAAACCATCCTCATCCTTTTCGCGTTGATACAGCTGTGCCATTGTCATACTACCACTGGCCATACTCCTCTGATTAACCAGTACAAAAAACGCTTGGGTTGGATGAAGTTGTAATCTTCGTCTGTAAAAAAAACGGCAAAGAAATTAATAAATATAATTGAGAAATGCCACATGAAATGATAGAATAAAAAATTATCTTTACAGATTTTCGTTTCATAATATAAAAAAGAACCCTGAGATTTAAATTATAATAAAACCAAGTGTGGGAACAGATTTAAACAAACACCTCAGGGTTCTAAGGAGTAAATATATTCGAGTGAAAATTATTAATCAATAAAGGGTTAAGTCCATACCTTATAATTTTTATCAGTTCAGCAACGGTCAAATGATCAGGTACTAAAAATTTGGATTTATCCAACAATGGCAACTGTCGTTCACCATAATATCTCTCAACAATTATTGGAATTTTATTTGGATGGCGTTCGCGTATTAATTCACCGTCTGCAACTCGTTGTGCTGTAACAAGAGAACAAGTGCGAATAAAAATACAACAGTTCCATATCATTATCTACGAAAAAAGAAAAACAGAGTTTAAAAGAAAAATAAGAACATGGGTGAATGTAAATAATTTTTATCGACTCTAGGACGTTACTAATTGCTGGCAGGTTTTATTTGGTACATACCGAATGATCTCTTTTCTTTGAAGGATTTCGGTGTCAGGCTCATTATTGTTAAATCTCAGTGAAATAAAAATTGTCAAAAAAATCAGTCATAAACTACGACGCACTTTCGCTGTCAGCTGAGAATTGTATAGGAAGCAACTCAGCTGGTTTCCTCTCCCCCACTGTTCTCTTTTCGACAATCTACGATTGAACTCGAATAACGCGAATGATTCGAAGGGATCGAACAAGGAAAATAGACCTGGTAGAGGCTTGTGATAAGAAAAATTAAAGTCCCAACAAGATTTGTAGTTCTTACCCCACGTCAGGGAGGGCGCGTTCATGAAATGCCTGAGTGCCAAAGAGGATTGACTAAAGTAGAGGCTAGTGGGGGTTTGAGTGACCCCAGCGGCATGGGAGTACTGCACCCCAAGAGAGGGAGGGCGCCACACGCAATGGGGGTGTCTGCCCGTCAGCTGCCTCGGTAATTGCCTCAGACTCAGTCACTCAGTAGCAGTCCCGCTGTCAGAGGGACCAGTCGACGGGGTGAATGTTATTTTCTGCGTTACGAAATTGGTATTCACTGAAATGAAAAAATTTTATGTAGTCACTTGAATTTTTTACCCCCATGTGACCTTTAACCAAGCCCAATTAACCCTTAACCAAATCGAATTAACCCTTAACCAAATCCAATTAACCCTTAACCAAATCCAATTAACCCTTAACCAAAAAATATCAGGAGAACATGAAAATCGAAGAGGTATTCACTGAAATTTTCAAATTCAAAATTTTTCAAAAAGTATCAGGAGAACAGGAGATCCGAGAAGATATTCACTGAAATTTTAAAATTCAAAATTTTCAAAAAAGTATCAAGAGAACAGGCGATCGAAGGAGGTATTCACTGAAATTTTGAATCTGGTAATTTCAGTGAATACCTCTTCGATTTTCATGTTCTCCTGATACTTTTTGGTTAAGGGTTAATTGGATTCGGTTAAGGGTTAAGTGGATTTGGTTAAGGGTTAGTTGGATCTGGTTAAGGAGTAAGTGGATTTGGTTAAGGGTTAATTTGATTTGGTTAAAGATTAATTGGACTTGATTAAGGGTCACATAGAGGCAAAAAATTTAAGTGACTCCATAAAATTTTTAAATTTCAGTGAATACCAATTTCGCAACGCAGAAAATAACATTCACCCCGTCGACTGGTCCCTCTGACAGCGGGACTGCTACTGAGTGACTGAGTCTGAGGCAATTACCGAGGCGGCTGACGGGCAGACACCCCCATTGCGTGTGGCGCCCTCCCTCTCTTGGGGTGCAGTACTACGATGCCGCTGGGGTCACTCAAACCCCCACAACTGAGCCTCTACTTTAGTCAATCCTTTTTGGTGGGGTCATTCAAACCTCCAGAACCGAGCCTCTATTTTAGTCAATCCTCTCTGATTCACACATTAATTTTATACAAAATCATCAACTGAACTAACCTATAGGACTTTCATACATAATAACAGAAAATCGGTGGTCATCTAATGTTAATAAAACGTGTCGTCATCAAATCATTGAAGTTTCCGCTCTATCATACAGGTTAGACTGTCTTCCATCACTCAAAATTATGCGATCTTTCAAGGTATTTGTTAGACAATCAGAAAAACATCCAGATGGTATCGTTAATAAACATAAAGGAGAGTTAAACTTCCGTGGAGAAGAGGCGAGAAAAATTTATGAAGATATCGTAACAGAAACTTCATCGAACAATCCTCAAGCTATCCCCAGAAAATCTCACTGCCTAATAACGAAGAAAACTGGAAAACCCAAGGATAAAAATCGTTTGAATATCACGGCGAATGTAATTTTGAAATCAATCGAACAGAATGATTGGCATTTTATCGAACAAAACGTAACAAAAGATAATGTGAATAGCACTGATGATTACGGATGGACACCATTGATGTTGGCGGCGTACAATGGAAATTATCGAATTGTTGAATATTTATTAATATCAGGAGCTGATAAATACCTGAAAGAAAAGTCTGGACTCACCGCACTGGAATTGGCTCGCAAAAAAAATCACCAGGGTGTCATATCGTTACTGACTTGTGATGAATTGAAAATTGCGAGAAGAGCAAAAGTTCCTGACAAGGAAGAGAGATTAAGTGAATTTTATTGTTCAATTTGCAAGCTTAATTTTCGAGAAACAACTATGAGAAGACACGAGTCTTCGATGCTCCATATTTTTAATACAAATCCGAAACTGCCAGATCCTGTTTATGGCATTCCAAAGGGGAATAAAGGGTATCAAATAATGTTGAATGCTGGGTGGAAAGAATCGAAGGGTTTGGGGCCCTCTGGCAGTGGTCTGAAATATCCTGTGAAGACTATCTTGAAACGAGATCGAAAAGGACTTGGAGGAGAAGATAAATCCAGACCCAGGGTAACGCATTTTCAGAGTAATGATGTCAATGCAATAAGACACGTCAGGCAAGAACGAGTAATGAAGGGTAAAAGTTGGAGGAAAAATAGAGAGGAATTCTTGACGAGAGAAGCAAGGAGAGATCGAGCTCTTAGACAAGCACTCTCTTGATATTTTTTTCTTGTCTCTTAGTATTTAAGAAACGAGAGGCGAATAAAATCTGCATAAATGCAATTGTGAGTATTAATCTATTGGTGATTGTGATGAACTGAAGCTTTAAAAATTTATGTTTATTATTTTTGTAGTGCTTAAATAATTTTTAACAGTTTCAGAGTCATGAAGGAGCAGAGGGAGATGTTGGACTATTTGCAGAAGGTCGAGGAGAAAGCTGGTGAGATTTTAACTGATAGACAGGAGATCGTGGCTTTAGATAAGCGAAGGAATGATGATCGAGTTGGAATGCGTGCACTTCAAAAACAGAACGATGATAAATGTTGGATTACTGTAGGCCCATTACTCCTGAAGATGAGTGCTGAGAAAGCTGAAGATTTGTTGCTCCAAGGTATTCTCAAAAATAGTGGAATTCATATTAAAAATCAAATCAACTCGACACATTTTGATTTATTGCATTTTCTTCTTCCAGATCAAAGAGACTGTGACATCGAAGTGAATAAACTTCGAAGCAATTTGAAGATAAAAGTGAACGAGCTGAGAGATCTAGAACACACTCCACCGGTTTCAGGTCTCATGCTCAAGCCCATGTCTCATGCAGAAATGTCTGCAATCAATCAATCAATCGGAAAACAGTGATTAAAGGTGGATGATGGATAAAAAAAATTACATGAACGAGATGCGTGTTTTTCTCATTGGGAGATGGTCAATATAAAAAAAAAATAATAAAACATTTGATATATGGTTATGTTTATTTTCTTTACGAATGTACTTTTTCTCCTCTCCTCAGGCGATGTACATAATAAGTTATGAGTAAACGAGCGTTAAGTCTTACCCAGAACAGCCCTTGTAATGTGTATTTTACCACCTATTTTTACAAACATCCTTTTGTTTTATTATCCTATTTGTCATTAGTGTAATCGCTACACACAAATTTTTTAATCGTGTTATGGATAATACTAAGACGCTTGACGGATTTACTCAAATATATAATATACTTTCTATTTAACCATCTCTTTATTAATTGATATTCTTTCGTTAGATTACCAAATACAAAAAACATAGCTGATACAATATAATGTTATGATACAAAGAGCGCATTAAGGGGCATCATACCGTGTAGAGACTTCAATTTTTCATTCCTTCTTTTCTTTCTTCTTTCATCTGTCATTCTACAAACTTTACACAGCATGATACGTATTGCGGCCTAGGTGTAAATATTCGTATGAATAGACCTCCTTAGTTTTAAATTATACGTAGAAATATATTTAATCTGAATATTCCATTTTTCTTTTCGCGAATTTATCCCTAAAATTTTCGTTTATCTCACCCTTTTTCAAACTTCTATCATTTATTTCATGAATCGCTTCATCTGTTCAAGAGTCAATTGCAACGACAATTGTCAGTTTGTTTCTGCATGAAAAATTTTAATTTGTCATCAATTTTTCTTAATATTTATGAAGAAATGCGCTTTTTCTTATAACAGCTGTGAACATTCGTCCTTGTTTATTTTTTTCTTTATTTATGTATATTACTTTTGTGTCTAATTCTCAGTATTTTATGCTTTATATACACGTGAATGTTTATACAGAACAATTCCTCCCCCATTCTCAAGCTGTTATTGAATGCAATAAATTCTTGCGAACGTTCTCTCATGGTTTCGATATTTTTCCAGATATTTTCGAATTTTTACTGGAAATATAACTCTGGTTAGATGAATAATATATTGTGAAAATATAAATGAAGGACAAACATATTACGGATATGATAAATGATAGCGATTGGATTATGTGCGTACATAAAATGAAGGAAGATATTTTGTAGTAATGTGGAAGTTAATATTCATCACGACGTACTTTTCACTTCGTTTTCTTAATTTCTTTTACTTTTTTTATCATAGCAATCTTTCAATAATTTTCATTGAACAATTTCTCCATCGGTAATCGATAATTACATATTTATAGACCTATTCAACTATAGCATGGACATTTCTATGCACAAAAAGCCAACAAATAAGAACGATGAAAAATTCACAGCAGCGAAGAGGCTGAAGAAGAAGAGGAGTCGATGGGGGGAGGGAGTTGGGGGGGGGGGTGAGATTTTGAGGAATATCCTCTCTGGTGGTAAAAATGGTGAAATTTTTCTGAGGTCTCAACATCACTAAAAAATTTTTTTATCAAAATTTCGCGATTTTTCTCAGACCAGTGGATATTCATCATATAGTGTCTTTCAAGTCCAATTGACTTCACACTTTTCACTACTCTGCAACTGATTTAATTTACTTAATATTTATTCCTCCAGTTTCATTCTGAATTATCAGTAATAAATTCGAGATCATTGTGAGATGACAGAATCAATAGGGAAAAAAGCCAAAAAATTGGATAAAATCAAATGATATTATATGAAATGTTTGATTGGCGTGGACTCGTTCATATTCGAAAAATATCAAATTAAAAAAAAAATTGAAATATGTACAAACAGAATGTTCTCATGCCAAACATCAGCAAAATTGTATACATTCGTTTACAGTATTTCACTAAGACCAACTGGTATTGCTCATTTTTTTCTGTATAAAAGATATTTTTAATTAAAAAACTGCAGCTCCTATTGAATAATTATATTTGTCAATGTCAAACTATAGTGAGACAACCCGAACGTTTTCATAAATACTTAATCTCACAAATGAAAATAAACTAAGTATTTAATTTCGTACATCTGTCATCGCTATATAGTTTGTAAGAAAATAATATTCCCGTTCGCATTAATTTTCATTTTCTACTCACCGCCTCTATTATGTACACATATTACAAACAACATTATTGTATATAAATCCCGACGTTGCTTTCACTATGCACTAGCTCCATTTGCATAGGTTGAAGTTATTTTAGTGGTCTTTTATAGTCCCTTTATCTCATTTGATTGAAAGTTAGAAAAATTTTTCACCTCTTATTATTCAAACTCACTCCCTTCAATTCCAATCTAATAAAAAAGACTATCATATTACAATACAAATAGTTTGGATTTTTATTTAATGATTGAGAACTAGCTTTTATTTCTCAAATCGATTTAATAATTTACGCACTGGTCCTCCACAGAATCAACACAGATGTTTGCTAAATTACTTTTTATAGTTTAATATTTCTTTATAAACTTTTAATCATTATTTTTTTGTTCATTGTGATTATTATTTCAAGTGCCATTGGCCTCTCGAAATTTAAACGGGGACTTGGTTTTTTTCTCAAGAAGTTTCAAGAATTTTACTAGAATTCTTCCAAGCCGATAAGAAAAAAAAACAGCGAAGAGCAATTTAAATATCCAATAACTTCGAAATTAGATATGCAGAAATGAATTACGACATTGCGTAATTTCAAGGTCAAAAACGATTTTGGGAGTGACATTGTTCTTTGACAATTTGCAGATAAGGGTAATCAAAAGACTCCCTTCACTCTTGAAGGAAAAGACAGAGAAAAAAAAACGTAAACCAAAGGGAATTCAAGTTCGACTTATCGGTAACTTCCAATATATGATGAATGTTCCATAAATAATCTCTAATTTAAAGGAAAAAAAGTCATGGCTAAACCAAGTTCCATTACCAGTTAAATTGAATTAATTCATAACATACTTTTTCCTTAGATTCACTCGAATATTATAATGTATCTCACTCCTATTGCAGATTTATATAATAGTCTGTGTTTTTCTCAATAATTCCACCTGGAACCCCCACAGTTATCACTAATCTGTACACAAGAAACAGTTCTCCAAGTGATTTAACCCCAAGCACTATAAATCCACAGGGGTATGCAAAAGTATTATATATTCTATTCCATTCAAACATGTATTTTCCATTCTCATCGTAATCCATTTTACCTGTTTCACAAAAAAAAAAATAATAATAATTGAAATACACTCGCTTTCATCACTTACATCGTATAGTCCGGATCTTCACAATCATCACCGCTATCACTACTATCAGAGTTCCTTCTCCGTTTCTTCTTCTTATGTTTCTTCACTTTATCAGGTTTGTGCGTTCTACTCTTCCGATGCTCCTTATTAGTCTCAGGATGTGCATGTATCGTCAATTTTGGTACACGCGGTGTTGTTGGTGCAGAAATAAAATTGACAGGATCATTAGGTACATCTGACATTGGATGCTGCGGAACATCCCCAGGGCCTCCGATGCTCGTTTTCATAGCATTGACATCTGAATGATTGACCCTAGCTGTGACTGAATCGATAGCCTTGGTAACACCTTCAGCTCCCTCTTCCTCAGGCTCTTCAGGATCGAACTTGAGTATGAGCTGTCTAAAGTCCAAATACTCGGCGACTAATTTTTTCCTACTGCTGTTATCAAGCTCCTCATTACTAACTCCCTCTTTCAATTTGGCTAATGTAGTTTTTGGCCTGAATAACATGTTGCTTTTTCTCGTTACGGCCTTCTCGTAGACTTTGGCAGATTCTGACGGTGAATATTGACTTATTTTGGCGTCTGAAAATCCATAAACCTCCTTAAGGTGTTGCCTAAGAGTAAGGAGTAACAGAAATCCCTGACTTGCTGTTATATATTCTCTCAGCAATGTAGTATCTTCAGGTAATCTTGCGAGGATAGCTTCATCATCCTCCTCATCCTCTTCCTCATCCTCAATCGGTGGAAGTATCTGGGCTGGTATTGGCTGGCCATCAGGACCATAAATCATCGGTTGTACCTGAGGTATTTGACTATCAGAACTTCCCTCCTTAGGTAATAATGCTTCTTTGAATGATTGAAGTAAATTCACACCGGACATTGAGATTATTACATCGATGTGGTGAATGATGAAGAGAGGTTCGTCCTGTACTTGATATGTGAAATAGGCCAAATTATCAGCGAGATAAAGCATCTGGGATAAACTAGATTTTGCTGTTTCATCGAATTGCTTCAAAAATGACAGGACTATTGCTCTCCTCTGCTGTTTTGTGCTTCTCAGGATGGTGTAGAGGAATCCATTGAGGGCGCCAGGAAGCTCACCTTCTTTCTGCCTCATCCCTCTCACTACAACATCATTCTGGAGGATTTTTTGCAATCGATAGCTCAACTTAATTCCTGATTGGGATTTCATGTGAATAAATCCGGGATATTTCTTCTCAATTTCTTGAAGCTGTTTGTCTGCACTGTGACTCACTGTTTTCTCACTGTCTGTGCTCATGCAGATGAGGTAGGGAACGATCTGAACGGGATGAACAAGTCCTTGGGCAAGAATCAACTGTATAACCTTGAGTGCTGCATGACGAACACTCACATTAGAATGAAGAAAAGACTCAAGAATTTCTTTAAGGTACAACTGTATCACAGTACTCGCCATTCCAGAGGATACATCCCCCATTTCTTTGAGATTCTCTTGTTTCGATAACTTTGCCCACTCCTGATCCTGCTTTATCATTCTCTTTTCCTCCTCTTGAAGGTAAACCTCGATATTATTGAGCACCTGAGTCTTCATCGCCACCAATGCATTATCAGACGTTAAAAGATAATGATACAGCTCTTTCAACTCCGGTGCCATCATGAATTCGTAATGCCTGATGCACAAAAAACCAATTGCCGACAATGTAAAATGTCTAATGTCATTATTGTCCTGATGTACAAAGTAATTCAACGACTCGAAGACTTGATCTTTGATATTCTCCGGCAATCCCTCGATCACCTCTGGGTCAGTGAAGTCAAAATGTCTGAGGAGTAATCCAACGGTGAACAAGGCACGTCGAAAATACGGTCGACTCCTTATTAGCCAAGGATGTGAGGGATCTTTCTGATAACAATTTTTGTACTGCTCCAAATGTCCATAGTATTGTGAGAAACAATCACGAATGAGTTTGAAATTTCTCGTGACATTATTGACGATCGAACCGAGACACGATAAACAGCTTGCAACCACTGATTTATCGTGTTGAAGAATCAATTTAACCGAGTCCTCCTCTAATTGAGCTAAGAAAGTTTCACTAGGATGCTCCATAAGTGGTACAACTAGTTCAAGTGTATGTGCAACACTGCTGATAATCTGATAATCTCCCTGTGTATTGCATTTCAAGCTCAAGTAAGGTTGAAGGGTCGATGAATGGGCAACAAGAAGTTGTGGACGAATTTTAGCGAAGAGGTAGAGTGTGGTCATGCATGCAACAAGCCTCTGGGACGAGCCCTTCTTCTCCTCCCTGTTCTGCTCTCTATTGTTCTCCTCGAGGCTCAGAATATTCTGAATCAGACAATCCACGATTTGTTTGCAAGCTGTTAATAATGCCTTGGGAGGCTCCATGAGCAATTTCGTGCTGTCCTCCTTGTCCTCCTTGGGTTTAAACAAACTAACCAGCAGTTGCTCAAACCACTCCAAACCAATGTCCTTGTTGGTTGCAACGACATCAGTGATATTCATGACTTTACGTAGCAAAGCTGTTGTATCCAATGTTGGTTTCTCCCTCACTGGTGTGAACCACATATTCTGGAATACCTCCATCACCAATTTACGTATCCCTTCCTCATCATTGACTCGTCTAATCATCTTTCCACAGATCTCTGGAATCTTCGAAAAGTCTGGACACTCGATGCAGATGTCCTTGAGAATTTTAATAACTCTTTTGCGTACACTAACGCCAGTGTCGAGGATTCTTGCAGAGAGCATGTCGTAGTATTTGTCGATTAGTTCAGGTCTACTGAGAACGAATTTACCAACAAGATCAACAGCAGCTTCTCGTACAGACGTGGAGTGATCTAAGAATGAGTAATTAACTCCCCTCTGCATGTCAGTCCTAGCCAATACCGATGGATCAGCCTCAACAATCATCGTCAGACACTTCATTGTTTTCGTTCTGATTGCAATCGATGATTCAGTTAGCACTTGAAGTATTTGCATGAGATATTTATCGAAGCTCTGGGAGAAGGGCCTCTTCGATGCCAAATACTGAGATATCAATTCAGCTGAATTGTAATCAATGTAAGTCTGTAAAATATCTGGTTTTGTGGTGCTAGAACTGCAGGGACGGATCGAATTGACGATGAATTTCTTCTTCCCCTCAATTGTTCTGTACACTTCGGAGTACTTTTGTTCATTATTATCATTCTCATCTGGATCAGGCTCTTCAGAATCCGATGGCTCATCCTCATCGCTCTCAACATGCTTATTTCTCCTCTTGGCCTTCTTCTTGCTGGGAGATTTTTTCACTGGAGTTGTTTTCGCCTGACCAACGCGAGATTTTTCCTGAGTGTAATCGCGATACCATTGCGCAAGGTAGAAGTGCCTTGCGTAGGCCAGTGGCGAGTCTTTGATACCATTGACTGCAAGATAATCGAGGAGAACCCTCTGGAGAAACATCGTTCGTTCCTCGTCCTCTGACAGACCAACGATATCCGTCACTTGCTCGTAGTCCGAGTCTTTTTGCTGTTCAGCCTTGATATCACGAATAATCTGATCGATTGTTGACAATTTACACTGGGAGCTCACAGCATCCTTTCGTAATCTCGCTGCAACAACACCAAGATATTCAATGGAAGCTACTCTCAGCGACATGTCTGATCCTTTATTCGAGAAATGGCCAACGAGAAGGCTCCCCAGGAGACTCAGAAGAAGCTCAGCGGCTGGCCATTCTGGTTTATTGACTGTTGCTAGAAGATCCTGCACGAAGTTTTCAAACAATGGCCGATAGTCAACGTCAGTACCCTTACTACTGCATTTCTGGAGGAAAACTGATAAAAAGTTACCAGCTATTCTCGTTGCAGTATCATAACGAGTTATTATGAGTACATCAAAATCAACTTGCACCAGTTTCTTCTCTTCTTTTTTATCATCATCAACTCTATTTGATCTGTCGGCCTTCAGGACACTGTCTGGTATTGTTACAACGCATTGAATCAATTGAAGTACAAGTGCTGTTAACATCTGTATGTGTTCTTCAGAGCTTAACCTGTACGTTCGTAAACTTCTCTTGCTGCTGGGTAATCTTGCAATAGATGCCAAAATATCGTCCAGCAATAATCTTCTGTGTTTCTCGTACTTTGTGAATATGACAGTGACGAGCTTGAGAGCACTCAGCTGTAAATCACTGACGGATTCAACGAAGAATGGTGCAACCCCTAGTGTCGATGCATGAAGAACTGTCGTGTCTGTCAGCATCTGAATGTTGAGTAATTCAGCAAGGAGTGAGACAAGCTCGTGCATTTTGTTGTAAACTTCGAGTATGCTTTTCTCTCGCACTTCCTTTGCATTACCTCGTTTCTTTCGTCCAGTAGAATTGAAATTATCAGTCTTATTTTTCTTGGAATCCACCCTGTACACCGGATCGAAGGATGGATAGATAGTGTTTTGAAGTTGAAACTTCATGAACAGAACTATTCGATCAATTACGTCCTCCAAATAAATTGTTTTCTTCATATTTTGAGATGTCATGATGTTGAGGGCGATGAGAGAGGCGTCAACAGCTCGCTGGACCCTCTCCATGGCAAGTTGCATCCACAATTTACTCTCCTCAACATCATCATCTGGATCAGCAAGGGGTGAGACCCTGGCACCGTCTCTTATGTTCTTTTCAAGAATGTTGAGTAATCTGACGAGTCTGTCTGACGGTATCGACTCCATTGCCCTCAAGGACTTCAACTTGGCGGCCTCTCGAGAGAGCTCTTGAAGATGATATTTAGAAATTAACATTTCCTGGGGTACATCACCATCCTCATCCACGTCTATCAGCGTCGAATCCTCAGCATTCTCGAAGATGATATCTATAGTTGAATTGAATCTCTGGTAGGTGTTTGTCTCCATCAATTCATCCACACTCAATTTAGCCAGTACTGGTACTAGTTTCTTCTCAATTTTTCTTATTTTTGGTTTCTTTGGAGATAGTGAGCCTTCCTTAACGTCTTCCTCATCGTCCTCATCATCATCATCCAGAATTTTTCTTCTTCTCCGTGTTCTGTCGTCCTTCTTCTTCTTACCACGTATCTTGAGCGATTTATTATCATCATCGTCACTCTCAGACTCTGACTTGATAATTTGATTGATCGTCTGATTTTTACACGCACGATCGTGTGATTTATCAGTGAACGATGTCAAATTTTGGGTCATCAAGCCCTGATCAGAGAGTGGTAACCTGCTGAGCATAACCACTGGCTCCTTGAATTTCAAATCGGAATATTGTCCAGATAATCTGATGTCTCTCATCGTGTTATCAGGTACCTGAGGATGCTGAGGGACATTAGTTGTATCTGGCATCTGCTGCTCAGGATGCACTTGAATACCAAGAGCAGAGTTCAGTGTATTAGCAACACTTTCGGGGGTAAGATCGGGGTAGGGTGGAGGATGATTATCAATTGACTGATGATGGAGGGGTTTAGGATCAATGGCGTCAATGGGAATGTCAATGTCAGGGAGGCCAGGTACATGATCCAGGAGGAATTGTGAATTATCTTGGACACTGTGAACCAAATCCAACGTTTGATTTGTCTCCAGGGGATGATGAATCTGTTGATTGATCATTGGATCAAATAGCGTTTGCTGCATGTTCATGGGTACATTCATTTGGCCAATAGTTGTGTTCATCGCCGATGCTGTATGCATTGGTGATGCTGTATGCATCGGTGATGCTGTATGCATCGGTGATGCTGTATGCATCGGTGATGCTGTGTGCATCGGTGATGGTGTGTGCATCGGTGATGCTGTGTGCATTGGAGATACAGTATGCATTGGTGATGTCGTATGCATCGGAGATGCTGTATGAATTGGTGAAGCTATGTGCATTGGAGACGTCATGTGCATCGTATGTTGGGGGGTCATATTGGCCATGTTGTGATGATGATGATGATGTTGTTGATGCTGTTGTTGTGGCTGCTGTTGATGTTGCTGCTGCTGCTGCTGCTGCTGCTGTTGATGCTGATGATGGTGATGATGATGCTGCTGGGGCTGCTGGGGTTGATGAGGCTGATGGACATGCTGCTGGCCTTGATGCATATTGCCAACTTGCATCATAGGACTCTGCGAGCCCATATGCACTGGTGAATAAATATTCTGGTGATGTGGATTGAGGTTCAATTGACTGATACAATTAGCTTCTTCCTGCATATGTTGCGGAGTTGTTCTCGACTGTTCAGTGATGACAGTGGCACGTGGTGATGGCGAAGGCACAGCAAACGGTGACATTTGTGATACATCAGCGTGATTCTGCGGTGTCAGTGGCATTCTTGGATGTTGAGCGTGAGATGTACCCGGTGGTGGTAAGGCTGTTCTAGCTGCTGCTGGATGGGCTGGACTACCCTGTGGTGTTTGTCGGGAACCTGATGAATTTGAATATGACGGTGAGAATCTTCCATAGTTTGCTGGTGATTGATTTGAATGGGTCAGGGATCCACCCTGAGGCCAATTTCGTGGTGAATTGTAATGGGGACCTTTAAATACATGAGGATTTATTTGCAGTATTGCTTTCAGTAACTCTGGGGCATTTTGTTCAGTCTCATGAGTTGTTTGATCATTCTTTGAGTGATGATCCTTCAATTCGATGTTGTCTGATGAGGTTTGGGATAGTGATGATATCAGCTGGGGCACCAGAGTCTCGTCGCGATTACTCAGGAGTAGGTGGGCCTCTTCGGCGACACGTGGATGAAATAACAGCGACTTGTTTGTCAGGGTTTGGGGCAGGGGTGTTGGTAGGGGCATTTCTGGCAACAAGTCTGTTAGACTCGCTATACCAGCGAGGGTAGTGATTGGAACACTCGGTATAACCCCATTCATTTTGGGTTTTATTAGCTCTGGCATTCCACCCTGGACATAAAATTATTTTTCATCATTACTCTCGTTCATCAGTAACAAATAAATTCAGAAGAAAAATATTCAACTCTGAAGGAATAACACAATCAATTTTTTCTCGTGATATCACTTCACAAATGAATTTGATAATAATTCAAAAAATGGATATTTACTCTGTCTTGATCGTGGAGTTCTCACAGCACGCAGTGATCCTTTATCAGTGCAGTTCCATGTAAAATCCTGCATTCACATATTGCCCTACGATGCATTAACATTTTCACAATCCCCTGGCTTTCCATACGTTTTTGTTTCATCAATTCAAACAATAATTTTCAATTTATCTCTTCTTTTTGCACTTGAAAGTTTATCAGCACTATCACTTGACAGTCGGTCTATTTATTTATGAGTTATCAACGGAACTTAACGAGTCTCTTTTTCAAGTTCCCATGGTGCAGCTCGTACCATTTTTAGCCAAATTTCGAGGATGCCCTTGGATCTTGCAATAAACAATTCATGATGCAGTTGCCACTCAAATATTTATTATCTGAAATCAAGTGAATCAGTATTAATTGTCGCTCACTAATTCGTACGGAGATTCACTGGTAAATGTTACATAACCATCACAACTAAATTATCTGAATTGTTGAAACAAATTGCGTGATGAAACTACGATTTCATTCCATTTCTGTTGTGTTCAACAGAAAAAATTTTCAAAACTTCGTTTTCTGTTACCACCAACAGAATGCCTAATCAATTAGTAACCCAGAAGGAAAAATAATAATTTATTCCATGGAACAGTTCAAACCCCGAAAGGATATACGCGAATCAATCAATTCACTTAACAATAATACCCTTTTTCAAGTAATGGGAAGTGCCCCATAAATTTGAACTGAAGAAAATCACAAACAAAAAAGCTCAATTATCTCAATTTAAAAATTGACAAAAAAAGTCACTAATCGAGAGGAGTGATAACATCAATGGACCACTCTGTCCAAACAACTTGAAAATTCTCAATAATCCACCACCAACACTCAACCAAAAACCCCCAAAATTCCATAATTAAGCTGATCACAGTTTAATGTCAATTGTCCCATTCCGAGTAAAATTGCAACTTGCAATTTTTGGCGGGAGGCCGTACCTATTTGTTAATTATACACCATAAAAAAACTATCCTCCGAGTAATTAAAATTCATGGATTAATCGATAGGGAGTGATAGAACAATCCAAAAGTCCAAATTTTCACCTCTAAAAGTGTTTCCCTGGGATATCCCCCCAGTCACCAATTGTCATCCGTGGCTGTGGCCTACTTGGTTCTTTTTTTATGTTTCAGACGCGTATTTAATCACAATTTATCCAATGAAATAAGCACATTAGAACGTTGCCCACAGCAAGTAACACTTACATCATAAATAATATTAATCGTCCATAAACACATTTGTTTACCAAGATAAACGTTATTTTTTTAATAGTATTTATTATGTGAATATGAAGAAAACAGACACAAAGGCGTCCATTTTGCTCAGCAGCGGAGCTTAGCGGAAGTTGCGTAGTAGATGGAGTTCACAGGCAATTTGTCTGATTGTGTTGGAGAGACCAAAAAATAATACATGTATACGTGTGTCAAGGGGTTAGTACAGCAGCAGCGTCGCATTTCAAACATTTCAAGTCATATCCTCAATTTACCGATAAATTCCTCGTCCCCCATTGGTCCAAACACATCAATAATCCACCATCTGCCAATGAAATTTCATCCCTGAGACGCTCTATCCAGCTCTACACATTTATCCTCTTTATGTCAAGTGTCAACTCCTGCAAAAAGTCGCAAATTTTCCACTCACATATCTGATAATTCATCCCTCGTCCAATCCATTGTAGAAAAAATTAAGAGTCTCAGCGAATGGGATTGGATAATTTTTGAAAATCATACGGGATTTATATCGATCAAGAAATTCCTGTTTTGTCGTCTTGAGACTTTTGTTTACAATCGGCGTTTGTAGTGTAAATGGGGGTGTAGGTTTTGTGTATATTATGTGCTTACATATAGGTCTCTACATACCCCTCCATATTCCAGTCGTCTGTAAAATAAAACCCCAGCAGACAAAACTTCAAAATGGCGCCTTGTATCAGTGTAAACACCCAGTTTTTGATATAATTGGAGCGTGTAATTAGTGGTCAATGTGCTATTGTGTGTGTATGTAGTGGGTAATTGAGATTTCATTTTGACAGTTGCCAGTGAGGTGGAGATAAAATAATAGTCTGGATGTATGCTATTGCAATGTCGATCGCCCATTCTATGACAGGTATGTTCTACCACGACGTTTTTCATCCTGAGTTTATCTCTTTTGTATGGATTTTGTCATCACCATTCATGTCCCCGTCAATTCAATTATTTTGACATCAGAATATGGAGGGAATTTGAGTGGTGGTTTTTTTTTATTTCGGCTTATGGATTCAGTGTGCATTGGGTTTGGGTTCGAAAGAAAAATTTGCTTTAGTGCAGAAGATAATTGGTACAGGGCAATTAGAGCTGTGAATTTAATTGGTAATTAGAAGAGAATTAGTGTAAAAAATTCAATCTCTCATTTTTTAATTTTTAATTATGTTGTATATGTATTCTAGGGTCTGAACCGACGAAAATGGCCCAAAAACGAGGTGCTAGCAGTATTGGGTAAGTTTTCCAATGAATTATTTTTATTCATCGAGTTTTTATTGTTTAAATTGCTCTCAGTGAAAATTGTTTACTGTAGTAGATAAATACCATTTTCCGCTCATAGCTGAATAGATGTGAAAGGTTGATAGAAAATTCAGATTGTTTGTAGAATACGGAGCGCCAGCTTCTAAAATATTTCCCCGTTTTCCTTCGGCATTGAGATATTTTTCTTAAAAACGTGATAAATCGACCTCAGGTCCGGCAAGATTCTGATGAATATCTTGGGATCCGAGAGAGATAAGGGAATAAAAACCCGGTTGACAGAAACCTTTGTTCCTGCATGAAAATATTCATGAGATATTCTCGTCGTGTTCGGATGACAAGAGAAATTCTGAAAACTAGGAGTGAAATGATTTTTGGTGTATTTGCTATTCATTTTTTAAGTAGAGGAAAAAAAATGCTTCTGTTAAATCCTTTAATTTTTGAAAAGTAATTGTTTTTCCCAGTGCAGTCGGTAAAAGTGGGTTCTGTAATTATGACTTGAAGGGCCTTATGTCCTTGCCAGGCAAGCAAGAGGTGTCGTAACTCCATAAAATACGAGAGAACTCACTCCCACAATTCGGACAATTTATTTCGTGTCCCAAACTTTGACCTGCGGGGGGGAGTGAAGTCCCACTGTGTCTTTCTTCCGAAATCCCCACGACGTGCCATTGTCCACCTGCAAAACTATTCATAAGAACCCGACAAACCTGACACCTAAAAATGCATTCAGGAAGTCATTGTCAAAGTAACCGTAGCAGGTACTGGTTCCACCTTGTGACTTGAACAACATAACTTCACTCGCAGCATTGAAATCTCCACGGAAATGACACATTCATCGACTTCCCCCTGTCCAATTTCATTGGAAACACTCAAAAACAATATCATACAGTGATTAAAAAATTTAAACACTCTCGGTTTGCTAATTTGAAAATTAAATAAATTGAACTAAGAGAGAGAGTATTTGAAGCAGAATTTTTGAGTGAATGCGTGATGACATATCGGGGAAAGGTCATTGTTTTTGTAAAAAAATAAGGAATCGTTGGGTTTAAAAATACGAAAACGATTATACACCGATAGATGATCGAGCTGAGGAAGTGGAAGAGGGAGAAATGATAGTCCCCTCCTCTCGGACTGGACAGAACTGCTGCACATAACACAGCGATGGTAGAATCAGTCACTAGTGGAACGTGGGTGGTGACGAGTCCCAACATTCATTAAAACTCGTATCATATGTTTTTCCTCATTTACTTTTGCCAAACTTCCGTGGTTGCTAATGAAATGAACGTCCAGGGGCTCTTGAAATATTTCATTTCCTCTCATTGAGAATTATTTGCACATTGAAGACAATTATTGAATTATCGGATTATCGAATCATCGAATTCTTGAATTGCCCACAATTTTGAAATATTCAATCGTGATAAATCAAAGTGCTGTGATCTGTGAACCCATTATCACCTGTGATTCTCCTCTGAGTGCAATGAATAAAATCAATGCCGTCCATTCAATCATTTCCTCTCTCTCAATTATCTCAGAAAAAAATTGATATTTCGAAATAATAAATGATATGGATTTTATTGACTCGTGAATCAAGTGTTGGAGTGCAAAAAAATGTTTTTCACTAGGTTAAAGATAACGTTTGTTATAAAATAAGTTATGACAGAGGATTCAAATGAGAAGACATTCGAGAAAATCGAAAATTCTTAGGCGTGAAAGTTTTGAGGAGTGAAGTGAACTTTCGAAAAAGTGCCATTGGAATTGAAAGTCGGAGAGTATTTTTTAAAGGAGAAATTGTACAGTCAATTAATTAGATAAAAACTGAAATGTTAATGAGTGAATAGTCATTTATTGATGGACGTTTGAGGGGTGAAATTGGGGTACTTAGTGATTATTGAAAGTGATAAGGAAATCATTCAAAATAGAGTATCCTGGCGGGAACGGGATGTACGGGGGTGGTACGGGTAGCACGGGTTACGGGGTTGGTTTGGGCCCTGGGCCCGGGCCCTCGCATTATGTGCCCCCACCTCCGAGTCATGTCGGCTACCAATTGGGCGCTGGGCCCTCGCTGGTCGGGGGACTGTCGGCTGATGCCACTGGCCCACCACCAGGAAGTCAGCTACTGTCTTACGGTGCTAACTTATCGCCTCATCATCCTCAACAGCCGCAAAATGATTCGCGACATTCCAAACGATCAAGGTAAAACCAAATAATCAAATTACACGCCTTGAATTACCGCGAAAATTACTCGGCATCATTCGTAAAAAAAATATATATACTTGAATCAATTAATACATTTAACTGATTTAAATTCACATTTGAATTTGTTTGCAATTCATTTTTTTATAATAATAAATTTTAATATATTTCTAAGAGAGAAAAACAATTTGTCAAGAATGTCCACGAGAATAATTTATTTATGACAGAAAAGTTATTCGTCTGATCAGATCGAGTGACATTCGTTTATTTAATTTTTATGCAGTTGCGAATTTAATATATTTTAATGCAAAATTCGTTGACAACAAATTGCTCTTCATGGTTAGGACGAGGACAAAATTTCTCAACGATATTAACTGATTCGCCAATGAATAATTTCATGAATATCATGTCACTCTGTCGTTGTTGAAAATTCAAATAGTTTCACTTAAAATGGCAAGTGTAATATCTTTTTTCTTTTTGTACACGCGGAACCTTCTGTATCAGCTACGTGAGCAACCAAGTGACTTTGCTATCAACACTCATTAACTGATCAGTCGCACATGGTGGTCATACCTCCTATCAATACTTATTAATTTGATATTCACAAATCCCTCAGACTGATTCGAAAAAAATGGACCGTTAGAAGAAAAGGAATGAAATTTAATTAGCAGGTGATGCCTGATTTCCAGGCAGATGACATCAAGTGAAAAAATACTTGAAACTCTGGTCGAGCTCGGGATCGATTTGGGCGCAAGATTTTTTTAATCATCAGTTTAGAACATTTTTATTATATTGATTTCTGGTCCAGAGAAATAATCGAAGTTGTGAGCCGGTGTTTACTGGATTATTTCAGCAGTATCAGCAAGCAACGTGGAGCCATAACAATGACCGACTGTTGGGTGGTCCCCTGAGATTATTCTTGGCTCAGTAAATGCCACTTTCATAGTTTCTTTTCCTTATCAGTGAAAATGTAAAAATACATCCGCGAAGCTGTTAAAGTAAATAATCTCTCAATGCTCGTCACACAATTATGGCAGATTCTCACCCCGAATAAGTCCATTGGTTCCCAAGTTCAAGTCTCAAATTGATCGAAAGCAATTTTCAAGTTTCCAAAATTATCATTAATCTAATTATCAGTGAGCATTGAAATTCGCTTGAATTTTAATTCAGATAACGAAAATTAATTCATTGGCGAGATTGTAACTGAAATTTTTAGCAAGTTCTACTAAAATTTCTTTTTTGACGATTTATCTATTGTCAGGATTCTCAAGACCTTTCGCTAAAGAGCATGAACTTTACCATGAGATCATGTTTCAATGGTCTCAATGATATGAAATATGATTTGCAACCAGTCTGGTACCCTATCCATGATAAATACCTTGTTTACGCGTACATCTTCCCTTGGTTTACGGTTTTATTGCGCACGTGATAAACGATGGAGAGGTAAAGAGGGTAGTAATTAGAGGACAGACAGTTGGTGACCAATGTAAAACCCACCAGTTATGGAATTTGTCACGTAGTGGAGATTTGCGGTCACTGGCAAATTCAAACGTATCACCTGTCAGTTCGCTATTACATAATAAATCACAATCAATATATTACATCGATGTGAAATATTCAATAAAAATTAATGATCGACTAAAATTCAAGCGATGGTATAATTATTTCGTCAGGCCCAAATAATCACGACATAGTGCTCCGAGAAAATTCCGTAACAATTCCATCAATTTTTTTGGGTAATGAATTGACATTTTTTTTCGTGACACCAGGAAATCAGTGCCTTGAGGGGATTGTGAGGGACCATTGGAGAATATATTGTCAAGAGTGTGAGTTCTTGGGTGAAATATATTTTTGTCCCAGTGGAGTCTCCCCAGGATTTCCATTGGCCAATCAAAGACCAGGAGAATGGATAAAAATTGTGGACCGCCCCTCGCGCTGTATAACGGACCCAGAACCGACCAATGGCTGGGGACACCCTCTTAATATTCGCGACCTCTACCATCTACTTGACAATCAGAGAAAAAAAACAGTGGTTTTAACAGCAAGAGTGTTAGATTCCAGATAAAACAATTGGAATTGCCACGAGGGACTCCATACGTCAGAAGAATCAGGTGGCAATAAGTATTTGCAACAAGTGCCACTTGGAGGTCGATTCGTGACTTCGAGTCACTCCATTTTATTTATTTATATTCTTCTTCCAATTTTTTCATTCATACAAGGCGCGACAGCCACTGAAAGATGGAATTGTTTTTAAGTAAATCAGTCAGTGGAATTTTTTTTCACCCTGAGAATCCGTCCACCAATTCTCAGATGAGAAATCGTGAGGAGCTCGATGAAAAAATTGCGGGTCACAGATGTCATTTCGCTCGCTGGTCAGTTCACGATATGTAAGGCATTCGATGCAAATATGTGACGGTAAATAAAATGCAGAACAATACCCCGGTGCAGAGCTCCTTCATCTTCGTGTGATCAAGTAAAAATACGAATGGAAAGGAAGATTAAGGATGTTGTAAATGGAGCACGAGAATGAGGGAGAAATTCGAAAATTATATATTTGTATTATTCCTATAAGAATTATTGTAATTGTGAAATAAATCTTACGGTAATTTGCAATTACTCATCTGCTGATCCATTATATATCCAATATTTATATTACAAAAAATTTTGAATTATTAAATCATAATGGAAATTATATATAAAAAAAATATTTTTAATGATATTACAAAAAAATATGACCTCATACATAAAAAAGGCTTTTCGTCATGATTATTCTTTTTTTTAATCACTTGTGGTTTATTAAGCATTCGATCTTCAAATCCCAAAAAAATTTCTATCAATTTCAATTTTTCGCTGTCTGTTTTCATTAATTTATTCGCCAATTGCAATCTCACATAAACATCTGAAGTGACCGAACCCTCGTCAAAAATAATGATTTCCCTCATCCAATTTTTTGAATTTTCAAATCGTCACATATTGCACTCGTTACTCCGATCCATTAGAGAAATATAATGCCCCTGGCTGATCATTATGTACTCCATAAATCGAGGGGCTCTCCGGACAACACTGGAGCAACAGGGATGAGGAAAAAAGGCCAAAGAATAAAAAATTGTGCAAAGTAAGAGAGAAGGAGAAAAAAAAATGAACACGTGGAAGGAATAACAGGCTAGGACTATTCTTCGTGGGAATAAGGATGGAGTGATGAGGGATTGAGGGAGAAGAAGAGAGGAGGCAAGAATGGTATCTTGAGGGAGTGGATGAGAGGACCCATATATACATATACATATATACACGAAGAGGAAGAGTTACCCGGATGCAAGCCCTACCACCCTCACAATGCTTGCACACTCAGGGGGGCAGGGAAGCAGGGGGGTCATGGTGTACCCCAGTGGAGGCCAAAGGGATAAACAAGGATGACTAGATTGGATATACTCTGTACTATACCTCTGCTTCAGGGTCAACACCGTGCATCAAATTTTTCTGCCCCCCCCCCTTCCCCCTCGTCCCTCTGTTTTTAAATAAATTTTTATCTCCCCCTTTTTGTTCTGTGATTGTTCGGTTACGGTATGCAGGGTAGGGTAACTTCAATCGTTCTTCAATAATTTGAGATGTATTTGGATTTTATTGATTTTGATTTAAAAAATTATTGTTTAAGGTATTATTCAATTGAATGTATTTGAGTGAATAATAGCTTCTATAATAATTTTAGCGGATTAATAATATCTGTTGGGATTGAAATTATTGGGCACTGTAATGGTTTTGGGAGAGGAAGGGGGGGGGGACGTTTATTTTGTAAATTTGAATGTTTTCTACTGCTTGGAATTGTTATTAGCAAAAAAGCTGCGGGTGAATAGAAATTTGTTGAATTTAATGAGACGTTGATGGATTTAGGATTGACAGTTTCTTTCAGCTCGATTCTTTTTCATTGCCATCGATTAAAATGGATATGTGAAGAGAGCGATGAATGTAACGCCATACTTGGCGAAAAGGAAGTCGTAATTTACGTGTACGGGTGACGCAATTCGTGAATGATTGTCGACCAATTACTAGGTGGAAAAAAATTCATCTGAAACGAGTGAATTCCATTTTTATTAGTTCTGAAATGAATTATAAAACCAAGTGCTCTCATTGTTTTTATTATCACGTGGGTATTTTTCTGTGTACTATTTTTATATCAGATAATTTTACAGTCGATCATTTCGTCACGTTTCAGATCGGACGAGGACGATCCCAGTGGAGTGAAGTATCGAAGAATCGAGGACGACAATTTGCAGGACAAGGAGAGATTCGCCAGGTTAGTGTCGGGTATAAGTAACCACGTGGGTTGTGAAATATCTTTGCTGGCAGTTTCAAGTAATTGAAAAAAAAAGCCCCAGGTAATTCCTCTCAGGGCGATAACTGCAGTCTTATCCCGGTCTCCAAAAGCATCAGTTTAGAAAAAATGAAACCCCAACTGAATTCTGCAGTCAGTTTTCCGTTAATTTCTCAACACAACGAAAATAATGATATTTTCAAAGACACCTTTTTTCCAGCTCTCATTTTTTTCTATAAAAAATATATCCACGAAAATTTCGCTATGTCCCTTCAATTGGGTAATATTGGCTGAAATCTGGCATGGCAATAAATAATTTATCCTAGTTTACCACTTGATTCTTGAATTTGGTGGGACCATTGACCATTGGTCCATCCTTTTGCCATATCGAGATTCCTCGGGGTACATTTTCTGCATGTAGATCTCCTGTATCTCCGTTTTCACTCTTCTCAGCCCTTGTTTCAACTTGAGAGGAACTCGATGGAGATAGGCAGTGGTGTAAGCCCTCGGCGTCTCTCAGCTACGCCGTGGGAACACCAAGATACACTAGCACATTTCAAGAACCAACTACCTCCACTCCCTAGTTATCCCTATCCCCTCATTCGTTAGTCAATCAGTCAAAAAAAATTGCAAGGAAATTATTCAATATTTGCTATACGATCGCTTCAGCCACTTCCGCAGTCTTTACACGCTCAATGTGTACCGTAAATTTCACTGTTAGACAATTACTTTTCAAATCAATTAAAACTGCTAGAACCTGTAATCATACAGCAATAATTTAATTAATAATCAAAAGGAATGCAATAATTTTATTCTTCAGCGTCGAGTCTCTTCATTTCTTGGATATTCAAGTATACTAATGAATAATAAATAATAATTATGAATTCCTAAACAATTTTTCATTACAAATCGATTTATCATATCTATAATTATCTGAACAATTACGTAGAGATGATTATTATTGTTATTATTCCTATTTTTGAAATTATGAGATAAAAATTGCAGAATAATTTATTATTACACCTGCTTTGTCCCAATTTACGTCATATTTTCATTTATTTATTGTTTTCCGTATTATAGTCAAACCTCCGGGGCTAATAACATGACTAATTACATAGCGATAACCGCAAAAGGTTTATCGTGTAGAAAGATAAATACGTAGACGCTCATATATCAAATAGCATTGGATAATGAAAGGTTTCAACGTTCAATGAATTTTTTTTATATTTCAATTTGTCAATTTGTATTGAGGAATGCAAATCGATTCGATAATAAAATTTTTATAGCAATAAATGATATTGGTTTGAAGCAATTTATAGTTGATTGATTGATTAATTGATTAGGAATTATTACTGCACATTTTTTAGAGAGGAAGAGGATAAAAATAACGAAAAAACAAAAGTTGCGAAATGAAAAATTACGTTAATGTAATGGTAATTAACGGCGTAAATTTTGTGAAATGTAATTAATATCGACTTTTTCGGTGTGTAATGTAGAATTTGAATGTTATTTCGTATAAGGGAAATGACGGAGAGGTACATAACGGGTTCTGCGTTAGATGGCCATTCAAAACAAGCCAAATCGAGTGCAAGTATAAAACCCTCGTACATATCCAAGAGAAAAGTAAGAGAACTCTTTCACGGGGTCAGAGATCAGACAGTCTTGCAAGGTTTACCGGATGCTTATGCCCGATTCTGCATTGCACATCGGCTGGATCATACTGTAGATTATCTCCAATCACCCCAAACCATTGTCTCGACAATAAAATCAAATTAAATTCACGAAAATTTCTCTGGTAATAGAAGTACAAATTCGCACAGATCTACTTGTTGCATTTTACCTCTCGGTTAACCACGGGAATGCAGTGAAAAGAGAAAGAGAAAAAGGGGAGATAAATTCCAGAAAAGACTATAGTCCCTCAACGAATAGTCTGCCTCAGGACCTTTGCTGAGGAATAAATAGTAAAAATGGCGATGAGAAAGATTGAATGAAAAAATGAGAGTTTATATTAGCTTTCGTGGCACGCGATAGAGCGACTGAAATTTAAGTGATGGAAGTTTTCAGTGAAAGACATAAGAAGAAATGAAGAAACATTTCCTAGACAACTTGTGGCTCAAGGGGAAAGGGACCAGAGATATAATAGCGTTATTAACTTAAAAGTGATGGGTGTTGCGCGCGACATCACAAGTCTGCAGTATTATTGCCTTGTGTTTTTCAATTTTCTAGTCTGACGAACACGGAAATTACGAAATTACTGTCTAGTCCCGCGGTCGATGAAATCGTAGATTTAAAGGTTCAAATTTTTTACCGAAAAATAAACAAATAATCGCAGCCAAATTATCACTTGAACCCCATCAATTTATTTGGATTGACGGAATAACTAATTGAATGATGAATAAATAATTCCAAGTGGAAAATAATTTTTTTTGAAGAAACAACAGGGAGTTTGGTAATGATTTCATAAAAATTGTAGAGCACAAAGTATTGACCTTTAATAATCAGCTGTACATACTCATCCACTACTTCAAGGTCCATTTCATCCGTTCATTTCTCACCATGAATTCCTAATAATAATAACTTTTTATCCGAATAATTTTTTCGTTCTGCCATTCGAATTGCTCTCGCGTGCACCCCATCATCTCAACTTTTATTCCTCTTACTCCATACGTTCGTATGAATTTGCCGTGAGTTATCGTAAATTAAACAGTATTAAATTTACGATTGCACCTTACTTATTATGTACTTTACAGCATTACCAAGGTTCAGTTAAGAATTTAAAATTATTGCGTGCCCCCAACCCCATTTCTTCCACATGTGCCCCCTGCATGACACGTAATGAGAGGGTGTAAAGAGAGAAAGAGCAATTTATTTATCAGAAAGCCGAGAGATGGAGAGAGAATTCCCCCAGTGGATCTCGTTATGGAAGTCTTCAGGTAGTAGAGGTCAGATAAATGGACTGTATCATGAGAGGATAATCATTCTCCCATTTTTAAAAACAAAAAATCACTCTTCATGAATCGTCTCCAAGCGCTCGAGTTGATATTCATTAAAGATCTGTTCAAACTGACGCACACCTTATCAGGTTTCCCCAGGTGATCATTAAAAATCGATTTGAATTTCCGGCTTCACTGATTTTTTGATTTTTGATTTTGAGATATTCGATTATGTGAAGCCTGTCCCTTTTAGAATAGGATATTAATGCTCATGGAAGTCTTTGCCTTAATTTTGTTATTGTTTATTTTTGTTGATTGTAAACAGCCGGGAGAATCATTGCGAAATTGAACGACGAAGGAGAAACAAAATGACGGCATATATAACTGAACTTTCGGATATGGTACCAACATGTTCAACACTTGCCAGGAAGCCTGATAAACTGACAATACTCAGAATGGCTGTTGCTCACATGAAGGCGTTAAGAGGTGAGACTTTCAATTTAAAAATTCTACATTATTTATTTGATTTTACTGTACAATTATCTGAGTTATTAGTAACAGTACAATTTGCGTAGTTATTAATAATAAATAAAAAGAAAAAAATAATAAAGGGTACACGTTTTGGTTTGTAATCTCGAGCGGTGATAAGCTATCCGTTATGGTTTTCAAGATTTGTCACGTACATGTTCAAGTGTTGATAATTCATTACAAACTGAGTAATTTAATCATTATCATTGTGATTATTCGACTTGAATCGCTTCAGCGCTTTCACTTAATCTCTTTGGAATCGACACGTTTCGAACAATTGTTGTTAATTGGTTTTTTCAATTGGTTCCTCTTTCCTCGGATTTCCATGAGGAAAGTGTCAGGTTTATCATTCGATCTCTCATTGTTGGAAGAATATTCAATAGTTTGATGTACTGCATCGAACAAAATGGTGTGAATCAGGGGGTTCAAGGGTAGATGAGGGAAAAAAATCGATCGTGAGAATCCATTATTCAACATTTCAGTTTTCCAGAATTTTATTAGAATATCTTCAACATTTTTTAGCAAAAAAAAATGAGTCCACGGTTCACTCCTACTCACAGCTAAATTCACCACCAATACCTCAGGTAAAATATATGTCTTGGTGCAGGCAATATATTCAATTCCAAGAACGATATATGCTTCCGGTGATGGGTAGAATGTGGTGACAACTCAGTCTCTTCTCCTTTGTAGTGGAAACTTGTGGCTCACACAAATGAAAGATAAAATAAGTAAGAAAAAGGACTGTTAAAATTGTTTGAATTACGAGTCGTTTGTATACGAAGGAAAAAGAGAGGTATAAGAAAGATAGTTGCGCGTATCGTCGCATTGTTTATAGCCACCTTTTTTTTTCTTTATTTTTTTCCCAGCGACCCAAGGTAGTGGCCACTGAATACAAATTGACCTAAGGTTGGACCTTTACCTGTTAGATCCATCGAGACGAATTCCCAGTGACGACTTGACGATACCGAGGGAAAAGAAAAATATGAGAAATATATGTATTCATTCCGTGTTACAGGATTCCGGAGTAGGAGTTATTCATTTAACAGTCAAATTAAATTTCTCAAAACTTATCTTATCAATCTATTTTCCTGGAATCTTCGTGAATGATTTTTCATTTAAGTAGTTTTCAATTATTGATGGTTATTTTATTTTTACTGTTTTTTTTACCCCACCATAAAAATTTGTTTCCACACATCTTATCATTTTCGTAGGAACTCTTATCAATACAAGATTGTTTAGTTTTCCTTTGCAATAATTCCTCAGTATGAGTCTCCATTTTATTGTTAACTCCACCAGAGGTTCTGTTGTATCCGAATTAAAAAATTTAGACGAAAAAAAAAACAATGAAGTTCATTAAATTTTCTGCTCTTCCTGAGATTTTCCGCCGGAGTATTTCTCCTCGGAGTTGGTTGAGGAAGTGGCGAAGAACGGAGAAAATCTCAGGGGTAGGGGCTAGGTGGAAAATAATGGTAACGAAGGTCACGATCAGGGACCGTCCATAGATCTTGTTTGGAAGTCGTTAAAGTTCCTCTTCTCGGAATTTCTCGTATATCGAAACGTAGATCGGATGGAGGAAGAGAGAAAGTACCAGAGGCGGGCTCTACTCCAGGGATCCTGTCCCGTTTTGCAATTCTGATCTTGCACTTCGATAGTTCGATAGGCATATACCAATACTCATCGGTAGTGCGCCACAAATTTTGGTACCAGGAGCAAGAGTATAAAAAAAAAATCACCCATTTTTTGCAAATCCGTCGTCTAATGAGCCTACTGTTATTTTTTTTCAGGGACAGGTAATACGAGTGCCGATGGTACTTACAAGCCGTCCTTCCTTACGGATCAGGAGCTGAAGCATCTGATTCTCGAGGCTGCCGATGGTTTTCTCTTTGTCGTTAGCTGTGACACCGGTAGAATCATTTATGTTTCGGATTCGGTAGCACCAGTGCTCAATTATCAACAGAGTGATTGGTATGGCACGAGTTTGTACAATCAGGTTCATCCTGATGATACGGAAAAAGTACGAGAGCAACTAAGTGCTTCTGAGCCACAGCATGCTGGAAGAGTTCTCGACCTCAAGACGGGAACAGTCAAGAAAGAGGGACATCAATGTGAGTCATATTAAAATTATTTTCTGATCAATAGAATAGAAATTAAATGACTCTGTAAACATCCCGCAAATTATCCAGTGCAACAGTTATTGTAAAAAACATTTTACTATGTGTGATTGAAGACATTATGATGCAAAATCATCTTGCTAAAATTGTTTTAGCTTCTGTGAGATTGAGCATGGGCTCAAGACGGGGCTTCATATGTCGTATGAAGGTCGGCAACCTCCAGACAACCGGTGACATGGCAGCGGCACAGGGTCTACATCGAATGAAACAGAGAAATTCACTTGGACCACCAGCAAGAGACGGCCAAAGTTACGCGGTTGTTCACTGCACGGGGTATATCAAAAATTGGCCCCCCACCGGTGAGTTTGGTATGGATCTCACGGATTTTATTCCATTGTTCCTATCGGTATATTCGTAGCAAGTTATTTCTCATTTATTTTCATATCTAAGCTTCTGTAAGAAAATAGACAATCCATCAATATCACACCTTATTGTTATTTCTTCAGTAGTCATTACATGATTTCACCAGCGAAGGGGTAAAGAGTGATAAATCGTGACGTTACGAAAAAATTCGAAAACCATTTCGATCTGAATTTTCAAATACTCCTGATTAATGAATCAGCCTACGAGTATCGATTAACCACATAAAAATAATAATCAATAATAAAAAAATAAGGGAATCTAATAAATAAATTGAAATTAACGAATTCAACTAAAAATTTCTTCACAGCTCGAGAAAAATTTCTATGTCAATCACTCAGCATCTAATGATTAGGAATTAATTGATTTTTTTGATGAGATTCGATTACAGGAGATGTATGTAATTAATATTCAGAAAAAAATTGATCACTCTTGATCGCGTCGCTGTTGATTTAGTTTTGAAAAAAAATAGTACAGAAAGTTAGAGGATAAAAAGGGAATAGGGTGACAGGGAACGATGGACTAACCTCAGTGATTTTATCGTGTATAGGTGATTTTGTTCCCCCGTGTGTACCAGGTGTGGGTTTAGGTGACAGAAATGCGGTACAAACTGGACCGGATGGCATTGTCTCTGAGGATGGTGCTAATCACTGCTGTCTCGTTGCTATCGGACGTCTTCAGGTTACCAGCACACCCAATACCAATGATTTGACTGGTTCCAATAGCAATAACGGTAATTTATGTGTTTCATTTTTATAACACCTGTTTGAATAATTCAATTGTCGATCGTGAATAAAATGTTAATTAAGAAATTTTACTGATCAAGAATTTAGAAAGTTTGGAAATAATTTGTGTGGAACGATCGAAATGTTTTAATGCTCTGACATTTCCTGACGTAAAACAATCTAATCAATATTAAAAATCCCAGTGAAATCTGCTTAGCTGTTTTTTTTTGTACTTTGAGGACAAACTTTTGTTTCTGAGAATGGAGCCTTGGACGAAATGTGATGGAACATTTATCTGTTTTATTTTATTCGACAGAATTCATCTCACGTCACTCTGCAGAAGGGAAATTTACATTCGTCGATCAGAGGGTCAGTGGAATATTGGGATATTCGCCGTCCGAACTTCTTGGCCATCAATGCTATGAGTTTATTCATGAACAAGAATTACCTTTCATGCGAGAAAATTTTGATCAAGGTAAATTGTTAATGTTCCGCAGAGCCTGAGAAAATTTTATTAATTATAATATTTTATTTCCCACATTTCGTACTAATGAATTGATTGTAATTATCAATGTACATTGTATTAACGGAATGAGTGAATGTGTCTGGACAATTGACTAGTTCACAGATTGAATAACGACTGTACACTCACTCATATTCGGCGAATGTCAGAATTCTCTCACAATGATATCAGGCAGAATATCAATTCAAAATGGAACTAAAGATTATTTTGTGAATAGTTTGAAAAGAAACCGGTTTCACAGAATTTTTGTACATTATAGAAAAAAAAGGCTTAACATTTTTTTTCATCATTTTTTCAGGTCAGACTATTTTTTTTTCATATTATACGATAATTTTTCAGGACACACATTTCTAAAAATTGCAGAAATTTTTCATGGAAAATTTTATTCTATTGAAAGAATTTTTCATAAATTATTTCTGGTCCTGAAAGAAAATGGTGTAAGTCACAATGGAAGATTATCGAAAGGTAGTTTTTACAGTTGGTAATTTCCTAATGTTTTCCCACGGTATCGCAAAATATTCTTGATTTGGAAATGATAATGACACGTCTAACCCTCGCAAATTAGTTTACCTAATGAGATCTATCAATGATATCTAATTCAGCAGTATACCGTTCATGTTTTTACAGTTTTAAAACTAAAAGGACAAATAGTATCACTGTCATATCGTTTTCGTGCTAAAAATCGTGACTGGGTGTGGCTGAGAACGTCGGCGTTTGCCTTCTTAAATCCCTGCTCGCAAGATGTTGAGTACATTGTGTGTACGAATACAGTTGGAAAGTAAGTTTCATTGGCATCCAAGCACCTCCAACAAGAATGTCTTCCTTAAAAACTAATCGTACAATATTCCAGATCAATTCATCCCAGTGGTGAGACACAAATTGAGAATGACACACTTCAAACATATGGACAGCACAGTCTTGATTATTCCCTCCAGCGACAACAGTCGAGGGACGCTATGTACCCTGCTCATCACATGATGCAGCATCCAGCAGCTGTAGCTGCACCAGGACCACAGCAACAACAACCACGACCAGCTAGCACCCAAAATGCCTATCAAGGATACGAAGCAACGCAGTCACCGATTGCGTACGGATCGCCGAGTCAGCAAACGGCTCCCACGGTTTTAAATAGAATGCAAAAACCAGCTAATACATCCCCCACACCTGTTCAACAAGGGTGGGCAATCGGCCGTCAGGTAATGAACTTTTATTTTCATATACAGGATTATCTAATTAATTTTTCCTCGGAAAATAGAATAATTGATTAATTGGTACAATTTCTGGAAGAATACGAAGTTTAAATTCACAACACGTTCAGGTCATTATTGTTATTATCATTGTAAATATTTTTTAATATGTCTTCAGCAACCTGTGACTGAGGGGTATCAGTATAGTCAACTGAGTCCTTCGAGATCACCAAGTGGTCCCACCTATACCCAATTGAGCAGCGGTGCCAGGACAGCACCGACTCAGTATCATTCAGTGACGACAGTGCCTAATAATCCAGGTAAAAATTATTACAATCAATCAAATGAAGTGTATGAAATAAATAATGAAGAATTAATTTTTTTAATAAAAAAGGGAAAACAAAAATAGCTGATGAAGTTTTCTCTGCATAACATTGATTGATTTGCTGGTGACCTACATTACGAAATACAATGTCCGTTGATTATAGGTATGTGGGCCTGGCAGGGCCAGCAACACCAGGGACAACAGCAGGATAGTGGACAATCAAATGCACAGGTGACGGGTCAACCGCAGGCCACACACGGGCCACAAGGTGGTCCTGGTACCCAGCCCCAAGAATTCAATGAAATGCTGCAGATGTTGCAAGACCAGGGTGGCCCACCTGGGTTCGGTGAACTCGATATGTTTGGCACCAATTTTGAGTAGCGGTAAAGTGTAGCTAACAATGGGAAAACCGAGCGAACGATACAGCAACAAAATGAAAAAGGGAAATAAATAATTTGTGAATACTCTTGGTGGGTACGCACAAAATACTTAGCATTGAAAATTTCACCTACTTTTTTTTGGTGGAAAAAACATACCCTAGAGAGCACTTGTCCTGCATCTGGTACACCAAAAGGGTTTAATTAGGTTTTAAGTGAATTACCACTTTCCACGATACTTTTGGAACACACAAGTGTTGAAGAATTGTCTCGTGAAGTTGGTATTCATTTTTTAAACGACAGAACAAGTGTTACGGGCCTATGATGGCCAGATATGCGCACACAAGGAACCCCATTTTTTAATCAATTGAATCGAAAGGAACAATCATGGATTCCTCGATTATTGACTTTTGACGCCAGCAATTGTATTTCATTTGAAAAAGCAATTTTTAATCTTATGTCACGATGTTTTAAAAATATTTTATGTTAGCAAAACATTAATAGGAACAAGAGATCATTTTATTCCGTGTAGTTGAAAGGATTGACTAATGTTTTTTTTAGGATAAAAAAGAATCATGTTTCAATGTTTCAGTGTGAGAACTATGGAACATCATAATTTTATCATATGCTTATCATTAGCCAGCGTACAACTAGTATGATTATTTTTCATTTAGTTCATTTATTGTAATCATTACAGTGCAATCATGAAGAGAAGGCATGAAAATCATGAGAAAAAGTATTGTTCAAATGTTGACAATGTACAAAATTATACAAACACATTTCGCTTCTTTGTGCGACACAGTTTTTAGGTATCATTAAGACAAAAATATTATGACAATGAGAGCAAAAAAAATCGTAAGAAATAATTATAGATAACGTTACCGCCTACGATTGTATAAGTGAACCACGCGTGATTCGTTGCATTTGTACATGTTTTAGTGATTTTTCTTGAAATGGAATGATAACAAAATGACAACTAGCATATCATGATGAAAAAATCTGTTGGAACGAGAAAAAAAAATTTTTCACCAATGTACGGGTTATGAATATGAGTTGTAGATTTTTTTTCAACCCATTTTGTTGTCTTTTTTCTGTAACCTCTTCCACACCTATCTAGGGAGAATGAGAAAATATCAGAAATAGTGAAAAAATCTCTTCAATCATTTTCCATTCTCATTCATGTAGAAAAATTTACAATTTCAATTTGATGGCAGAGTGGGATGTTTTCTCTTTCTTCTTCGTCGGTTTATTAGTTTTTGATTTTATATGACTCGATACTTCATCTTGCAATTGTGTGAAGAATGCAGTAGAAGATTTTGGGACTCTTTGGGAAGCTTCATTAATCGTTGAAATATTCCTATCCTTCGTTAATTTCTTGATTGCAGAATCCTGTACATTTTTCGACGATTTTTTATTCTTCATGAATTTCTTCCTCTTCATCTCGAGAAGATCCCCCAGTGTTTTTTCCTTCTTTTCGTCAGCTCTTTGCTTCTCGTGCTGTGCAATCTTCTTCTTTCTCCTCGCTCTCTTCATGTCGGTTTTCGTTCTTTCCGATTTTCCGATTATATCACCACGAGGTTTGTCTGGAGAACAAAGAAATATATTTTTTGTAACTTTTATTTTCTTCATGAAAAAATATAAATGCAAAAATATTGTTATTTTCTTTCAATCCTTCCTTTATTCTTACTAGAGTTAACTTCAATATTGAACCGATTAAAAATAAAAACTTACTTTTAACTTCCTCAGGAGCCAAGAGTGCAGCATCACTAGTAGCCACCGGTGCCACTTCCTCCATATTAATAGCCGGAATATTACTAATAATTTTAAGCTCAGGCTGAGCTGCCTTGGGCGTATAATGAAAGTTAGACAGAGCATCGAGTTTTGCAAACAACGAGTGCATGAGTTCCTTAATTTTTGTATGCTCCTTTGGCTCCTCCTCCTCCCTCTCCTCAACATCTCCACTGATTGCTTCTTTTTGCTTCAAATATGCATCTTCATAAATCTGAGCCAAACTTTTCTGGCTCTTCTCCTGATCCATAACTAATTTTTTCTTGTACTCCAGTGGCGCTTCCACGGGCTTGAACTTCTTCTCGACGTCGTCCCAAGCTTTATCCTTAATTCTTTGCTTGATTATGTCTTCTAAATTGAGGGATGTTTGCTCAGTAATTATTGGAGCTGGACGAGACGTAATATCGAACTCCACATATTCTTCCAATAAAGAATTTTGTGGACGAGAGGATGCTGTAACTTCTCCCTTCAATTGCCACGGTTTCTCCGCCAGTGCCTGATCCTCCAATTCTTTTATACGTTTCTGCAATCTTTCTTGTCGAGCTTCCAATGTCGATGTCTGCTCACTTTCAGGATTCGGATTCTCAATGCTCTCTGAATCGTCTGAGTCATTCGTTAGGTTGAACTTGACTCGTTTTCCATCAGATTTTTTCTTCCCATCATCCGTTTTAATTTTATGATTCCCAGATCCTTCACTCCCATTGTCCTCGTTGTCTGAGTGAATAACCGATTCATTAGCTTCATCGTCATCGTCTTCATGCTCATCACCACTCTCTGGACTATCGAAGAAGCCTGCGTACTTCATCATTTTCGCCTCATCATCATCGTCTTCTTCCATTCCTGAATCATCGTTGAATAAATCCACAGGCTCGTCGTCCGATTCTGATTCGTCAGAATTTGGATTGATTTTACTCTCTTTTTTCTCCTCCTTCGTTAGGTATTCATCAAGCTCTTCGAGTTTGAAAAATTTATCATCAACAATTGATGATTTTTTGGATATTTTCCTCGGTTTTTTACCTCTGTTCAGGTTTCCATCCATATCAATATCCACATCCATATCATCGCTGTCTGATTCATTCCCTTCAAGCATTTCTTCTGGTTCTCCTGAATTCTCCTCATTTTCCTCTGCATGGATATTCACAGGGGACAGTGCCTCTGGTGTTGATAAACTAACCGGCAATTTCAATTGATTCGTTCCTGCTAAAACTCGAGAGACTCCTGTCAAAAAATTCGTCAATTCTGCTTCGTTTTGAAGTTCTAATTGTTGCCAGATCTGCTCTTCATCGAAGTCCTGTATCACCAGCTCAGGAAGGGCTGCTGTTTTACGTTTTGATTCATTTATCGTGAAGTCGTAAAGGAGTTTCGTAGATCGCTGCAATTCAGCTGCTACATTATTTTGGGCGCTGAAATAAAATGATAAAATCAGTGATTTCTGTTCAGGCGCTTAAAAAATAATAAAATAATAATATCCATTTGGAATCACAGGTTCAGACCGAGGATTTAAAAATATGTATGCCAATATATAGTTCAAAATAAAAACGACGAGAGGTTATCATGAAGAATATTTTGATTATCAGTGAATAATAGCCAGTGTTTACCTTAAATAATTTTCAACTTTCTTCGTACTGCTCTCTACCACTTGAATAACATTTTTCAAGGCATCCATGTTATTTATATTTTTTCAAACATGTGGATAAATTGTTTAAACAACTCCAACTTTGGTTAGACCACATGTACACACCAGAAAGCCTCAACTAAAAGCCAAGGCATGTCGATAAAACAGCGAAGCTCAGTAAAACATTCTCAAAAATTTGATTTATATACTTTTGAAATTTTTGAGATACATTTCAAGTTAATTTCTGAATAAAAAAAAACTTAGTCTAGAGTTTTCCGTAAATTTATCAATTAAAAAAATTTTTTTTTACTCGAAACTTGCGAACTCTTTTGTCAATCATAATAATAATACGATAATATATAAGATAATATTAATAATAATGTGCTATGTAAGCACTGTGAATGTACTTTTTACATAAATAGTCCTGGAATGAATGAAACAATTAAAATTTGGCGCCAGATATTTAAGAAAAGCGCTGGAGTCTGTCTAGTGACTTAACTCGTCGTATGCGGGAAATTTCTAGTGAGATTTGAGAAGAAATCCATTCATAATTTTCGGGTCTTCCCATAATTTTATCGCTCAGTACTCAAGAACAAGAATACAAACGTCAATCGTATATTCACAAGTTAATGTTCATCAGTGAATCATTGGCAGTCACAATTTTCAGTTCATCGGGCATTGAAATTTGCATCAAGTGCTGATTCATCTGTAATTGTCGAGACACTACTGCGTATTAATTATCGTAATCATCCAGCAAATCGTGAGTAAATATTGCGCTATCAATTATTGAAATTCTTATCGAAGTTTTTCTCATGAGAGTATGCAAAATTTTTAGTTATTGTTATTGATTATGCAACCAATACTATAGCCTATGATTGTTATGTGAAACAACGAATAGATTTTTTTAGCTGATTAATCAGTGTCTCGTTAATTCAGAAAGGATCGAAGTTTAACCTAAATCAATTTGATTACTTCACAGATATCAATCAAGCAGTAAAAAAGTACTTCAATGGATATTGTATGTTTCAGAGTGGGCGCTGCTTTATTTACCGATTGATTTGATTATTGATTATCTCAATAGAGGAAGTGATATAAAAAATCTTTCCCGCACGAACCCATTGTATATGATAAAAAAGATAATTTTAGACGACATCAAATTGATAATAGTACAATAATCAGATAGAATGCAGTAGTAGGGATACGAAATGGAAATACCCAGTATATAATTGCATCCATCATTCCAGTATAATCTGCCAGTGGGGATTTGTTTTTTCTTATAATTTCTGAGAACTAGAAGTTTTTTTTTCATTCCGCAGATTTGCCTCATCCGGTTGACAGTGTGGAAGACTAAATCAAAATGAACGATTTGCAGCAAGAGGTAAAATTCAAACTCATTAATAATTGCTCATTGTAAAAATTACGAAAATTCAATAACAAAAATAGCCGTTCAATGGTCATAGCCAATTTTGATCCTCTTGTAATAATGTTTTCCTATCAGGTACTCACAATATGCAAAGACCTGGATGAGTACCTAAAATGTACAAAGTGTTATCGTATATTGAACAACGAAATTTACCTCTGCGAAGCAGGCCACCTGGTCTGTTCCTCTTGCGCCCAATATTCCTCCAACGAAACATGTTCGATCTGCAGGATGAAGTACACAAAGACACGAAATTTCTTAGCTGAGAAGTTGATGACAAACCTGGAGACAATCAAAGAAAAGATGAATGATAATATGAAAGATAATGACGACGACGTCAAGTGCATTTCCAGCGAGTCCAACAACGTCTTCTGGAAAACTTGGCCCTGCCAGGTTGAAAAGTGCAAGTTCCAAGGAACTATTCAGGAAATTCGTGAACACTGCAAGGAGAATCACTCTGGTATTTACATAGAGCATTGCGATTCGATTCTTCCACACTCAACAGATTTTTTTTTGGAGTACGCATTTCCTCGTAGGATCGAACGACTCCTAAATATTCCAGGAGTTGGTTTATTCCTTCTTCAGGTGGCTACTTACGATAATGGAGCTCTCCGAGCTTTTTTGCTCATGTACGACACTGGGAGGAATGCGAAAAGGTATCAGTACAAGTTGAAGGTCCAGTGTAATGCCCAGAACTCGATCGTCGAGGGACAGGTCGACTCTGTTCGTATTCCAAAGCCACATCTCTCCAAGAAAGGTCTTTTCGTGCCAAGAGCCCACACCCTTCAGCAGGAACTGCAGGCTGCTCTTAAATTCACGTGCCATGTTGAATTGAGCAGAAATATTCAACCACCAGAGCAGAACCCCCAGATCTCCCAGAAGAAGAAGCTTGAAAAAAACTTCTCGAAGAATCAAAACAAGTCAACGAATGGAAATTCTCAGAATCTTGAGGATAAATCTAGCGATTCAGCCACCAATAAGCCAAATCGTCTGAAGAATCATAACGGGAAGAAGACACCGATCGAGGTAAAGTCTTCAGAGCCCCAGAATCCCCTGTCGAAGGTGACTAATCCTTTGCAGATCAGGGAAGGATTTGTGAAATTAGGAGGATCCAGGAGTGATCCTTTGAACTCAAATCTACCATCTGTCGTAAATCCAATGTCGAGTTACGGAGGACAAGCCGTCGGGTATCAGCCACCTCGGGGAGGAATCAATTCTGGAGTGGTACCTCCTCCTCAAGGTACTTGATTTGTATGGATGAAAATCTTATTTATTCTTTGAAAATGCAAACAATCGATATTTTTGTCGTCATTCATCTCCATTTTTCCAATTTGATGAAAAAAGATATGATCTCCAAGTCCGCAGGTAAACACTATATTTTGGTTTCTTCCAGGATTGTTCCCTGGGGCGAATCCTTATTATCGTCCTCCAAATTATGGACAGGCAAGTGCTCCAGTAGAACCGGTAGCAGTTCAGTATCCAGATCTAACACACCTGCAACGGACACTTTCACAGGATCGATTGAGGGTAGCAGAGAGGAATGGCTGCAAAGGGGATTCAAAGGAAAAAAAATCCCAAGATAAATGTGTTATTTCTTAAAGAAGGTTTATCTGAAATGATTTCGACAAAGTATATTCGAGAAAATGTCTCAAGGCCCTTTTTTAAAAAATTAGTTCTATGGTAAAGAGAGATATACGAGAGATAAAAGAGATATTTTCTCCAAGTATTGATAATTATCGGAATGCTTGTAAAATTTATCGAAATTGATAACGAAACATGGAAAAACGAATCAATCTAGCTTCATCAGTTGAAATATAAATCCTTCGTGATTATTTGAAGCTTTAACAGATTGAGATCGTCGTCAGAAATGAGTATTCAAAGATTTTTTGGGGGTAAGGAAATTTTCGACCTAATGCGTGTCAATATTTTCTCTAAACGCCAGAAGTACAGAGATGATTATAATAAATATGATATTCCATGTCGCAATGGTGAATTTTTTATAATGTAAATATCTCAAAATCGATTAGGCGTAAAGAAAAATATCGATACTTTTGTCGAAACTTTTTCCAATCCGGTCCTAAAATTTCTTTGAAATCTCTTGATCGCAGTAATTATTAAAGAAATTTAATTATTTCATGAATTGAGAGTAAATTCGGTATTCTTTAAAAGACCGAAACTGTTACATCGTTAATTATTCATTACCTCTCGTGATTTTATTGATGGCATTAGTAGTGATTTGTTCATGGACTTTTAGAGTTCATCGTCAGAGGTATGAGATACATATTTTTACTTACATGAGGCTCAATCCTAATTAGTGGATAATTGTTGCCTTTAATGGAGTTGCTCAGAAGTTAAACGTAATAATGGCAAGTTTAGTTATGATTGCTAATAATTATTGCTGTTGTAAATGGGTTTATTACAATACCCTGCGTCGTAAGACAATCGAAAGATGTCATAAATAGGGACTTTCAATCCCGAATAGCCCAAATATTTACCATGAAATGTGAGTATATATCACAACTGTAAAGAAACTCTTTGAGAGAAAATGTCGAGAAATATTTTTTTATCCTGATTTTCATCAGTTACAAAAAACACCCCTTGACATATTTCCTGAATCTGGAATCAATGAAATATCTAACCACTATTTTTATGTTCACTATTTTAACATCAAATGTATTAAATAAAAAGTGAAAAAAACCATGTATTAAATAAAGTGATTTTCAAATAAAATTTTCGATTTCTGACATCATATTTTCGAATTGTACAAATTTTCCTGCCATCCTTTGAGCAGCAATTGCATTTAAAAAAATTTTCAAAAATTTTTAAAACAGCAATTGAATTTCCCAAAATTTTCCAAATATTTTAGAATGACCAAGTGCATTCTACTCACCTGATGGTAACAGAGAAAATTTTCTCGCAAGTCTTCTCCGATTGCCATGAGATGTCCAGTGCACCCTGAAGTGCGATGAAAACTTTTTGAAGTGGTTGTACAGCGATTATGGAGGAGGGGATACGACGGGCGGGAAAGAGGTAGGAATGACCGAAGTATTGAGGTGTGGGGAAAAGAGATGGAAATATGGAATGGAAGGATGTCGAAGTGGCGAAGAGCTGTTTGAAACGGCCAAGTCTCCAAGTCCCGATCCCAACAACTTTTAGTTATTCGCGAACGCAGTCAACGTGAAAACCACACGCCCGGGATGTACTGCCTCTACTGGTGCTCGTCATTTTCTCCAAGTTTGTTGTTCAAGTGTACAGTTGACGGTGATACAAACAGTTTTCCCAATACCCAATAGTGAATTCCCATCGAATTATTCGATCTCCAAAAGCCACTTACTATATTTTTCACATTTTTTTCACTATTCCCTGTGTGATTGCTCCGATTGGAGTATTTTTACTGTTGCTCGACAAAACCTTCACCTGGAACGAACTCAACCCTCAGTTTTGGATAAATTTAACTAATCGAGGAAGGTGTGTATTAATTATCATGAATTTCAAGAGTAAATAGGCAAAAGGGTATTGTTAGTCGGTGAAATATTTTTTATGTAGGTTACTGAGACACTCTGTGGTGTGTAGAGAAAATTAATTGTTGAAAAGTCCATAAATTCCGGTGATGATGAGTTGAATGTAATTGCGAATAACCACGTGGGATACTGCGATTATAACCCGGTAAATGCGTTCATTGAAATCCCTTCGAAAACAATTTACATTTTCCCACAGTAAATAAAGGCTCCACTCTAACGTACCAGGGCAATCACCAATTATTTCAAATACCATTTGAACCTCAATAATCCCTGGGACAACCGCATCCCCCAAAATCCCACTGCTGTAAATTCCATTTCCACCGACAGCTCCAAAAAAATTCCTCAAAAATTCCAGCAACCCCATTGAAAATAATCTCATCCACAATACCCACTCAAATGCCCCCCTAAAATCTCAAGGACATTCTCAAGTGTCACTTCCCAATGGAAAGAATCATGTAAACAATTTTTTTTAACGTCCAAAATATCAAGTTGATATTTCCACAATATTTTACATGAGTGGATGAATAAAAAATTGTCACGCGGTAGGTTATAAATTTATTCTTTAATTTTCACCATTCGATACAAAGTGGAGGCCCTGATCACCAATGGCCCTCATTTCTCTTGATCCTTTTAGCTTTTTTTCTTTCAACTCGAGTACGGTACGCATGTGTTCGTAATACGTACAATCGTGTTTTTTTAATTCGGTGTGAGTGAATTTTTAGTTGGTATTAGTGAATATATGGGAATACGAAGGAGAAGTTTTCGTTACGGAGTTGCTGGACCGCTCTGGAGGCACCTCCCTACTTTAAACCAAGCGGTATAAAGTTCTCTCTTGGAAGTCTCTCTGGCAATGAGAAAGAGGAAGAGAGATTTAACGGGTGCCAGAGTCCTGGCATCTCTGCCTCTCTTTTCTCTCTGTTGATTTTTTTTTTTTTTTACATTTTTTTGGGGCTTGAGAGGACGCCGTCGTTTACTCGGGAACCACATGGCGCCCTTCCTGCCCTTTTTCGTGGAAAATCGGTACATTCTCGAATATTCTCTCATCACTCGGACTTCATGGGATTTTCAAGCGATTCAATTTTTTTTTCAAAGGGTTTTCTCACTATTTTCTTCTCGGATGGTTCAATTGGAAGCAACAGTCTTATCCTTCTGGCTGATGAAAATATTGCAACCGTTAATTAATTCAGCTGTTTGATGAAAAAAATTCTAATCGATTCCTAAAAATTCACTGAGCAACATATAAAAATGTTTAAACATTGTTAAAACCGGCAGACATCTAAATTAATTAAAAACTATTGACTTTAAAGAGTTTTGGAGTCGATTGAATTTTTTTTTCATCGAATTGAATCGAAGTTGAATTAATTAAGGGTAAAGGTCTAACTTGGCTGGACTAAAAGTGGATAGAATAGTTTTTTTTGAGACACTTGCACTTGGATACCGAAAATGGAAATTGAAAGAACCTCAAGATGTGGAATCTGAGATTATTACGATCTTTATGGGAGCAACACCGATCGATTACGTCATGCAGGCTTAATGATACCTTATCATTATTCTTTTTCTGCCATCGGGAACACAGTCGGATTAATCCGATTTATTACCCGAGGCTTAAGACACGAGTCGAGGGACAGGAGAATAAGAATTTGCTTTAAATTTAAATGTATCACGGGGAAAGGAGATAATAATTAAAAGATGCCTTAACGTAATGTCTGACCTCTCTGACTCACACGCCCATTGAATACGTTTTCGTGAAGAAACTCTTTTAAAAAACTGTCGCGTTCAGATTACATGCCGTTCCTTTTTATTCTGTTTTCATCAATCTGGTGGTCTAGATTCTGAAGACTAAACAATAATTATTTCTCAAAAAAATTGGCACTGAAAGGCTTTTAGAATTTTGTGGGTTGAAAATTCATAAAAGTACTTGTATCCAGGTGCTGTTAAATTATTGATGAAAAGTTAACTTACAAATATTACGAATATTATAAATATTAAAAATATTACAAATATTACAAATATTATGTGTGCTGAGTCGAAATTAAATTAATTACATTGAATTAAAATTGTTGGGTGGAGTTGTTGGATTTTGAAAGAGTGGTATGACATGTCTGTGGGTCGTATTTAAATGGTTTTTTTACAGGTCATTCAATTTTGTACCTCCCTCTCAAATGATTGGACGTTGCGGTGGAATGGTAAATTGTTAGTAGTGAGCGTGCACTTAGGAATGCACTTGGCTGATGTCGTTTTCTTCCTCGTTTACTACCATACTTTCTATCGGCCTTTAGACACTCCAACGACCTAGCTTTTTTCCCATCATCTTTTTTACTCTCTTCTCCATCTTCTCCATTTAGTTTATTGGCTGTTACTGAGAAAAGTGGGTGGACATTTAACAAGAAAACTCAATTTTCTTCAATCTCTAAAATGGATCTCAAACTTATTCCACTAAAATCAAGTTGTTGGATTTTATATTCCATGATTACCAAATTTAATCTTTTACAGGGAGTTTATGTGTTATTTGAAAGAGTATTTTTCTCTGCTCGAATGTTTGGGTATTTGATTTTTCCAGTCGAGATTGGTTTAATTCAACATTACCCATTTCCAATACGAGTCAATCGATTAAAAAAAATCACATTTATGCAATTGAAAATTCAGACGGCAAAAAAAATTCACGAGAAATTCTAGGCAATATTTCTTCGATTTTTTGTGATTGTGGGAAATTTCGGGAAATTTATTTTGTCAAGTTCTCTGCCAATCTGTTGGTCAATTGCAACAGTGAATTTTTTTTTTTGTGAAAACTGCAATCGCGACAAATTGGAAAGTACACACGTGGACATATATGCACTGGTCGTTTCGTCCCAGCAAGTAGAATGTCAAGTTTTAGAAACTTGGCTTTCACACAGCTACTCGCAAATGAACCCTGTCACATGTCTTTTTTCATTCTACTCTATTTTTGATAAAAATTCTATTTTTATCAGATAAAAGATATTGTTATCAGGCACAAATATTTCTGGTCGATTCCATATCCATGAAGTCTATCGAATATTAATCAATGTATTTATGAATACGTTGATTAATTGAAATGAAATGTTGAAATGAAATGTTTGTTGATCAGTTATTACCGATATCTCCTAATTTTTCAATTTTTTTTAATCAAAATTTCCGAGGAACGGGTGATAAACGGGTGATAAAATTGACGTGAAAAAAAAATTGCTTTGAAGTTTTATTATTTTCAATATCTCACGAAGTTTCACTTTCGACGGAAGAATTTCTCCATTTTCTCAGTGAATTTTCGCTACAATTCCCAAAAAATTATAAAAAATTGAGAAAAATAAAATTGATAAACGATTTTTCCACGTCAATCTGATCCAGGTTCTCTCATAAATTTATAAAAAAAAATAAAAAATGGGAATATAATAGCAATAACTATTTAATGCGCTATGGATATTGGTCATTTTTGCAGAAGTGGGAAAATAGCGGGAATCTCAAGCCTCTTGAGGGCATTTCGACACATTTTCTTGTAACCAAGAAATTGCAGACTTTCCACGTACATTTCGAATGATTATTTGCAATTCGTGAAGTGAAATGTTATGGAATGTGGAGGATATTATGCTGAGACGTATATATTGGACAGTTGAATATTCAACAATCCACCATGTCTGATATTTGCTGTTAGAAAAAAACAGGAATTTCTTTTCCGTTTGTAATTGCAAAAATTATAAACCTATAAAATATAATTATAAACCTATAACAAATTCCAGAATTTTAAAAGGCGTAACAAAAATTTCGGTATTTATCTGAATTTTCACGGTGAATTCAGAGAAAAATTATGGAAAATTTTCTGATTTTGTAATTAATTTGTCATTCCGTGTAATTACGATGTCGTGGAAATTCCGGGAATTGTGGAGAGAACTGAGATCATCTTTAAGACACAAGGAAAATTGCGTCACCTATATTCTATTCAAAAGTTCCTTCTTTTTTTATTGAAAATTATATAATTGCATTCAACAATGAATAGCAGACATAACTTGGAAGGTCTCGCAGGTTCTCGCGGTTCAATGTAAGCTATGAAGAACAATTGTAAATGCAATTGTAAAGATTAGAAAGGAAAACTGTTAATAAAAAACGAATTCATATAGAGTTTGACAATTACTCTTGAAATGCCACTCAAGATAATTTGACATTTAAGAAAATTGACACCATTAAAAATTTACGATTTCAATGGAATGGGGATTTGATAATATTTTGAAAAAAGGCCGTACTAGAATTTATGAGGAATTAAAGGGTTAAATGGGTATTCATATTATCGTTTGTCATTTGCACGTAATTTCAGAGTGCATTTCCCTGGAAATTGAAAATGCTGATAGTTCCGACAAATTGTCCCGAGGGGTTGCTCACTCCATGATTAAACGACATCGTAATTTTGCAATAAAGTTAACTGCGCGTAATTTCAGGGCTGATTCAAGTGATTTCAGGAAAAATTATAATAATGACTGCAACTGGCACGCGATGTGATTTGAAAATCGCGACTTCAAATAATTTCAGAGATTCGACCAAAAAAAAAGACTCGGAAAAATAAATTTATCATGTTCTCACTGCAAATCGAAATTTAATGATTCATGTCATTGAATTAAATAGAGGACATTGATTTTTAATTACGTAATTCCGGATTGACATGCTCGTAGAGTGATGTCATAATTTGAGGAATGAGTAATCCCTCGAATGTCTCCTCCAGTGCAAAACACTTGCTAAAAATCACTCCCACTCTTGAATAATTCCAACTTGAACTTCACAAATGTGTCGTCATCCTCATATAACCCTGAGAATTTATTCCTAACGATAATATGACAATATTCCAGGACTAATCTCCATGGGTCAACAAATACCTGTGCACATTCAGCGATGGTGTCAGAGATAATATTCCAAAAATTCAAGTGCCAACTCTATTTACCCGATAACAAATTCCACAGTAATCGAGGCAACCAAATAACACCAGAATACCCTGAATCACCCATGAGTCTATTGCGCAATAAAAAATAATTTAATTAAAAAATTATTTTATTAAAAAATTCGATTTCCAAATTTGTCAAATCCGAGAGGATATTCTGGCAAGGATGTCCATCCTGGGATATGTTTTTTTCACCAATCAATGGGATTTTGAGCCGAGGGATAGAGTGACATCTCCAATTTCATCCAGGGCATGTCACCTTATTCCAACGGACACTCACATTCACATGGAAAACTCGAATGGCTGCGAATCGACCAGCGTATTTCCGGGCTCTGCCCAGTGGTAACATCCTGACCACAACAATTATTGTAATCTAAGCCTTCGCAATGCCAATGCTTTTTCCTCCAACAATATGAAAAAGGTACTAGAAGTTATCCCCAAGCAAAAATTCCCTCTTTAAAACACCATTTTGCAGTTTATTATTTATTAAAAATATGACAGCATAAGTGAAAGGAATTTAATCAGGAATTTTCTAGAATATCCCGGATCATCCAGGGATTTCACATCTTCCAGTATTTGTGGTTCGTTACACCTCTGCTATTTCGAGTCAGTCGACCGTTGTAAAATCGATTTGAGAAATTTTTCCTGTTCATTCTGATGATACATGCAAATATTGTTCGCTGTTACGATCAATTTCACGTGAATTCGTCTTTTTGTGGATGCATCAACTTTTTTTTTCACACTTTTTTCCGCACCGTGGCCTTCATTTTTTACGGATCTTTCTTCACGTCGTTGGATATCACCTGAATGCTCTGACAACACACCTTAATAAAGAGAGACATGTATTTGCACCGTTGAACACTCACACTAGTTTATTCGTGATAAGAGACGTGTTAGTGGCATCTGGCTAACAAACCGCAATCATCAGTTAGTCATGGATCTTTGGACACTTTACACGCACAAATTTATTATTTTTTAACTCCATTTTTTTTTTAGTCGTCGTGATTTCGAGAGGAAAAATATCCATTTTTATTATTTACCAATGGCTTATCGCTACGTCGAATACGATTCTGTGAGACTTTCTGTTGTCGAAATTCCATCTTCACGTGAGTTATCAAACAAGAACATTAAAATTGTTATAATTCATTTTCATTGAATCCACTTATCGTCACATTAAAATTGAAAACAGAATTTTATTGATTGACAAGCGAAATCGAAAATCAAAATGAATTTCCAGGATTTTATCTGAATGTTAGTTATAAATTATAGATTCTAACTCCAAAAATAATTCCAGAAAATCATTCACCTTTCAAAAAATGACAATTCGCACTCCAAAGGTCACGGCTTTGGAATTTTTAACAACAGATTGCGAATCAAGTCTATTACTGCGAATTAATTGATTTCGCAACAGAAGCGGTGATAACTGATTGCACCAAATTCGATGATAATTGCTCAGTACATTCAAAGAGTGTGAAATTAAAAAAATTATTGCATACCGTCCGCTCAAATTAAAAATTGTAATCCGAAATTTTCTGTCGTATTAATGATCGAATTGCACAATTTGACACTTCGATAATTAGCAACACGTGTTCCTTACTCTGTTTCGTCTTCATTCAGTCAATTGTACGCGGAGGTGTCGGCCGCTCGTTTTCTTCCTGAAAGTACAGTATTACATATGCATATATATGTATATAAATGGAATACATGGGCGTAACACACGACCGGTACTCGTTACGCTTGGAGAATTTACGCGTGTGAGCTTACACTATGAAACGTACACTTGCATCTCATTGCCGATCAGTTACTTCATGAAAATGAAATTATGAAAATAGGAAGGGTTATCAATAAATTCATCCTTTTTAATTTTCCCGTTATAATCATCCTCTACCCTAGAAAAACAATTCATTCAAATGTTTTTGGATTAATGGATAATTTAAAAAAAGACAATCCCGCAACGAAATGATTTTTTATTGCAATAAATTTACCCACCGGTCAGGGTACGATTTAAATAAATTGTAGAATCGTTGATAAACCAGAGTATTCTTTCAAATGGTACCCATAAATTATTCGCATGAAAAACTGTTAATGATATCTAGATGTCTTTAAACTGGATAATTAATTTTTAATGATGGCTTCAAGTGAATTCAAAGCAGTGAAACATCGATGGAGTTTGAAAGGATTTGTGTGGGGCTGATTTGCTCCCATCTTTTCATTTTATCAGAGGAATTTATTTTTTTATCAAAGCCCCTTTCAACCAGTTTCTTATCTCCGGTCTCCTTGATACTAGATTGAAAACTGCTGATATATTGCGGATGATTCCATATTGATTTATCGAAATCCATGAATGCCAGGATTTTTCAGGATTCTGTTAATCCCCCTTTATCACGATCACCAGACGAATAATTTCCTCCAACTGTATTGAATTCATTATTAAATAACAATTAAATAAAATAACAAATAGTCTTCTATTGTGCAGTAGAGAAGTGGAGTCTCGGTAATTTTCGCCGTTTATTTCCGTTACCTCAAATGTAAGAATTATTTTCTCAACTGTTTGTTGAACTTTCATCAGTCCGACCAGTTGTTCACAGCTTGTTTTTCCTCAGGTACTAAATCAGTTCATCTTTTAATCATACAATCTCCAGATAATCCAGCCGGTTCTGATATTTTTAGAATTTTACGTTACGGTACCTAGGGAAATTAATATATCCCCCTATTTTCTTTTTAGACTCAATCCTTTATTCAATTTTGGCGAATTCTAGCTATGGGATTGACGTAAAAAAATATACAATTAAATTGCTGGAGCTTTAATTTTTGATTTTGACGTTTTGTTAGTGAAGCCCACGATTGAAAATGAGAAATGTTGTTTATGTAATGTTTGAATTAGTTTTTGTGTTATCGAAAAGGAGAGGAAGTGGGTGTGGATTATTCGAGTATGTTTAAACATATATTTGTTTATTTAAACAGGGGCACAGTATGAGCCCGGCGCTGGACAACGCGCCCTACCCCAACGAACTAATAACATCCTGGTGGACGATTATCCACCGTCGCGGATCAACAGATACCGAGGTGGTACTTCGATACAAAAGAGAATGACTCAGAGGGAGGATGTGCTCAAGTTTGAGCAGGGGAGGATAAAAGCCCTGCAGGAGGAGCGTCTGCACATTCAAAAGAAGACATTTACCAAATGGATAAATTCATTCTTACTCAAGGTTTGTGTTTATTCAAGTACTTCATACTCATTGAGAAAAACTTTCAGCCATTGGAAATTCACAGGAAACTTCATCTTCAATCATCAATACAGTTTAATTAACAGTTTACATGTGCCAATTAGTACTAGACTGAATGAAATTGCTGTGAAAAATTACTCAGATTATGAGCATGTTCTCCAATTTTACGCTGATCTTATCTTTAATTTATCTTTCCTCATACATATTTCATCGCATTGAGTTTTTCGAGGTTTAAAATGACAGGTTTAGCACGATTGTGCACGTATAATACTATCATCTCATTTGAATATTCATTTATATCTTCCATTCACGGGGGACGAAATATCGTCATTCTTCTGAGAACTCAATGATAATCCCCTCCCCCTCTCCCACATTTTACTCATCCTCAATTTTTTTTACATCCGTGGAATCCTGATGAGACAGTCACTCTCTCAATATTGAAAACCATAACTGAAATATTAGAAACTGTCAAAAAAAATATATATTGCCATTTTTACGGAATTGTTTATTGACAAATTATTTCTTTATTGAAGCTTCAAGCAATTCAAAGTAGTTGTAATTTGAGAATAATTTTCTGGGGGATAGGGAGACAATTTCTGAATTACAAGAAATATTTTCACTTTGGAAAATTCATGCACTGAATTTTTCATATTGTACCGTTGAATGATTCCTTAATGTCATGACTGTATAGTCTTGAATTCCATAGTTTCTCGACTCTCATCGAAATTGTATCATTATTATAATGAACATTCCACAGCAAATTAATCCACCCATAAATGGTTGGCAGCATTGATTATATAGCTGCACTAAAATGGTTTGATTACCATCTTTTTTCCTGAAAAATGCAAAAATGAAGTGCATCTTCTATAAGGGGTAATTACTACTCTACCCATGACTAACTAGTAATCATCCGTATTTTTTTTTCTTTCGAATGGAAGCTCTGTAAGCAATAAATTCATCAATTTCCTATTTTAACTTGCAAGTGAAGTTCTGCAATCGTTCAAATTTCATTTAATTTTAAAATAATCATTCAACATTTCCACCAATCGAAAGTAATCAAAGTTGAATTAACATTGCAATTATCAGTATAATCATTAAAAAAATTAAATAAATTATTGAGAAAGGTTTTCCGGATAATTGTGCAGAATTATCGTGTGACTCAGGGTTAGAAATTTTTTTAGAAGCATTTGTTAATGTTGACTTTTTTGAATATTGTCCATAGGCACGAATGGAAGTGGAGGATCTTTTCACAGATCTAGCAGACGGCAAGAAACTCCTGAAACTCTTGGAAATCATATCCGGTGAAAGACTGGCAAAGCCGAACAATGGACGCATGCGAGTCCACAAGATCGAGAACGTGAACAAGTCCCTGGCGTTCCTCCACACAAAGGTAATAATGAGAATAAAAAATAATCATTGGCATTCGAAGGTTTTTTATTTTCTCACACACACACACACACGAGGTTGACACACTCCCAGATATTGCCGTGGAATTGTCCTAGAGAAAAATCGTTGCTCGTTGCCAGTTGTAATCGTCTACTTTTTTCAATATAGACTGCTGAAACCCCTGGAGTGTAAACCCATCATGAATGGCCTCTATGCTTCATGGCTTATGACATAATGGGCTTTAAATTATTATACATAATGCACACCATGCTTATAGAGTATTGCGAATAACTGGAGGGAATTATACTATGCGGTTCTGATAGTTGGATGAAGGTACAATGTTAGCTCAAGCGTGACTTCAACAGAATCATCAGTCCGAGTAGACAGAGCATTGACCACAGCAATGCTGCTAATTCCCTTCGGATTCCATTGATTTGCTTCTCATCATCTCTTTCCCATCTCCATCAATCTTACCGCCATTCCAATTCCATCGACATTTACATTTTTCTTTTGTATTCTTGTAAATTTTCATTATCCGTGAAGAAAAATAATAAAAAATGCGTGGATTGTCCTGTACGTATGGTGATAGTATATGACACTCCAGGAATTCAGACCTGACTTTCAAATTGGGAGATAATCTCTCCATTGATCGGTGGGAGATTACCCTTCAATCAATCAAATATCTCAATCCCCTGGTTTTCTCTAGGACTGTCACGTCATTTAATATTCATAACATTCTTTATCGATTTGATGGGATGAACACAGAAATAAATTCATATCGTGCTAAATAACACACGAGGACCTCACTGCTATTGATACAACTCTTCTAAGTGAATAACCAGTGCTCCATCTTTCTTTATGCCAAAGTATCTTTTTTATTTTTTTTATTTTCATCTCCCTCACTCCCGCAAACCTCCGCGATGCGGATTTTAACGGTACATATCATCAAAATGGCTCTCGCTTTTCCCTTATTAGTGATTCAAGATAAAATTATCGAGGTGAACAACATTGGAATTGTGTACATATAACTCGTTGAATTACACGTATAACTGGTGTTCAAGGTGATTACGTTAGGTGTACGGAAAAATAATTGTACATTTTGTCATCATAGATGATGTAAGAGTTCTAGCAGACTTATCAATATAAAACTACCAAAACCCAGTTCAATCATAAAAATTATGATTCATGAGGGATTCGGAAAAAATGCCATGTCATATAATTTGTCTAATTTTTATTTCGTGGAGTGAAGTCTTGGAGTAATTAGGAATGTTGGGGCTTCTTGGAATATTGAAAGGGTCATGGAGTGATGAAGTTGAAGACTTACTCCGGGGTATTATTATGATGACATTTTTTTGGTCTTTTTATTTTGGATACTCCATAAATTCTTCTTGACTGTCAGGGGTGGCAAGCAAGCAAGGTGGGCGAGGTGCGGATGCCTGTTAATATGGGTGAGATGAAAAGAAATGCAAGGATTGAAAAAAAAATATGGATATGCACAGGGATAAAAGCACCGATGGAACTGGTGCAGCGTTGGGGTCAATGACCGCGCAAAACTCGCTAGACCGTGAGTCTGAGGCCAGTACCAGAGATATGTAACCGAGTGGGTGTTCGAAGATTCGAGAGATCGTCAGATCGACGTTGATGTGTAAGAATTTTCATTGGAATTTTTGTTTTTTTTCACTGCATGCGTTGTGAAAGGGCAAAATTTTCAATAAGAGGCATTACGTGAGGATATTCCACTTTTAAGTCAAATAGCTATTGCGTACTGATGTACAGAGGAATCTCACGGAGTAAACGACAATGCAATTATTAATTGCGTTACGACTGAGGTGAAATTAATTCATGTAATTGCGGTTTGAGAAAGTTTTCGTCGCACTTGGAATTTCCGGGTTACGTATCGTGGGGGAAAAATTATTTTCAACCGATGGATTTAGCTTGATATGATCGTTCATCATTTCTTCATTCAGTCCCGGCATCAGACTTGTTGTCAATTATTTTTTGCCAGTGGCTGGTACATTGATGGAAAACTTTCAAACGGAATTTTTTTCTATCTTCCGCGGAATCTTTCACAGCTTTCCGTAGAAAAATAAAAAATTTGCGGAAAAAAAATGGTTAATTTTTTTCATTGAATATGGGAAAGTTGGACTTGATTATTGTGAATGGAAAGTATTAATATTTAAAAACTCGAATAGATGTATTAAATTTCTAGTCAACTGAAATTTCTGATCAACTCCATTCACGTTTACTTTTAATAGCCAATTGGAGGAATGATAATTTCCATCGGAACTTATTCCTGTGCCATTACAACAGGTGTGCGATTAATTATAATTGTCGGCACCGACAATGATAAATGCTCATGCGTGCGCAGTGACTCGTTAATAATTGAACGTCTCTGTCCCGGTGATTACTCCCGGCATTTCCAAAAAATTGAAAGATCACAAAAAATTTCTCCACGTCCAACCCATTATTTTCATAATAAAAAATAATAGAAAATATTGAAATCAGTCTAGGTGTTGAATTCGTTATGGAATTCGTACACGACTGCAAATCGCAATAATAGTAAACATCAAGTTGTTACAAGTAAGCAATATACCAGGAATTCGTTTACAAACTCGTGTAACCATATATGACAGAACAGAACGAGTGTAACAGCATCTCCAGGACAACGGAAATGAAACGTCAATCGGTGTCAATGAACGTAAAATGAGAAGTTGCTTTTTTCATTCTCTGGCCACTGCAGTGACATTTGGTGCGCATAAAACGGAAAAACCCATTTACATATATAAAAATTAATTCTCCTGGCTGTTTAGTACTTAAATGAACCGAGAAAACCTAAACGAAACCTCAGAAAATTATCAATTCGTACTCGTTTGCGTGTGAATTATTAATTTATTAGCCGCAACGATTTTAGTCCAGAGTGAAAAATAGTACTGCGCACCTTTCATCCATTTTAAGTGCGTAATTTTGATAAGGAGTATCAGTTGCTATCTCTCGTTAACGGAATGTCGAGTATCAATAAAAAGAGTTGAATCGAACTCCCATGTTAGTGCAAAATAATTTTCTCCGATTTTTTAAACGATCATTTCAGTGAATGATTTTATTGAAAATGTAATGTAAATATGTGTGTGGAGTGACTTGAATTGCTCCCCCGGATAAAAAAAGTTGTAATCGAAATATTTTTTTCAAATTTTCAAAAAATTTCTGGAAAACTTTTCAGAAATTTTTTTTTTTGAAACAAAAAAAAAATTCGGCAACAAAACTGTAAAAATTTTTTCATTACAATGTTGTTTTCTTACTTTTTTAATTTTTCAATATTCTCAAAAAATACGCCATCTAAATTATAAAAAAAATTTTCCTATTCAAATTTTTGAAAAATATTTCAAAACCTTTCCCAAAAATAAAATTATTTTGTTTTCCGATTTTTTTTTCATAAAAAAAAATTTCTGAAAAGTTTACCAAACATTTTTTGAAAATTTGGAAAAAATATTGCGATTACAATTTTTTTTTACCCGGGCCACTACTGAACTGGATTCCTCAGTAAATAATCCCAATCTGTTCCTTATTTTCTGGAGTACATACTAATTATACTGGGAAGCTTCATCGTGGCGCTAGACTCCACAGATTTCTGCTACTCATCCTGACACATAAAAGAACGCGTGATTCATTTTCCTAATTGAGAAATAAATTTACTTACGCCTCACGAATTCTCATGCAATAGCGTCGAATTACCACACGATAAAAAAACTAATTTATTTTTTAAAAATGTTCGTTCAATGTCTAGACTCTATATTTATAATTTGCACTAAAATTCGAAAGTATTTTTCTGAAATTTCGATTTTTTGCAAATCAATTACGGATTATGTCATTATTATCATGCGATGATGACGTACTATGATTCATCATCACTCCATTTGAACAGAGCATGTGGTAAATAATGTTTTAATGACTGTTTTCTTTCCTCCGAAAACGATAATAAAAGTCTTTGATGTATTGTTGTCCTTCGAAGGTATGATTTAATACCTAAAAAAATATTATTCTTACCACTTCACATTACGCAAGTATTCACTTATGTATATTTACATGGCACAGAAACTGTTGAACGAATAAATACAAATTTTTTCTTCACATTTTTTTCCCATGTGCATATATGGAACGGAAATGACGACTGTCTTATGCCGCGTTTTTCGTCATTCCTTTTCACTCCAGTTTATCATAATAAAAAGAAAAATAAATAAAATAAAGATAACGAGTTTTTCAGATTCATGACAAATATTTGACGAGATCGTAGATCTTCCAAAAATCAATTGCATTTAAATTTTTCATTCAGGACTGCAATCCATCAGTCAATAAGAGGAATGAGTCAATCTTTGACGTTTGGAATAAAAGCAATTAATGATTGATTTGATCAATTTTTAATTAGGAAACTGGTGGGGGTTGAGTTGATTGAGGGGGTGAGGGGGTGTGCAGGGGCGAGAGGGTGAGAGGGTGAGAGGGACGTGAAGTTCTGGTGGAGAAAATAATAAAATTCAGTGGGAAAATGGTGTAGGCTGAGGACATGTGAGCTCGATGGAGATAAGCCTCGTGTTCTAGCTCGTAAAATAATGCGAGAGGCTGTTTGCACCAAACTGGTCCTAACGGGGTGTCTACTTTCAGAGATGTGAGAGACTGGAATCATGCACAACATCCAGGGAGTACCTTAACCGTTTTTCCCTGTGGCTTCAACCTTGTACTCCATCCACGGTATCTCGTGTAATGTCAGTCTCGTTGCACCCCACGTGTTGACATCATCTCACCGATGATTCTACCAAATAAACACATTCTCAAAAAATTACCGCTCCTCAATTAAGTGTAGACACAGTACATGAGTCTGTGTCTACCGCTCTACATTTTACTCAATATTAATATTAGCCCTCAAATTATTTTTAAAAAATACTATAGTGTAAATATATTAGTTCTCGAAAATATCAGTCCTATTAGATTGTATTATTTGATACGTCAGTGATAAAGTTGTTTTGTCATTTGAAATATTTTATAATTATCGGGATATTGAGTTGTAATCAGTGCACGAAGTGTCAAGAAAGCGAATTATATCAAATGATTTTCCCTTTTCATATTTTATCTCCAATGAATTAAATAAAATTTGTAAATTTTGTAAATTTTGTAAATTTCTCCGCGGTTTTTTAATTCACGAAACGTGAAAAATCACGTAAAATGCCGCGTTGCAATATTATCGGGTATGCATGTATATAAATGTTGATAAGTCATTACCTACTATATAACTCTCAAGTAACTTTGGTTTCAACTTATTTTTATCATGATAAAACCAGTGCCGAGTGTCAGGTGCACGAAATACTGCGCAAAATGGGATATTAAAAACGAGTTCTCGAAACCGATCAGAAATATTCACATTATCCGTTTTTTTTTACATAAAAAATGTTTATGGATTTGATACGTCATTTGGTTTGCAAGATTAATTTCTCTCGCGGTGTCATATTTTGGAATTTTTAGGGGATCGGTAAAAATCGGCACAATTTTGGAAAAAATGAATCGCAAAAAAAGAGAGGAAATTTGACGAGTCATTGATACAACGAAATTCTTGGGAGGCTGAAAGTGTGCAGTTCGATGACTCTTTGAGTGGAAAACCGGAGTTGAAAATGTATATACCAATAACCGGGTGAACGTGTATAACCCACGTAGGAGTACTCGAGAACGGTATGCACTCGTGCTAATTCCACCAAGAATGCGATTCCCATATAAACCAAACGACCAAGAGATCGGCGAGTGTAAGTCAACCTGTACTGAACAACTGTTATGCAATCACTATTCTAATAAAAGATTAACAAAGCGCAATTAAAAATTCTTTTTCAAACTTCTGTACACTGAGATAAGGGGACATTTTTTTATTGGCAGTTTTCAGCCGATATCTCGGAATTGAAAGCGCGTAGCGATTTTTTTGCACAACAAGTTTTTCTAGGAAAAAGTGAGAGCTACAAAAAAGGTATTCATGAAAATATCGGTATCTTTCTTTGATTCCGCAATATTTGCTAAAAAATGACCTCGATAAAAAATGCATTCATTCCATCGAATTGGAAATTATTGGATTATGGTATTAAATAAGCAAATACATTTGTTAACTTTCAGAAATGATTTTAATTTTGAATATCTCTAAGAATATCTCTAATGAATATCTACAAGAGACTGAAGAGGTATTACAAGTTAGACTCAGTTGCCTCGGAGAGGGCAATATAATTTCCACCCCCTGAAATATTTCCTTTTTCAATTTTCTGACCCTTTCTGGTCAGCAGATGTATTTTGGAAATATCCAAGTATTATAAAAACTAAAGAAGGACTGTGGACATTATCCTTGATTTTATAACCAAGCGAAGTCCCAGAGAATGTGGCAATAAACTATCCTTACTTAAATGAGAAAATAAAACTTAGAAAGAGTGAATTTTGTAGCCGGGGGAATCCCCGAAAACCAACAGAAATTGACGGTTTAATGTGCATTTGGGTAATGATATCTGGTATGCAATTCATTGACGACAAGTACCGCTATATCGCCAGGATGACTTACACTCAATTCACAACACGAAAGAGTTGGTACACCTTTCTCAACGTGAATGTATGCAGCTGAGATAGCAATGGGTGTTGGTCTTATAATAAGAGAAGGATATAAAAAAAATAAGGAATTGGACGTGAAGTAACGGATTGTTACCCAGTCGTTTTGAAGGTAGAATGATTTCTTTAACATGACAAATGCATTCACTGTTAGGAATCTTTTGGAATGTCAATGGTTATGCCGTATGCTCTGAGAAAAAACTTCTTTTCAACAAAAAGATTTACTCACTAAAAAAAAAAAAATAAAACATCCTGTTCTCAATATTTACAGCCGTGAAATCACTTAATAAATCATTTTATTTTACATATTTACATATTTTTATGTTGAAAAAATATCCGTCATATATTCCAGCTATATACATGCTTAATAGAAAAACTATTGACTGCGAAGAGTAAATGAAATAGGTAAATTCACGCTTTAGCATATGCTTCCCAGAAATGTCATTAATTTGTTATTCAAATAGACTGTTATCGTGTTTGTGGTATGCGATACGGGTTATCATTAATTCTGATGAGCATTATTGACCTACATTGACAAGCAGTAGCTTAGACATAATGACATTCGAGGATGAGGGGATCATATCGCAATTCCAATCTCCCACCATCACTCTCAATACCCTAAAAGCATTAATTTTCATTTTCCTTTCGTCCTTTTAAGTCTTACAAGTGCAGGTTTTAAACTTACTTTTTGTCCGAGTGGCAAGCCGATTTTTCCCGATTCACTATATATCGAATTTTCCAAAAGTGAAAATTCGAAAAAAAGAAAAAAATCTAACTCAAGAGTTGGCGTATTATCTATATATATTATATATATACCGATCAAACGGCATTCCTAAGATTTCTGTGGACTGCGGTACGCCTTGCCTTCGCAAATACAACTGCCAACGGATAAAATTGCTCATGTACACTGAGAAAAAATAAATTAATTTCTTTAAAGATCATGTGCTCCATCGAGAAAATTGCTCTGTCAATTTTTTCTATTTTATAAATCATCTCCCTTTCCCACTCCCGCGCATTCTCATCTCTTCACGAATATCCTAATTTCTGTGAATCTAATTTTTTTTAATTAATTGGGTATTTTTGATTGACTAATTAATTCAATTGTGTGAAAATTGAGGATCTGAAGTAGGAAGATGATTTTTCTTCCTCTTTTTATTTTGTTTTCTTCTCTCTTCGTTCCTGTAAACTTATCTCCAAGTTGGATTGAATTACTCACTGCCTTATTATTAGAATCTCAAGGCCTTTGGCGACTCATCACATTTTCTCGAGTTCCGATGAGATAAGAATAATATTCATGTGATAATTACATTGCAATTACGTCGAGATGATTTGATGGGAGTTTATTGAATTGTCGTTTTATTGGATTGGATTGCAGGTGAGACTGGAGAGTATAGGAGCTGAGGACATCGTTGATGGGAACCCAAGGCTGATACTTGGACTGATATGGACAATTATTCTTCGATTTCAAATACAGGAGATTGAGATTGATGTGGACGAGGAGAATGAGAGCAGTGAAAAAAAATCAGCGAAGGACGCGTTGTTGCTCTGGTGTCAAAGGAAAACCAATGGATATCCCGATGTCAATATCCAAGACTTCACAGGATCCTGGCGAAGTGGTCTGGGTTTCAATGCCCTCATCCACGCTCACCGTCCAGATTTGGTCACCTGGTCTGAGCTACAACAAGGAAAACACATTGACAATCTCAATTATGCATTCGACGTGGCTAATTCAGAGCTCGGAATACCACGACTGCTGGATGCCGAGGACGTTGACACCGCACGACCCGACGAAAAATCAATCATCACCTACGTCGCCTCCTACTATCACACCTTCGCCCGGATGAAGAATGAAATAAAATCCGGCAAACGAATAGCCAATATCGTTGGACAAATGATGGACGCTGACAAAATGAAGATTCACTACGAAAAACTTACAGCGAATCTCCTCGAGTGGATAAAGCACAAGATAACAGTCTTGGAGAATCGAAATTTTCCCAATTCACTGGAGGGTATCCAGCGTGAATTATTGGGATTCAAGCAGTACCGTACAGTTGAGAAACCACCAAAGTATAAAGAACGCTCGGAAATTGAAGCCTTATATTTTCACATTAATACGCAGTTGAAGTCGCTCAATCAACCGGCATTCATACCTCAGGAGGGACAACTGGTGCAGGACATTGAGAGAAATTGGGTGGAATTGGAACGGGCTGAGCACCGACGTGAAGTTGCTCTGCGCACTGAATTATTGCGTCAAGAGAGACTTGAGCAATTGAACTACAAATTTGAAAAGAAAAGTGTCCTACGCGAGGGCTATCTGAAAGAGATGATTCAAGTGCTCTCGGATCCTCGATATGGAAGCAATTTGGCGCAGGTTGATGCCACCGTCAAAAAACACGAGGCAATAAGCGCTGATATCCTGGCGCGCGAGGAGAGGTTCCACGATTTGACGAATATGTCGGAGGAACTCGTCAGAGAGAATTATCATGGGCTTGAGCGTGTGCGATCACGCGAGCAAGAAGTATTAGAGAGATGGAGAGAGCTATTGGCACTCCTCGATCATCACAAATCAAATTTGTCAGCTCTTTGTTCACTGATGTCACTCATGAGAGAAATTGATACGACATTGGCAACCATTCAGGAGCTCCAGCTGAATTTCCAAAGCACAGACGTGGGACCACATCTCCTGGGTGTTGAAGATCTTCTCCAGAAGCACAGCCTCCAGGAGCTCCAGGTGACAGCCCTCGGTGAAACCCAGCGTAGACTTGGTAGACAAGCTGCACAGCATTTGGCGCAGCCATTGAGCAAAGAGGCACCGTTACTCCAACAAAAACTCGCAAGACTCAACAGCACTTACGATGATCTTGTTGAGAATAGCAAAGAAAGAAAGGCACGTTTGGAGGACGCTAGGAATTTCTTTCATTTTTTGCAGGATCATGAGGATGAGGAATCGTGGCTAGTTGAGAAACAGCGGATTTGTAAAGCCGGCATTTCAGCAAAAGATTTAAGAGCTGTCATATCGCTGCAACAAAAACACAAGGCACTGCAGGATGAGATCAAAGTGCGCAGACCAAAATCCGATCAATTGTGCAGTGCTGGGAAGAAATTGATTGGTGATAATCATCCGTCCTCTTTGGAGATACAAAATCGAATTGAATCGTTGCAGGAGCACTGGAAAGTACTCGAGGAATTGGCGGCGCTGCGTAAAAAACAATTGGACGATGCTGCCGAGGCATTCCAGTATTACGCCGATGCAAATGAGGCTGACTCGTGGATGAACGAGAAAATGGCACTGGTGACGTCTGAGGATTATGGTGTGGATGAACCCAGTGCTCAGGCATTACTCCAGAGGCACAAAGATTTGGAGGGAGAGCTCAATGCGTACAAGGGCGATGTTCAATCTCTCAATAGTCAAGCTGATAAGTTAATTAAAGCTGGAATATCTGCACTGGAGCTTTCAGCTGATCCAGAGCCAGTGGCTGAGCTCGAGCAGGAAGAATGGAGCAAGGAGGTACGCCTGGTGCCCCAGGACGAGTGGGTTGATGAAATCATTGAACGCATCGAGCCCAAAACTATTCTCGAAGATCGATTAGTCCCACAAGTTAAGAGTCTTTATCCATTCAGTGGTCAGGGTATGCACATGGTTAAGGGTGAAATTATGTTTCTCCTTAATAAAACTAATCCAGACTGGTGGAATGTGAGGAAAACGGACGGCTCCGATGGCTTCGTTCCTGCTAATTATGTACGTGAAATTGAACCTAAAGTAATACAGGTGCAAGTCAAGAGGCCGGAGAAAGTGCGGGTTACGCAGCGTGTCAAAAAAACTAAAATGGTTAATCAAGTGATACCAGTTAGGAGAGTTAAGTCCATTAAATCAACGGTCAAACCAATCAAACGCAAGACTGTCAATGACAGTGATAACGTTGAGAAGAGACAGAAAAGAATCAATGACACTTACGATGAGCTCTGTGAATTATCAACGAAACGTCATGCATTATTGGAGGATGCTATCAGGCTTTATGGATTCTATCGTGAGTGTGATGATTTTGAAAAATGGATCAAAGATAAAGAAAAGATGTTGCGCGCTGATGATTCCAAGGATAACGTTGAGACTGCCAAGAGGAAGTATGAGAAATTCTTGACAGATCTCTCAGCGTCTGGAAAACGCGTTGAAGCTATTGATGCTGCTGTCGATGATTTTGTAAAACAGGGGCACAGTCAGTTGGATAAAGTTAAAGCGAGGCAGAGGCATATTCATCAGCTGTGGGATCACCTCAACTGGCTGAAGGCACAAAAGGAAAAGTCTCTGGAAGGTGCATCCAGCGTTGAATTGTTCAATCGAACGTGTGATGAAGCTCACGATTGGATGCTTGAGAAAATAACACAATTGGATACAGCTGAGTTGGGCCCAGATCTCAAGACAGTTCAAGCACTTCAACGCAGGCATCAACATTTGGAGCGAGAGCTAGCCCCGGTGGAGGAAAAAGTGCGAAAAGTTAATCTTCTTGCTAATAGCGTTAAATCATCTTATCCAAATGAGCATAATAACGTCAATGCAAGGCAAAACGAGATCAAAGAATTGTGGCACAAAGTCCAGACTAAAGCTAAAGAGCGCAGATCGAGGCTGGAAGATGCTGTCGGACAGCAGATCTTTATGAATAGCTCGAAGAGTCTTATCAATTGGGCAACTGACGTTCAGGAATCAATGAAAGCTGAAGAACCTGTTCGTGATGTAGCAACTGCTGAAAAATTGCAGAAGCAGCACACGGAACTCGGTGAGGAGGTAAAAACACATGAGGATGAGTTTAGAGAAGTTGAGGACCTGGGTAATCAATTGCTTCACAGAAATCCTGGACTACATGATGTGCGTGAACGATTGGATAAATTACACGGTCTTTATCAGGCTGTGACGTCTGATTGGAATGCCAAAGAGGAGTGGTTACGTCAGTGTTTGGAATTGCAGCAATTTAATCGAGAAGCTGATCAGATCGAGGCAACCACGAGTTCCCACGAGGTCTTTCTTGAATTTACCAAACTCGGAGAGTCCCTTGACGATGTCGAAGCGCTTCTCAAACAGCATGAGAAGTTTGAGAATACACTGCAAGCTCAGGATGAGAGGCTCAAAGCTTTCAGTGATACAGCTGATAGATTAATTGGTCAGAATCATTATGATAAGGATTATATCAATGATAAGAGGAATCAGGTGCTCTCTCGGAGGGCAGCTGTAAGGGATCAGGCGCAGGCAAGAAGAGCAGCGCTGAAAGCATCGGAGAATTATCAACAATTCTGTGCTGAAGTTGATGATCTTAGGGACTGGCTGGGTGATAAGATGAAAGTGGCGTCAGATGAGAGTTACAGGGATTTGAATAATCTGGAGAGAAAACTGCAAAAGCATGAAGCTTTTGAGAGAGAACTCAGGGCCAATGAGGGCCAGCTCAGAGCTGTCAATAAAGCAGGGAAAGCTCTTATCTCAGAACAGAATTATCGATCTAATGATGTGGGGGATACGTTGAAGGATCTGAATGACCAGTGGAGTCAGTTGGTCGCACTTTCTCTGGAGAAGGGCAGAAGGTTGAGGCAAGCAGCTTCCCAACACGGCTACAACAGGACAATGGAAGATGCTAGGTTGAAGCTTGAGGAAATTGAAAACTCTCTGCAGAGCAAACAAGTTGGAAGCGATTTGAGGAGCTGCAAAGAGCTGCTGAAGAAGCATCAGATTTTGGAGACCGATATGTGCCAGTGGGAGCAGAAAGTCGATGATCTCGTGGCAATGGGTGAGGAAATGGCGCATGAGGGACATTTTGATGCACCAAATATCTTGAAAACGAGTCAAGCTACGCAGAGGAAGTTTCGCAGTTTGAAGGAACCAGCTAGGAAGCGACGAGGAGCTTTGGAGGAGAGCCTCCGTTTTCACAAATTTGGATTTGAGCTTGATGCTGAGTTGCAATGGATCAAGGATCATTTACCCCAGGCATCGTCCACAACACTTGGACAAAATCTTCATCAGGCTCAAACTCTCAACAAGAAGCATAAGAAATTGGAAGCGGAAATTATTGGTCATCAACCGATGATCGATAAAACTCTGGCGACAGGACAGGCACTGATAGAGCAGATTCATCCAGAAAAGAAAAAGGTAAATTTCTTTTTTTTTTTTAATTTTCATAATGAATACTATTCCCGCACATTTATCACAGAGTGGGACATATGAGTAAATGAAATTTCTGCACAGTTGGGGCACTACCGAGATACAGTGGTCATCGGAGGTAAGACTGGATCGCATGCAGGAATTGTAATAATGTGTTTTTCATTAATTTTTTTATTGTTCCACTGTTTTAGCTTTTATTGACAATATTTTGATCGTTGAGTCGATTAATTTTTAGTTTTTATCACATCCGACCACTGGCGTTCCGGACCAACACAATTTAATCACCGCTTAAAATATTTTTCAGTTATCTAATTTTAACTATAAAATTGCATGTGTGATATTAGTAGTGAAGGGGCAGAGAATATATGGGACATGTAAAAATGTCTAAAAATATCAGAAAATTCAAGTAAAAAATGAAAGAATTCATCTGCAGATTCAAGAGCTGTGCGAGGAGTTGGATGAGGCCTGGAAGAATCTGCAGGAGAAAGCAGGAGAGCGTAGTCGTGCCCTGGACTTGTCATTGAGGGCTCAAGAATTCTTCTTCGAGGCCGGAGAGGTGGAGAGTTGGTTGAGCGAGAAAAATGATGTTCTCAATTCAACGGATTACGGAAGAGATCGTGACGCTGCGACGAAATTACTCACAAAGCACAAGGCCATGGAACTAGAATTAGATTCTTACAACGGCATCGTTACAGAAATGGGTCACACAGCAGCTTCAATGGTTAACTCAAAGCATCCTGACAGCAAAGCCATAGCTAACAAGCAGCAGTCTATTGCCCAACAGATGAGAGCACTCCAGAGACTGGCAACGACCAGACAGCAGAGATTAATGGAGAGTATGTATCGACACGAGTATTTCCTCGAGAGCAGGGAATTGGAGCAGTGGATAAAGGAGCAGGAGCAAGCTGCTGCCTCTGAAGATTATGGCCAGGATTACGAACATTTGTTGATTCTTCAGGCTAAATTTGATGACTTCAAGCACAGAATTGAGGCTGGATCCGAGAGATTCAATCAATGCGAGGAATTGGCTAGAAAACTCATCACTAACGAGAGCCCCTACATCCAAGATATTGAGAAACGTCAGGAACAGCTTGGGTATGGCTATCTCTTTTATTTATTTTTTGTTATTCTTTTTGTTTCTGAATTTTTTGATTGGGCATCTTTTGTAGAAAATTTGTAGATCTTTTATTTGAAAGGATTTATTTAATTTGGGTTATAGTTGCATTTTATCTTTTCCAGTATTTTTTCTTTATTCTTAGTTGAATGGTTTCGGCTAACTAACATTGCATTTTTCTATTATCTAATTCTGTATAGTGGTGATGAGGATAATCCTGTTGTTCAAGTACAGAGACTGCATCAACACATGCGGTGAGTGGATTATAAAAATGAGGAAATTAAATAATGCCTCTAAGTCGGTGCTGTGATATTTTTTAAAGAAGAGCATGATAAATTTTATGGAGTGAAAAAAACACTAATCTCTTGTTTTCTTTTGCATGAGTTTTATTTTGGTAGATCTTAGTTTCAGTCTTTGATAATTTTTTTCATAAAAATGCATGAAAAAACAAATAAATATATATCCAATTATTTATCGATAATTATAATTGTATGAAAATAATAATTCTGAGTAAAACCCGAAATTTTATTTATTTTTAGGGAAAATAATTTTGATTTATTGATGATACCCTTTCCAGAGAATCCTGGCAGCATCTCCTGGGTTTAATTCGTCACCGCGAGCAACGTCTGCAGGCAGCTGGTGAAATTCACAGATTCCACCGTGATGTCGCTGAGGCACTCTCGCGCATTCAAGAAAAAGAGGCAGCTCTCCCCGAAGATTTAGGACGTGACTTGAATTCTGTGTTAGCCCTTATCAGACGTCACGAGGGTTTTGAGAATGATTTAGTGGCCCTCGAGGCCCAACTTCAGGTACTAGTTGAGGATGCCTCTAGACTCCAAGCCCTTTATCCCGGAAACAATGCATCTCACATCGATCAACAACAGCAAATTGTCCTGGCAAACTGGGAGGAGCTGAAGGAGAAATCAGCTCACAGAAGAGATCAGCTCCAAGCAAGCTGTGACCTCCAGCGTTTCCTCACTCAAGTTCGTGATTTAATGAACTGGGCAGCTGGTTTGCGTGCTGCACTCTCCACCGAAGACAAAGTTCGTGATGCAGCTAGTGCCCAGATACTTAAAGCCGAGCATGAGGGAATCAAAGGTGAAATCGAAGCCAGAGAGGATAGTTTCAGTGCTGTACTCGATTTGGGAGAGGCAATGGTGCAGACAGGTCACTACGCAGCCCCAGAGGTCGAGGAAAAGTGCAATCAATTGTTGGATGAACGCCAGAAGCTTCATACAGCTTGGCAGCAGAAGAAAGTCCACCTGGATCAATTGATTGACCTCCACTTTTTCCTCAGAGATGCAAAACAACTCGACAATTTGTCAGCTACCCAGGAAGCTGCTCTGAGCAACGACAACTTTGGTGTGTCAGTTGAAGAGGTCGATGTTCAGATGAAAAAACATAATGAGTTTGAGAGGCTTTTAGTCACTCAGGATGAGAAATTAGCAGCTCTGCAGGAGCATGGGGACAAGCTCTTGGCTCAAAATCATTTTGATTCACCAACTATTGGAAGCAGATTGCGTGAAGTCTCTGAGAAGCGCGCTAAGATCAGAGATTTGTGCGATGGGAGGAGAAAGAGACTAGCTGCCAGCCTTCTCCATGCTCAATTCATAAGAGACGTTGGCGAAGCTGAGTCGTGGATCGGTGAGAAGCAGAAAAAACTTGAGGCGGAAGCCTCGAAGGGCGAAGTCTCTAGTTTAGAAGATAAAATCAAGAAACTGCAGAAGCATCAGGCCTTCCAGGCTGAACTCGCAGCGAATCAGAGCAGAATCGAAGAGATTCGTACTAAAGGAGAACAATTACTAGCCCAGAAGCATCCATTAGCTGGAGAAATTCGAGCGCAGTTGGAGCAGCTTCATGGTACCTGGAGAAAGTTGCTATTAGTCTCTGGAAACCGAGGAAGAGGGCTGGAAGAAGCCCAGGATATTCTCGAATTTAACAATCAAGTAGAAAAAATCGAGGCGTGGATACGAGATAAGGAGATGATGGTCCAGGCTGGAGATACTGGAAAGGATTACGAGCACTGCCTCAGTCTTCAGAGAAAATTGGATGACGTTGACAGTGACATGAGAGTCGATGATACTAGAATCAAGTCGATAAATGCATTGGCGGATAAATTGATAAAACAGGGTCACGATGACGAGTCAAAACCTATACAACAGCGCAGGGATAATTTCAATAATAAATGGAAAGGTCTTCAGGGTGCATTGAGTGCTTACAGAGATATTCTTGCTGGTGCTCTTGAGATTCACTTATTCAATCGTGACATTGATGATACCAGTCAGCGTGTCATTGAAAAATCCCTCGTGATGAATACTCAGGACGTTGGAAAGGATTTGACAGCTGTCGAGCAACTTCAGCGAAAGCAAGAGGCTATGGAGCGTGACATGACAGCTATCGAGGGAAAATTAAAGGAACACCGAGCAGAGGCTAAAGATCTCTCTCGAAAATATTCAGAGAATGCACCTGAGATAAACGCTATGTTGCACAATTTACAATCCAATTGGGATGATTTACAACATCTTACAAAGCACAGACGTGACGCTTTGAATCAGGCATACACTCTTCATAAATTCTTGGCGGATTTGCACGAGCTCGAGGTCTGGGTTAATGATACTATAAAAAGGATGAATGAGTCTGAAGCTCCCACAACAATTTCTGAAGCTGAAGCTCTCCTAGAACTTCATCAAGAACGAAAAGCTGAGATCGATGGACGACAGGATACGATTAAATCGCTCAATGAACATGGAAAAAAATTAGTAGAAATTGATTCTGATGTCAGGGGGAGTTTGGAGTACCTCGAGCAATTGAAAACAGGTTTGATTAAAGCGTGGGAGGAGAGAAGGGAGAAACTCCTCCAAGCTTATCACCTTCAGCAGTTCAAGGAGCAAGCTGATCAGGCTGACAGCTGGTTAGCAACTAAAGAAGCATTTCTCAACAATGATGATCTTGGGGAGTCACTTACAGGTGTAGAAACTTTGATAAGAAAGCATGGAGAGTTCGAGAAGATGCTGACATCACAGCTAGGAAGGATCGATGAATTAGAAACGTTTGCCAATGAGATTCTAGCAGCAAATCCTGCTGACTCAGTAATTATCAAGCAGAGATTAGCTACAGTCTGTGGTAGACGGGATAAATTGAAGAGCAATGCTGCCGGAAGGATGAAAAAATTAGTAGAGAGTCGACAGCTTCATCAATTCCTTCGAAATATCTACGAGGTTGAGGGATGGTTGCATCAGAAGCAGCAAGTTGCTTGTGACGAGAGCTACCGAGATCCTACAAATCTTCAGAGTAAAATTCAGAAACATGTGGCATTTGAGAGCGAATTGATGGCGAATCGAGGGAGAATTGCCGCGATCATGAGCGAGGGTGAGACTCTTATTGAAAACGAGCATTACGCTTCTAAGGAGATTCAAGACAGGCTAGAGGATTTAGAATCTGAATGGAGGATTCTTCAACAAACTAGTGAGCTTAAGAAGAATCGTCTCAATGATGCTTACCAAGCTCTTCTGTTCGGTAGAACTTTGGATGAATTTGAGACTTGGATGGATGAAGTCGAGGTGCAGTTGCAGTCTGAGGATCACGGCAAGGATCTTTCTAGTATCGCTAATTTATTGAAGCGTCACACAAATTTGGAGAACGATGTGCTTGGACATAATGAGGCGTGTGAATCCATTAAGGATACTGCTACGAGCTTTCATAGGACAAAACATTTCATGTGCGATGAGATTCAGGAGAGAGCACGGGCGAGCATCAGTCGTTATCACAGTTTGCAGGAGCCAATTCAGATTAGACGTGATAATCTTGAGGATGCTAAGCTACTTCACCAATTTTTGAGAGATGTGGAAGATGAGTTGCACTGGTTAATGGAAAAGGAACCATTAGCTGGTAGTAATGATCTCGGTAGCTCTCTGATGACAGTTCAAAGATTGCAGAAGAAGCATCAAGCTCTTGAGACTGAATTGACATCACGAGAGCCAGTGGTTGCTTCATTGGCAGCACGAGCTGCAGGAATGGTGAGGAGTGGCCACTTTGCTTCGGAGAAAATTGAATCAGCTGGACAAGAACTCCAGAATAAATTGTCACATCTGCGGGATCTTGCTAGTGTTCGAAAGTTGAGGCTTCTCGATGCTGTTGAATCGCAGATGTTCTACGCTGAGGCAACGGAGGCTGAGCAGTGGATTAAAGAAAAGTATCCCCAGTTGAGATCTACTGATTATGGGAAGGACGAGGACTCGGTGCAGTCGTTGCTGAAGAAGCTCGAGGGTCTTGATCGTGATTTATCATCGTTCGAAAGCAATATTGAAAACTTGAAGAAACTTTCTGCCGGACTCATCAACAGACATCACTTTGACAGTAAAAATATCGGACAAAAGCAAAAGGAGATTGAGCAGAAGTTCACTGAACTCAGTAAATTGAAAGATCTGAGACTTCACAGATTATTAGAGAGCGAGAAGTTGTTCAAGTTTATGAGACAGGCCGATGAAGTCATCGAGTGGATTAGTGATCAAACAACAGTCGCTGCTTCAGAAGATTATGGATCAGACGTGGAACATGTTGAGCTGTTGATCCAAATTTTCGATAACTTCCTGGCAGGATTGACAACCAGTGAGAATCGTATATTAACAGTGATTGATGATGGGGAACTGTTGATCAAGGAGCAGAATCCAGAGGCCAGTAAAATTCGTAGTAAAATTGATGAGACTAAGCAGCAGTGGGATGATCTGAAAGAATTGGCACATGCTAGACAGGAGGCACTGGCTGGAGCAAAACAAGTTCACATGTTTGATCGAACAGCTGATGAGACCATCACCTGGATCCAGGAGAAGGAGGCTAGCCTCAGCTCCGATGGATATGGCCATGATCTAGAGACAATTCAGGCTCTGGTGAGGAAACATCAGGGATTCGAGACAGATTTAGCTGCTGTGAAAGAACAAGTTGAATCGGTGATGGCTGAAGCATCGAGATTGGCCGAACTATTTCCAGATGCGAGGGAACACATTGCCGTTAAGCATGAAGAGGCTGATGAATCGTGGACTGATCTCCTGGAAAAAGCAGCACAGAGACGAAGTAAATTAACACAAGCTGAACAGCTTGAGACTTATTTCGATGAGTACAGGGACCTCGTCTTCTGGATCAACGAAATGGTCGCCAAAGTCACAGCCCCTGATTTGGCTCGTGATGTTCCAGGTGCTGAGATCCTTATATCGAGGCACAATGAGTACAAAGTGGAGATTGATTCGCGTCAAGATGCATTCAATAAGTTCCATCTAGTCGGTCAGGGATTAATTGAGGGCGGTCACTTCTTGGCTAAGGAAATCCAGGAAAAGATCTCGATACTCGAGCAAAGGAAGAATATTCTGACAGACACTTGGGAGCAGAGACGATTGATTTACGAGCAAAATCTAGATACTCAAATGTTTAAGCGTGAGGCAGAAACTCTGGAGAACTGGATAATAAGTAGAGAACCAATGCTGCACGATGGAAACCTTGGTGAAACAATTCCTCAGGTTGAGGACTTGATTCGTAAGCACGAGGACTTTGAGAAAACGATTGAAGCGCAGGAAGAAAAGTTCGAGTCTTTGAAACGAATTACAATGCTGGAGCATGCATTCCGAAAACAGCAGGAAGCTGAATTAGCTGCCAGGCAGGCTGAGAAAGAAAGGGTTGAGCGAGCGAGAATTGAAGAACGAAAACGCAAGGAAGTACAGAGAATTACAGAGGAGCGTAAACGTGAAGAGGAACGCAGGAGAATTCAAGACAGTCCTCATCACAGACCTCACGATGAAATCAATGGTAAATCTGATGATCATGAGTCCTCGAGTACATTATCACCATTGAAGACAAACAATGCAACATCTGAAGTTGTTGAAGTGTCTGGACACAAGTCTCACGGTTTCCCTCATGTATTCGGTGATCGATTGAAGCGAACAACTCCAGATATCAAACGAGCTGAAAGTATGAAAGTAGATACTAAGAAGCCGAAACGAACGCCCAGTTTTACAACTCGTAGGCGCACTCAGAGCTTCAGAAAGCATCAAAAAATGGAGAACATGGATCCTCTGAGTCCTGTGGAAATTCAGGGACTTTTGGAACGTAAACACGAGCTCCAAAGTGGAGGCAAAAAGGCAGCTGTTCGATCGTGGAAACAGTACTTCACCGTTTTATGTGGTCAGCTGTTGTGCTTCTTCAAGGATTACAGTGATTTTTCATTGAGTAAAGCTGCTACAGCACCTATCACCATATTTAATGCAACCTGTGAAAAAGCTGAGGATTATACAAAACGAAAGCACGTGTTTAGATTGAAGTGTACTGATGGCTCAGAATTTCTGTTTCTCGCAGCGAATGACCAGGATATGGAGGACTGGGTCAATAAAATATCATTTCACGCCAAATTACCACCGAGTTTGCAGCTCCTGAGGTACGATGAGACACAGAAAGATGGGACTGACAGATTGCAGAACCAAACACCTGACATTGTTGGTGATGAAAATCCCTCGACTGAGAGCAGTCGTGCCTCAACTCCAGAATTGGAGAGGAAAAATTCGGTGATTCGTCGGGATATTTCTGAACATTCCAATGTTCAGGTGGAGTTTCTCCAAAAACACAGGCAGAATCAGCAGATGAGGGAGCCGAAGTCTCTAGAGTTCGTTGAACCACCTAGGATACCTCAGTCACAGACTCAAACGGAATTTCTGCAGAAACACAGGCAGCAACAACTTTTGGCTCAACAGATGTTACAGCAAGAGCAGTTGGCTATTCAGAGAGATTATCATTCACCTCCAGGTGAGAGACCACCAATTCCTCCCAGAGGCGCACCACCTCCTGTACCCGCCAGATCGCCGAGCTCCGAAAATATCATGCCAATCAGGAGAAATGACGTTGAACATCACTTATCGAGTAATAGACCTCAATCCTATCAACAGAGAAGTGCGACCTTGGGCTATAATGGCTCGGGACAGCATCCACCTGCTGATAATTGGCATCGACAGAGCAGTGACTTCACCTCTTCTCCAGGTACATAAGTTTTAAATTAAGAATATCATCTCTTAAAATCTTTCTGATAAATTCTCATAAATTTTTTCTCCTCAAAGATATTCGCAAAAACATTTATGAATTTAATCTCGTTTATACTCTCTCACTCATACTCTCCAATAAAAACAAAATATTCAATTAGATTTTGTAGAAGTAGCGCCTCCCCTGCCGTCAAGTGCTCCTCCGCCACCCAGGATGGCACAGTGGAATACTCATGACCCCGGTTAGTTAAGGAATGCTGAAGAAAATGATAATTCAAAATTTTATTTGCACTTTACTCCGAAATTAGAGATTATTCCAGTTGCATTTTGTAGTTCTTGCACCCAGCACTGAAAAACCAGAAATTTTGATAAATGTAAAGAATGATCTGCGATTTGGGTAATTAATTAATTTTTTTCTCAAAGATAATTGAAAGTTTTTTTAGTATTCTATTAAAAAGCTAATGTGTTTTTATAATTGCCATCATTCTTTACATTTAACATATGTAGATTTATTGTCACAGTTAAAATTCTTCAGTAAATTTATTTCCTCTCGCACGGATTCTCTGAGCCTTTGATTCTCCTAGTTTTATAGCCTCTAACATCGCTCCTCTCATTATAAAATAGAAGCATGAATGTGTAATTTGTAAAATAGAAATATTGAAACTTGAAAAACAATTTTGAATCAATTTTTTATTAAAGTTCTATAAGAACTCATTAATTTCTTGTATTTTCCACTGTTTCAGGATACGGAAATTCGAATGTCAACGCAAGACAGGTAATTATGAACAACATATCCGATCCCGAAATATCGATAAATGACTTTGAATTTTTCCCACTGATGTAATAATTGTTTCTAGACTGGACAACAACTCAATTCATTCACTGGTCGTCCAACATCGTTACCACCATATGTTGCGCCACCACCAGCTATTTCTCCAGTAAATCAAAGCATCTCTGTAGTTGACGGAAGAAGAGCATCAGAGAGTGGCTCGGAAAGTGAACACAGCAGTGGGGGTTCGCGAAAAGATCGAGATTACAAAAGAAGTTCAGTTTTGAGTAATTTGTTTGGCCGAAGGAAAAAGCCATCTCAGTCGTAGCACTCTACCTGACCTGATGACAATTACATTTGTCCACCTACAATTGGTGAGAAACACTTGATTCACCCAATTCAAAACACCTGATTCAATAGAAAAAATGTGACCCAAATATATTTTCCAATTTTTAGGAAGAGAAAACGCAAAGATTCATCGTCAATAAATCATAATGAAAAAAGAAGTTACAATAACGAATTCCAAACATTTTTATATAATCTATTATATCTATATTTATGAATTAATACAATAATTCCGAGCAGGTGACTACAAAGGCAATTATTATTGTTAATTTGTTTTTATTGAATCATTTGTAATGTACCTGATCTCGGAATGTGAGCTTAAGAATGAAAGGAAATACGAGAAGGGACCAAGTTTGATAAGAAATTAATGGAGTAAATGAGATTGATGAAAAGAATAATGAAAATATATTAATTTCTCTGTAGATGACATAATATAATTCTTATGCTGTACACCATTACGAATGTTTATATATATATATAGATTCAGAGATTCCTATGTATTCGGTACCAATGAACAATATTTACTATAATCATCTCATTTTTATATAATCCATATAATGAGACAAATATATAAATATAGATATGTATACATTTATTTTTTTGAAAGAAATCATAAAGAAGAAACTTGATATTAAACATGTACAATATTTATAGTTTCTTAATATGGTTCACTGTAGAAAAATATGGCAGGTATGAAATGAAATGAAAAGAGTAACAAATTAATTTTGTTTTTATCGTTTATTCACCTTTGTTAATTCAAATATACACTCGACTATTTTATTATAATCAGGCTTTCTAAAATTTAATTGCTGAGTAAAATTTCACGTATATCTTGAAACGCAGATCTAAGAGCCTGAACGTATTCCGAGGCATCTCGATTTTCTTTGTAGCTGGCAACACCTAATCGAATTGGTATGTCAGTGTCATCGAGAATATATCCGATGCCATAGCCTTGCTCCGCAGTAGGACCAAAACCTCCGCCCATAATAATACTCGTTGACAATGTAGAAGTGGACAGAATATTACAATTCAGTTTGTGAAATGCTGGATCTTTGAACATAGCTGGAGTATTTTTGCCGAGCGAATCATTCTCCATGGAAATTCGTCTCAGCATGAACAAATGTCTGTCAAAACCCTGACCCATTGCCGCCTCTTTGGTCAGAGCTGCATGAGCTTTGCTGCACTCAATCAACAACTTCTTGTACTTTCTAGCATTATCTTGAGACATTCCATTCTCCACGATGTTTTTGCACAAGGCTGTAGTTTCATTCGTGCATGACCTTATGGTCTCAGTACGCCCGTGTTTAAAAGCTGCTGTACTGCATGACTCGTACGTTGCGACTGCGCGTTTTTCAAGTTTGTAAAGACCTAATTGAAATGATAATTGCATAATTGCATCGGGACTCACACCGGCATTTTTGCACATTTTCTTATTGAATGTATCGCAAAGAATGTAATCAACCGACAGACGATCCTGGGTCCAGTGGTCGTACTCCGTCGATGCAATATTCACAGTTTTTTTTATGACATCATCAATCTTGAACTCGAGTTTTTCCACTTCGGTACAGGACAGCGGTAAATCGGCTTGATCGTCCGGGTGGAAGCGAGGCTGCTTATTTACATCGTTTATAATATTCTGCAAATGAATAAAAAATATGAAAAAAAATATAACATATATTTTCAACTAATGTGATATGGAATTAAATGATTTACATCACAGAATCGGAGAACAGCTATTCCATCGCCCCAGGAATGCTCGAAATTAATTCCAGTCCATCCCTTTCCAGTTACAATCAATGTGAATGATTTATCAAACCAGCGATTACTTCCATCAGAGTGTAAAAAATTTTTCAACACCACATTGACGTCTCCATCCATCAGATCGTCGTCGAGGGCTAGGAGGAACGCTGCAGAGTCTATTCTCTTGAAGACTCTCTCATTATCGAGATTTACCAAGTGCTGACGATTAGAGGCCCATTGATTACGCTCTGTAGTAGTCAATACTCCAATTGGATATGGATTAGACGCTCGAGAATCATTCAATATCGAATTCAAACAGGATGCAGTCTCGTAGGCAGAACGAATTCTACCGTCTTCATTTATAATATCGAATGTGTAAAAATAACCTCTTCGCATTACCAACACATGCCTTGCACTTGGATCATTGTAAATTCTGTCCTTTTCCATTTCCGGAATTCTTGACGTCCCAAAGAGATGCTTGAACTGCGACATATCGAGGGGAAATGCCTGTACAAAAATTATATTATTTGAAAGTTGTAATTTAAAAAATTGAAAGTTATAATCACGATGAATTTCACTTGCAATATATACCATGTAGTTCCATAAAATTTCATTTTCTTCTTTACAAGTGTATTATCTTGATGAAAGATCTGTAATTTACTAGCTAATGACCATGGACTTTCTATTAAATGTATGTTATATAAAGATGCTTTCTTCGCTCTTTCTGCGCACGTTTACGGAGAATTCGCGTTTTAGCGCTTAACATCGATAGAAATAAAATTGAATTGAAGGGTTAACCGATGTTTTCCGCCATTCTGCGTCTCAGAAAGCGACCGACAAAATGGCGGAAGGGCTGAGGTAATGCCGAACATCTTCTGGGATGCTGTTCTACGATTCCTGTACTTTTAAATTATATACTGCATTATTGCCCATTTATATTAGAGAGATCGTTATTTATTTCACCTTGAAAACCGATCATCGAGGTGAAAAAAAAATCGGCTGATCGAAATTGAAAGAAAATATAAGCAGAAACAAATACCTTGAACAGGTATGCACCATAAGTCGCAAATTTTGATGGTAAAAGTCCAGTAAAAAATCGGAATAGTTTGGTATCCGATTTTTTCTTATTCATATGAAAGACCTCCGGCTCAAGACGTTCCGCCCTCAATGTTTTAATGAATCTGGCTGAAGACAACACCATATTCGTGGCTTTCACCAAAGGTATATTGTACCGTTCGTTTTTGTTCTGATAAAATACCATGTACGGATTATAATTAATCGGCAGTGGTTTACGATCTCTCAGATACATGTCAAACCATGGCTCACTGATGTAACTCGTGTGTTTGATATTGTCATCAATTTCTAAAAGTTTTGCGTGCAGCACTGGTCCTTCCTTTTCTAAAAATTCCTTAACATTTTTCGACGTTTCCGCGAATTCTTCTGGCGATAGAATAGGCTCTTGTGCCTTCAAATATTTTTCACACGAGTCCTTCAATTTCGGAATGGGCAATCGCGGCAATGAGTCCTGAAAGTACATGGTTGGAAGACTGCTTTGTTGGATGTATTCATCGGCATCAGTTGTCGTCCTGCGAAATCATTATTAATGCGAATTTTAATTAACTTGTTTGTCATTTGTAATGAGCATTGAGAATCATTATACCTTGAATACTGTGGGAGAAAATACGAGAGCACTTTGAATATTCCATTCACCTATAACATTACATGTGTAGAGATTAATTAATAATCAAGATTTTCGCCGATTTTAGTGACTTGCTTGATCAATCGATTTCATCAAATTTATGCATGGTACGTAAAAAACAAATGTATACATATTAAACTTTGGAAATTACAATAATATTGGCATTATGCTAAAATTGGTTGTCATTATTTTCTCAATGTTAACACTGAACACTGAACACTGAACACTGAAATACAGAGTTCAATGAGGCATTTGATGTGTTTTTAATAGGATGACTAGCAAAGAAACACAAAATTTTAATACAATGGTAAAACAAGACAAAACGAAAGTCAATCAAATGAAATTACGAAAACATTCAATTATACTCTGAATTTTGCAATCGCCGCCGGAAATTGATAACATATACAGAGACCTTCGATAAATTGGCGTTAAATCAATTCTTCGGAGGAGTTCCCATTGTGAATGTAATGGAAATAAAATAGAATAAAATTGGAAAAACATATATAATAATAAAATATACATTACCAATGGTTTTGACAGGAACAATACACGTTGCAATGCCATGACCGACGGTTTTATTGAAAATAAAAGTTAGGGGTTACAGGCACTGGCTCAGTGGACAGATCTACGATCAATTTATTATTATTTCGTGATAAGATCGGAAAAAAATAAAGACTGAACAAAGTTCCTTGGATAATCTCCGGTTTGTGTATATGCGATTTATTGTGAAATCGCGAATTGGACGACGGAGCACTTGGTAACGAACGTTGCGCTTCGCGCGTTCGCTAAATAATGCTGGCATAAAAGGAGAATCCGCGTACTTTATCCACGCAATGAGTATGTAATCATGTATCAAGCACCGAGAAAAAAAAATGACATTCATGCGACAATCATTTCAAACTCAAATTGAAAAATTCTATTTCCGAAATAGTGGGATTAAAAAAAATTATTTGAAGAAATGCATTTTAATTCCGTTTAACGATTTTCAATGGGAAATCCGGATAAATATTTCGCTGTGCTGCGAGAAAGTTCTGTAATAGTTCCATTGATAAATAAAATAAATAAATGAAAGCTTTCCCCAATGGCACTTTGCTCTGGAATGATTAAGAAGAGAATGGTTAATCGTTTTGTTGTTGCTTAAACGTTTTATAACATAACAATATAAAGTCAGAGAGTTTCTGATAATTGCATCCCCTCAGCCTGAATTGTGATTGATTGGTAAATGACAGAGCATAAATATTATCAGATATCTTTTCTTCTTGCGAAACCAGCTCGATGTGAATATCAATATAATGAATATAAATGTAAATATAATTTTTTCGAGTAGAAATAGTAATTAATCCCTTTAACAAAGAGCTGGTCCGAAAATTTCAAATTTTTCAATTTTAGTGAATACCTCCTCAATTTTCATGCTCCCCTGATACTTTTTTGAAAATTTCGAATTTTCAAATTTCAGTGAATACCTCCTCGATTTTCATGCTCCCCTGATACATTTTTGAAAATTTCAATTTTTTAAATTCCAGTGAATACCTTCTCGATTTTCATGCTCCCCTGACACTTTTTCAAAAATTTCGAATTTTCAAATTTCAGTGAATACCTCTCCAATTGTCATGCTCCCCTGATACTTTTTTGACAGTTTCGAATTTTTCAATTTCAATGAATACCT